CCCCTGTAGGTAAGCTTGCCTGCACCATTTTACAAAAACCAACTTGTCTTTATTTAGGACTAAATAGAATCATGTAAACGCATGCAATTGATCTAGGGTGTACCAATGAAAATGGAAAACAATTTAATAGAAAAACTATAAAATTTATCCAAAAACGATTTGTGCAGTAAGACTGAAATCTTACAAGGGTGTATTTCTGAATTATTTGAAGATACAGTAATGTACAAAAGTATATAGACAAATTAATATTGTGCTGTATTTCTTTTTTAACTTGTTTTATTAATACACCAACCTGTATATATAATTCATTATAGCATAATACTCACTTATACATAAATAAATTCATTAGACTGCCTTCAATAAAAAATTAATTGAAAAAACTATGAAGGAGTAAAATATATAGACAAAGCAAAACAATTATAGAAAAAAGAAGCCAAGCTCATTGAATTATAGAAAACCAACTGTTTGTGTTAATATTTTTTAGCAAAACCATTATTATCAATCACCGCCTGGCATCGTCTCGACATAGATTTTAGAAGTTTCTTGATATAAGATTCATCAATCTGTCTCCACTTTTGCTCTAAAGTGGCAAGCAGTTCATCCTTGTTTGAATAATTTTTATCTCATATTAGCTTATCTAAGTATTTCCATAGATCTTCAATGGGCTTTATATCGGGAGACTGTGAAGGCCATTTGAGAACTGGTATTTTTTCATCCAGAAAGAATTTCTTTGCGAGATTTGAAGTGTGCTTCGGGTCATTATCTTGCTGGAAGATTGATCTTAAAGGCATATTGTCTTCCATATAGGGTAACATGACATGATTTAGTATGTCTGTGTATACATACTTATTCATAATGCCATCTATTCTATATAAAGGTCCCATCCCAAACCCCGAAAAGCACCCCCAAACCATAACAGACCCGCCTCCATGTTTGACAGTGGGCAAAGTGTACTTGGGGTTCAATCTTTGTCCACTAGGACGTCTAACATTGAACTTGGATTCGTCACTGAAACATACGGTCTTCCAGTCACAGATGCAATCGTGCAAATTGTAATAGGTCCTTACGGTTTTTCCTCGAGATTAGCGGCTTCAATCTTCTACTTATAGTTTTCGTAGAAACACACAATTCCTTTTGTCTCGATTTCGGCTTTTATTTGTTTTGGGGTTTTAAACGGATCTTTGCTTTTATTAATCTAACTGATCTAGCATTTAGTTTTCTAGGCCGACGAAGATACCGTTTTGTTTATATTTGTTCAATATTGCCCAAACTGATTTACGGTTCAGCTTCAAATTTTTGGAAATGTCGACTTGACGTTGACCATCTGTCTATAACGCAATGATCTTAGTTTTCACATCGAAAGAAATTTCTGGACCACGCGGCATGGTCTTAAAATCACTCAACTTATTCCGCAATACTTGATGAACACAAACTAATCCTCTTCTGACACGAAACTGTACTAAACTAATGTTGAAAAGAATTTGTCTATATATTTTTGTCCCTCATAAAAAAGTGCTTATATTCAGACTTGTATTGTGTTCATTGCAGAAAATGTAAAAACAAGGAATTTAGTTTTTCTACTAATAACGCATTTGTTTATGGAGTATGAATTCGTTTTCTAAACTTATTTAGGTAAATATTCATACTTGTCTATATACTTTTGTCCATTACTGTATATTCTAAAGAACAACTTTCCATTTTCTCTGAAACAATATATATTGTAAGTATTCACGTGATTTTTATTATATGGTTATATTCCCTAAGTAAATATACTAAGTGACATATAAATCCGAACACCCAGTTTAAATGGTTTTATTTTAATAAAAGTTGGTGAATGTATTTATCTTACTGTAATTAACAAGTGAAGAAATTTTCAGCCTTAGCAGTTGGACATTCCGGTTTTTATACTGCTTTTTTTTAATTCACTAACGCTCTAAAAATGAATATTTCAGCCGCAGTAAAGAATCAACGTTGGCGGATTTTGGTTCTTGACATCCTTTACGATCGGTTACGATGCCTAGAGTACGGAGACCTGTACGATTTCGTCAACTTAGTGAGTTTTATAGGGGCCGTATAGTGGGACTTCGGGAAGCTGGACTTTCTTTTCGGGCAATTGCAGTTAGAGTGCAAAGAAGTGTAGACACTGTGGTTAAGTGTTGTCAGGCATGGCTTCGAGAAGGCCGTACGCAAACAGCAAGGGGCACTGGACGCCGCCGTAAAACAACAGACCGTGAAGATCGCTGCCTAAGGTTATTGGCCTTAAGGGACCGTTTCTCCACTACCAGGTCCATTGCAAATGAATGGTTTGCAGAACACGGAAGACCTGTTGGCATGCGAAGTGTTTACCGACGAATGAGAAGTTTTGGCTTGTTTTCATACCGGTCACACTGGGTCCTCCCTTTAACTCGAGAACACCGACGTAATCGCCTTGAGTGGTGCAAACAACGGTCACTCTGGGATCAGGAATGGAACAGTATTGTCTTTAGTGACGAGTCTCGATTTTGTTTAGGCATGCACGATGGTCGTGCCAGGGTTAGAAGGCGACGTGGTGAAAGGAGGAATCCACAGTTTTTTGTTGAAAGACATGTTCATCACACTGTTGGAGTTATGGTTTGGGGTGCTATAGCTTATGGTTCCAGGTCACCTTTAATCTTCATCAGAGGTAACATGAACGCGCAGCGTTATATCCACGAAGTTCTAGAACCCTATCTTGACACCCTGGCAGATCCAACTTTCCAACAAGATAATGCCCGACCACATGTTGCAAGAGTCACAATAGCCTTCTTTCAACATAATGATGTCACATTGTTACCATGGCCACCAAGATCTCCCGACTTATCCCCAATTGAGCACGTGTGGGATATGATGGGTAGGAGATTGCTCAATTTGCAACGTCCTCCTCAGACTCTAGAAGCACTTCGAGAGGAGTTGGTGGTTGCCTGGAATGAGATACCACAGGAAGACATTGACCACCTGATCAGAAGCATGCCTAGGCGCGTTGGAGAATGCGTAGCACATCAGGGTGCATCCACACATTATTAAAGGTCAAAGAGCTTTAAAGCAGTGCAATCATTTTGAAATTTTTATCATTTACTTATTATGCTTCATTAAGTACTTATACAAAATTTTATTAAAATAAAACCATTTAAACTGGGTGTTCGGATTTATATGTCACTTAGTATATACGTACTTTGATACTAAAGACCAGTTAGTTTTCGTAAAATGGTGCAGGCAGGCGTACCCAAAGGGGCTAAGGAATCAAACTTTCACACCCTTAAAATTGACTGGTGGCCTGGCACTTGGTGAATTTGGTTGTCGCATATACAGTAAAAACCATATACCACTGGCGTAATGTATACGAGACAGAAGAGTGCAATACGTGTGTTAGAAAGAGGTAGAAGCACCTCGTTGCCTAGCATCCCGAGTGACGAAGCACTGACGTACGAGGGATGTCTTTTAAGTTTTGCATATGGAAATAAAACAAAACGGTAGGTAGTTTTAAATGACTTTATTGTCTTTCGAAGTACTTTCCACGAAGATTAATACACATCTGCATGCGCTCGAACCAATTTTCGAAGCACTTATTCCACTCGTTTGCTGGCAGATCCAAAACGGCATTTTTGAATGCGTCAACTGCTTCTTCTGGTGACTGGAAGCTTTGACCACGCAGTGTTTTTAATTTTCGGGAAAGTAAAGAAATCGTTAGGACTTAGATCGGAACTATATGGAGGATGCTTCAATAATTCCACGTTTTCTTCCGTTAAATACTGCCTAATTTTTTGGGTTGTGTGCGAGCTTGCATTGTCTTGGTGGTGGATGATTCTTCTTTCGGGGTTGATTTTTCGAAGCTCGGTGATGACTTTTGGCAAACAAATGGTGCTATACCAATCCGCAGTAACAGCTCTTTGATCATTAAGAAGAATTGTTGCAATATGACCCGCTTTTGACACAAATGTCGCGACCACCTTTTTAGAAACACTTAGAGAATGGATGACTTTTGTTGGCTTTTCTTCACCTTGGAACACCCAAACAGCCGACTGTCGTTTATTTTCTGGTTGATAACAGTAAATCCACGATTCATCACCACTAACAATGCTGTACACGTTTTTTGAGTTTCCGGAATTGAAACGGTCAAGCGTTTTTTGACACCAATTAACCCTGGCTGCTTTCTGCTCTTCACTCAACAGGTGGGGTATCCAACGAGAAGCTAATTTTCTTACTCCTAATTCTTCATATAAAATTGTTTGAATTGAGGTCTTTTGGATCTTCAAGGACGCCTCAATCTCGCGATATGTCACATGCCTATCTTCAATGATGAGTTTGCGCACAGCATCGACGTTTTCCTGGGTGACTGCCGTTTTTGGTGCACCCACCCTGGGATCGTCGCTAAGACTTACCCGTCCACGTTTGATTTCTCCATACCAATGGGAAATTGTCGACTGATGTGGTGCTTCGTTGCCGAAAACAGACAGTAACTCAGCAAGGCATTCTTGTTGGGATAATTGTCTCTGAAAGTTGTAATAAATTATGGCACGAAAATGTTCCATTTTTCTAATGACTTGGTGACACTTAAAAATACACTGTAGTGAGAACACTAAACGTATCGTTGTGAAACTTTGAATTTAAGTTTACTAAAGAGTGAGGTTAAGTTTCAGTAATGACGTTCGATCCGCGCGGCCTACTAAGTTTCTATATGCAAAACTTAAAAGACATCCCTCGTATCTCAGACTTGCCATCGGCACACGCTTTTTAACATACGAGTTCATACTGCACGCTTCTTTCTCGTACATATTACGACGTCAGCCAAATTTAAACATCACCATATAAATGCAGAGATGGATCACTGTTGTTTAGACACAGGTTTGGAGAATCTATATTTCAATATTCGATCGCCCTGTTACTCTTAACAAATTCCTGGCATCATAATAGGAAATTAATGGGAAAGATCACATTTTTTTAAGGGTTCGGATGAAAGGTAGAGGTTTGAAATAAAAATATGATAACAGTTGAGCATCTCTTTAATATAAAAAACATTTATATACAAATAAAATTTTGCTTAATATATGAAGCAATTATTTTCCATTATAGCATAAATCTCTATAATCTAGATTCTAAAACATCAGTTTATCGCTGTAAAAAAATATATCTTCATTTATGGCTTAGCATCAAATATCTATACAATTCATTGCAGTAATTTTGACAGTCAACGTCCAATAAAAACTCCCAAGCCGCAAGCAAAGTGAAACACGTTAACTCCAAACGAAGGGATTGGCTAATGAAAAAAATGAAAGGGCTGACCACAGAAGACTGGAAACAAGAGGCTAAACTCATAGACTGGGGCTGAAACCAAAAGCGACGAAAATAAAGCCAGGCTATCTACTATAAGTATCGCATCATAAATATATTTCAGGTTCTGCGCATGTGGCATCTTTCTCGCAGGACTTGAACAACTCTAATTTTGAGAGTTGACATGGTTATTATTGATTAACCAACAAATTATGGCAAACCGCGAGTTAAATTGAAAACCTTCTGAATCAGGATTTTACGAGGCACGTGATAATTATTTTCGCATCATTTTTTAACGGCGCCCTTGACACTTGATGAGAATAAACCATGACATGACGTTTTTCCACGTGCATGTGTACACGCGTACTAGATTTCTGAAAGCCACGTCCCCCTTACTGATAGTATTGGCTTCTAGTGATACACGTGTCTTGCCTTACGCAATTTACCCTCCTGTTTCCAGTGTTCTTAGTCTCACTATATTTCAAAATTTTGGCGTCATATGCTTTGGATTCAAAATTTAGTCTACGATTCAAAAACCGTCGACCCAAGCCAACATGAATATGATAATTGTATCACATGCAAATTTGTATCACTAAGCTATGCTCACGACGTTGGTATAATTTCTCCCAGATCAAAATATATTCTCTAAGAAATAAATACTATCTTAAAGCTATCTTTTATTCGAGGCAAGTACAACATATGAAAGATTATCGGTTAAGGCACTTTAAGGGGGATTGCAACGTTCGTAAATCAAATATGTACAAAACTAGAAGAATAAGGAGTTTAACATCATATTCACAAAATAAACACCCCATTCTAATATACCTTTGTTAGAGTGAAAATATCACACTACAAAATATTCAAGTCTTTTATTGGGGCTAGCAGCAGGCGGGAAATGGCAGCAGTATCGACGATTATACAGGGTGGCCAATATATAACTTACTGATTTAAACTGCGCGCCATTTTTTGATACACGCAGTCCAGTAGGTGGAGCGGTAGTAGTTGTTTAAAGCCCAATTCATCATGGAGCGCTACACGACCCACAATGCGTCCGTTTTACTTAAACGACGAGTCGATTGATGCAACGATTCGGAAGCTACGACAAATTTCGATCGAAATAATATGCCCAGTGTCAACATCATTCGTCGGTGCGGAAATTTGAGCAAACAGGTGAAGTTAAAGACTTGCCTAGGTCGGGCCGGGTTCGAACTGTTCGTACTCCGGAAAATATCGAGAGAGTTCGTGAAAGTGTAGTGGAGCGCCCTGAGACGTCTACCAGACATCGTTCGCAAGAACTGGGTATTTGTCGCATGTCATGCACTATTTTAAAAAAAGACTTGCATTTGCGGCCATGCAAAATTCAGTTAACCCAAGAGCTACAGCCTAGTGGACCATGAAAGTCGCCAACAATAGTCATGCATTATTGCAGCTTAATACCCAAAATAACGATTTTTACCGACAACTGATAATGAGCGATGAAGCCCACTTCGACAGAAGGCATTTTTCTCGAAGAACATGCTACTTGTCACAGAAATACAGCACTGGTGGGCGGAAGATCCTACTCGATGTTCTCCTCTGCCATCCCACAATGTGTGCTGATCTTAGTCTTGATGTAAGAATCATATTTCCTACGAGATAGCTGACGTGACACCTAGGTGTCAATTCTTGAGCGCAATAGAATAGAACGCTGCTTTTGAGATGATCCCAAATTCAGACTGCTGTTGGCGTTTATCAAATAAGTTTCTAAATGTGTGTGCCTAACCTATCGAATCCAGACTAGTTAGAAAGCTTACGATTTGTTTGTCTCCAAAAGCTTTGTATTCAGGATGAAAGTGCATACAAGTGGACTTGATGTAAGTTAATTGTTTGACAGTTCTGTCGTTAAATTAGTATTTACTTTTAGTGTGATTTTTTGAAAGGGCGATTTTAAGCAGATAATTGTATTGTTGGACGTTTTCAACACATGATAATTCTTACATAATTCGCAAAGAGCAGCACAAGCCTAATTAAGGTAGATCTTTCCACCGGAAGTATCATTATTGTGTTACAACGTTGTCACTATGATAAGCAATGGTAGACAAATGAGTGAAAAGTATGCACTAACACTGACAGCAGAATAAAACGAAGGTGTCCAACCACATCTGTCAAAAACGTCGTCAGACGCACACATGGCATCCATTCCCATTTATCACAAAGTTAATTTAGTGGCCCGGGGGCAACTATTCTATATGGGTCCTCAGGAAAGGTAACAGAAACACGCTCCCTTTCTCTTAGTTACCTTTTTTTCACCCTCATTCTAGAAATTGTTTGATGAGTACTGCTGCTCATCGTACACTTGCACTTCATAAAAAAAATAGGAGAATACTGTGATATGTAAGGCAGTCAGTCAATTTTTGCATTCATATTTAAAATCACAGTAGCGAGTGGTACAAATATTTCTAGAAGAAGCGAGGATGTTCAATATGGAATATATTGAGGCATAGTTCATAAAGTTATCAACCTCAAATAGGAGTTCCATTACTGTTCTCACGTATCACCACATGATCACTCATTATTCATTTTTTAGGTTTGTTCCAAAAGCAAACTTTAGTTGTTCAATCACACCTCACAACATGTTGCATAATGTTGTTAAGCAGTAGTGTTAACAGCCCGGCAAAGCGATCCAATAAAAGATCCAGAAAACATGTATCAAAACATCTATCACGTTTCCTCAAAAGTAAGGTTGCAATTTAAATATCTAATTCGGCTTTCTAAAGTGCTGGAACAAACCTTACACAGATTAATACTTGATTTACTACCACAATCAAAATACTCATAAGGATCAGTGCACTTAGATCAATAAATCTAAGATACTGTAAGTCTTTTTGTGAAGCTCCAAGTCATCTAGGTGCAAAAGGATGATGAAATGAGGCCTTTTCGTGATGTCACAAACTCGTCATAGCAGGTGGTCTGGCGTATGCTTTCGGTATAAAACCATATTTTCTTGTTTTGGGAGCATAGGCCCACAACCATCCATCCACAGTTTGGTTGCCTGTTACGATATATGGGTATTAGGTATGGGAAAACGTGAGAAAAACAGTCATGCAAAATATCAAACAATCATCTGAATGCAAAAAACTACAATTATCATAAAAATGGTGTCACGTATGTTGACTATATACTTCCCAATAAAATCTGTGATTGCTTACATTATGTTCAGTGTATTTCAAAAATCTAACTCAATATGAACTATACTGAGTGATAAAAAAATGTAAAAACCTACGAATGTTTATCCGATTTTAATAATTTTTGGCATATATGTTCAGTCTCCCTTACTAGTAAAATGATTAAATTTTCAGATTGCCACCAAATAAAGATTTCAACCAGCAACCTAAAGCGCTGCTAAAACTACCAGCAACATTGCATAGCCTTTTCAAGCCTCAAGGCCATTGACTATACTGGTTACTTGGAAGTCATTGCTAAGATCATATCTACATGTCTCTACTACAACATGAAAGACGGTGTTAAACTTACCAAGATCAGCATAAATCCAATCCCCCCTCCTGACCGTTAGATCATCTGGTGCCTGCGCCTTGTAGTCGTACAGCATCACCAGCTCTGTGCCGTGATACCTGAGATCTTCACCACCGGAATTCGCTCCACCGCCGCCACCCGATTGGTGCTGGCCCCCGGTTGTGCCCCCACTCGAGGGTGCAAACGAACCTCCGGAACCGACCATTGGTCCGCCATTGACGGTATTGTTCTGGGTTGGATTCAGGTGGCCTAGAAATTTGGGAACTTGCTGTTTCACTATTTTTTGCATCCTGCACTATTTACCAGAAGAGTAATTTCGAATTTGACATTATGCTTTTTGGAAGTTATATACAGTGTTCTCAAAGTTGGGAACTTTCTTTACATTGTGTATAGATTTCGTAAAAATTGGCAAAGTTGCCTGGTATTACATACATCAAGGTACAGATAATCCTGATATTAGTTTCTGAAAAAGTTAACCGAACTAGGGGTGCATCGAGTACTCGCTTTTTATTCTGTTTCGCCGAGTATTAAGTTACTCAGCCGGATAATTATATTCAGTCTGAACGCAAGATACACAACGTTTGTGAATCAAAGAATTACAGATGCGATGTGTGAAGTCTGGGGTCACATGCCGTTTCTAAGCATTGCTTATAATGTTCACCAAGAAATGAACGCAACATCAAAGAAATAGCTAAATATTTTTGTCGGGATCAGTTCACGTCGCGATCGCTCATTGCTCCGTTACCTCCGAGAATACAAGGCCTGACAACAGACGCGTGACGTCACCACGAGTAGGCCGGTCGGCCGGCCGACAGCATGGCGTGCCGTACATGAGCGCTAGTGAATAATAATATTGTTATTGCAGCATATTTAATATATTCTACCTGATGTAAATGACGAATAATTCAGAAAAGTGTTTTTGGTATATGAAGGCTACTTGGTGGAAAATATTAAAGTAGTTATTAACTATTTTCACCCTGATAGCCCAAATATTTTTACCAATCTTTGAAAGGAGGACACTCTCAATTTCAAGAATGGCACAAGTTATAGATACTCCCGAGCATGATATAATGACAAAAGATGATAATGATCTGTGTAGACAGCTGTTTCAAAAAATGTTCTGCCTGGATAGCTGGATGAATGTTTCACTGGACGAGTTGGGTAAAGAAAGAGGTTAAATATTAACGATAGAAACGCTATGAATTATTAGTAGATATATAGTATGCTGCAATACATGAAGTCAGCAATCAAACAAACAAGTTGGTTTGAATCTCACGAACCACTCAAGTATAGATAAAACAGATGAGGATCTTGGAAGCGTTCTCAACAGATATATCTTCAAAACTTACCTTAAGAAGGTCAACAGGTTTTCACTCAAACTTATGCTATTATCCATGAAATGCAAAGTGAACCTTCTTGATGTTTCAACATAAGAAGAGGTATTATTTAAATATATCACTTGTGTGAATTCTCTTTTGAAGAAATTCAGAGACGTATTTGGGAAACTAACATTCCGAGGTCAAAATGTATACTTTTTCACGCTCTTCAAGATGATTACAGGCTGATACATGCAGAATAAACATCAAATGAATTGATAATTGAAATAATGAAGAGGTACTTTTTACACAATCTCGAACTTATTTATTCTTCATGTTGCACTGACGTCTTGCGCTATAAATCAAGCTTATAAGGAAATATAACCTCTAAAACCTATTGCAAAAGGCAGCAACGCCACAGAAAAAAGTTTTCACCAAATTATATTTCTCTAATAACAGAAATATGTCAGTTAACTACGAGGGGCTATTTCAAAGTAAGAACCAATTGCGCGTCCTGTAGAACGTGACGACCGTTCAACACTCTTGGCCAGTCTCTAGCTACGCCGCTATAAAAACACTTATGATCCATTAGTTTGGTTAGAAAATATCAATTAGATGTTTCCTTCAAGGATGAAAAGATGAACGTCCACTGATGGTCACCGAAACTAGTAGCTGCTACAGCAATTTACAATATATCAATCTGCGACGAACGAAATAAGCGTGGAGTAAGCATCTTTAAGCAGTCATCATTAATTTTGTTTTGTTTGTTCTATATTCTTTTGGTTCGTTGTTTTTTCTTGTTCCAATTAGAAAAATACTTGGAAATAATTCTGTGTTTCATCTAATGAGGTTCTAGGCGCTGTATACTAAATTTCCTGTTAAGGTTGTTCTCATATTAGTTCAGTTTAGCCGAAGATAGGCATTTTGCTGGTTAATCAACCCTTTGATTTTACAGGGTGTCGCGTATGACGAAAGGCTTATTTCTAACCTCAATATCCCGAAGGCATGGACATAAAAAAAGTTTAAAATCATAAGAAAAGTATCTCAAAATTCAAAAATAAGAAGGATGATAATGAATCGGGTGCAAAACTAGTAAAACTTGTTTGTGGCGGCTTTTTACAGTGCACCTTCTAAAATGTATCCGCAATAATTGGCTGAATTCAAAACCAGACCAAATTTTAACATACCCTGATTTTGAAACACATGAGGTAAATGTTGCTTCATTTAAATCTCTTAAAACATTGTACCAAATGGAAAGTTTTCGTTAATCTTTGTTATGTTTTTTCTGTCGTTTATTTTACTTTCATTTTATCTGTTTTTCTTATCATTTATCCTACACGTTTTCCTCCTCATCTTCCTTATTCCTTTCCTGGCAAGAGCTTACCTCAAACCTCCTCGTTGGTTCTTGCTGGACACAACTGTTCAACAAGCACTACATTTTCTATGTAAATTTCAAGTACCAGTGCATTATGCCTATAATAATAGTAAATTGTCCACATATTCCTGTGAAATTTTGTTGAAGGGTTGTGACTAACATGGGGTTATATATGTCATTGAAGAATTTATCATTTTTATCAAGCTTTTTTAACAACCTACTTATTACTCTAATGTGCACGTAATGTTGGATGAAATATCATTGAAAATCAGGGTTTAAATAGTTAATAAATACTTTAATATTTTCCACCAAGTTGCCTTCATATACCAAAAACACTTTTCCGAATTATCCGTCATTTACATCAGGTAGAGTATATTAAATATGCTGCAATAATAATATATTATTCACTAGCGCAGATGTACGACACGCCATGCTGTCGGCCGGCCGACCGGCCTACTCGCGGTGCGTCACGCGTCTTTTGTCAAGCCTTGTACTCTCGGAGGTAACGGTTATTCCTGTTTGTTGTCGGCTTTTTGTCCCGCGACAAAGTGTTCGCAAAGCGCTAACATGACTAGGCTCCTCATTCACTGGTGGCTCAGTTGCCTCATAGCGAGTGCCGAAAGTGGTTGTGTTTTTTCCACTTCTTAATTGTTTTAGTTTTACTTATACTGGGTGTCCGCAAAGTTGGGGTATTCCTTTACACAACGTGTAGCATGTACACCAATGTCTTAAGAGAAACGAGATAGCCGGTCCTGTCCAATCCCTCGATCACGTCGCGTACACTTATACGACGTACGACTACGATGTAAATACGGATTTTACGACAGAGCCGTACTTGGAATTTCAATTTAAATGAACAATGAGTACTTTTTCATTTATTTGTTTTACTTGTTCGCTCACGTTTCACCACACATTCGCTTTGTTATATCAAGAGTAGTTGTGTCTGGAGAGGAAAACCCCAACTTTGCGGATACCCTGTATATGAGTAATTATAAACTGCCAAAACGCGAAGTAACCCTGCAACAGCAATAGCCATTTCACCGGCCATATTGAGTGTGAAGAGGATATTACCAACAACAAGTCTTTTGCAGTTGTAAACGAAATGTTTAGTGAAAAACTGATATCGCGAAGAGGGGGACATTCCCTGGCCTCCCCTGAGCCCAGATTTCAGCCTCCGGATTTTTTTCTATGGGCATACCTCAAGAGCCGCGTTTACGCCAATAAGCGGACGACAATTCCCATGTCACTACTTTATTAAAAATATAAATTATCTTCCCTACGCTTTACAGTTTTTTCTATGATTTTTTAACTTAATGGCCCACCTTGCACCTTTAGCATTAAGCAGGATACAAAAAATTGCAAACATTCTGGAACTACGTTTTTACTCGTTTCCGATAATTTTTGAGAACGGCCAACATAATTTCTAATGGATGTTGAAAAGTTTGTTTCCCACAGGACATAGTCCACCAATTGGCGAGAGAAAAATTGGAATAAGCTAAACGTTTTCGTGTAGATCATGAAAATCTTAATAGTACCGTAACTTAATCGATGTTTGACACAATATTAGCAGTTATGGGATTTGCATACCTTGTATCACATTATCAGCAGGATACACAAACCCAGATGGTATAAATCCTTCTTGGCCATCACTTCTCACAATCCAGTACCAGTCTGGATCTTCTCTATTCAAAACTATAAGAAGATAAAACCATTTGTATCCACTATTACTATCTCAGTACAAAATCTATGTCAATTCCAAATATGTATTCAAATTTATAGTACAAAATATGTTATAAATTAGAGCTGTAAGAAGTAATAAATTCGTTTAACATGTTAATTTATTGCTATTACGTCATTACCTGTAACAAATTCTCCTCTTTCTACCGAAACATCATTTTCATCTCTAGCAATGAACGTGTACAGTACAATGTAGCGACCAGACGGATCTTTTGAAAAAGGGATCATGTCTGGCTCTGAATGTATGCTAATGGGTGAGACAGCACCAGTGCCGTGTTTCTTTCCTAAAGAATCACAATCACTAGTATCTACACCTGCACCGCCATCACTGAAAAAAATTATACGCAAATCTCAGTCCTAAACAATTGCAGTCAAGGAATCAAACTATGTTCAAAACTAGTAGAAGCACAAAACACATGATCATTCACAAGCCATGAACACGCCTTTACCTCAACTCAACAAACAATAATAATAATAATAGCGTTTATTTGCAGTTAAAAAATTACATAGGATACAAAATAGGGGAAAAACAACAAATTACAATTACTGCAAAAGTCTGCAGTCTAGGACTGATCAAAGTACTGGCACAGTGACAGAACAAAACAGAGAGCCTCCTAGTGATGATACTATTTTAACCAATTCATTCCAAAATGACAAGAAAACTATAGAAAACAAATTAAAGCACAATATGTTTGTGTAATCAAACTTCAACTTAAAACTCATACCCAGATGAGAAGGACAACACAGGAGAGACTCAACTATTGTTGCTCCAAATAAATTTCTTTTGAAAGCTAACATTGGCATGGACTTAAGAGTCTGTGGGAACATGGTTATACAAGCAATAGACAGAGTGTGAAAATGATCTACTGAACATGGCAGTACGATGTTGTGGTTTGTTTGTTCAAGATTTATTTAGCATGACTGCTACTATTACATTCTTCTAAAAAACAACAATTACATAACATACAGACATTCAGAAATAAAAACCAAAATTTGCATCTCTAAGAATGTTCATTGCCCATGAAATATTCCTTTAATTTTCTTTCAAATATCTTTAAATTACAAGTAGACTTTATATCATTATTTAGTTTATTAAATTCAAGTAATCCTTTCTGAAATATTGATTTGCTAGTTATATTACTATTACAATTTAGTAAATGAAAATATATATTTCCTCTTGTATAATAATTGTAGTAATGATTATTCAATTCTATGTGGTGTTCTAAATGTTATGGCAAAGGATGATTTTATATTTTAAATATAAAAATAAAAACCAAATATGATATGAAATTTTTATATTCAACCACTGCAATTCTTGAAACATAGATTTTATTTTGGTGTACTTATTTTTATCCAATATTATTCCCATAGCTTTATTTTGCAAGACTTGTAATTTTGAGAATACAGCTTCATTGGCAGATAGTTGAACAATATAGTAAATGCAGTAGAATAATTGTATTATAAACTATTTTCTTGGAATAGGTACCAAGACTATGAGAAGCCCTATAAAAGTATTTTGTTTTTTGTCAATTTTTGAAATAATGTAGTGATAGTGATCCTCAAACTTTAGTTTACTATCAATATATATATACAGCAGACGCTCGATAATGTAAACTAATTTAATCCAAGTGTGGTTCACATTATCGGAATGTTTAAATTAGCGAACGTGATTTATATAATATTTGATTTATTAAAAGAAACGTTTAATACATACTATTTATAACAAAATAAACAAATATTCTAACAGCGATAAGTATTTTTTTAATTAGAAGAAAAATAATTAACAATTTTTGTCTGCGTAAATTTGCGCTTAGCATTGTCTTCCAATGCCTGCGCCCGTAATTTACGAAGAACTAAAATATCCGTGTATGAAACTTCTTTTCTTTCAGTCCAATCTAATGCTTGGTTAAAAACTTGTATAGCTTGCGCGTCAGTTACTACACTTCTGACTTCAATGGGATCGTTCTCATCATCCTCACTGTCCATATCCTCCTCCTTATCAGCATCATTCGTCTGCTTATCTTCGTTCCATAAATTAATATCAGCAGGAGTACAAACAATGTTGGGATTCACTGTTTTCAATAAATCAACAACATCCAATGACACACTAATAACATTATCATTATTGGATCGCAAACGTTGTCTAATTACGCTTAAGGGGACATCGTCTTCTTCATCATCTTCATTAATGGTACAAAAGAGATTGTTCCAACATTTTTGAATAGTTTGCTGGTTAAGTTCATTCCAGGCCATATGTAAATCTAAAACAGCTTCTCGTAATGTTACTTTTTTTAAAGCCTCAGATAAGTTTTCAGGATTCTTTGATAAGACAGACGAAAGTAGAAACTTCCTATAGTATAGTTTGGTGAGTCTTATTATATTCTGGTCCATCGGTTGAATTAACGGTGTTACGTTGGGTGGCATGTACATGAGGGAAATTGACCCATCCCTGCTCCTCAGTTGTTGCTCGGGAGGATGACTTGGTGCATTATCCAATAGTAACAACGCTTTTATTGGAAGCTTCTGTTGTTTTAGGAAACCTTTTACCTACAAATTGAAAACACATCTTCAAATTATGAATAGAGCATTTGTGATAATTGATTGTCATACCTGAGGGACAAAGCACCTGTGGAACCATTTCAGGAATATACTGCTAGTCATCCAAGCGGCTTTTGAACAGTCATAATCAACAGGGATATTAACATTTTTAAATGAGCGCGGATTTTTTGCTTTTCCAATTACCAGTGGCTTTATTTTGTGTGAACCATTAGCATTAGTGCAGGCTAGAAACGTTATTCGTTGTTTCTCCGGCTTTCTTCCTGGGGCAGATTTTTCAAATGATGCAGCATAGGTTTTCTCTGGTAACATTTTCCAATAAAGGCCACTTTCATCTGTGTTGTAAATTTGTTCCATTCTTAAATCTAGCTCCGTAATTGTTTTCATCAATTTTTCTTTGAATGGTTGCACTAATTGTGGTTGTGCTGATAATTTTTCACCAGATATAGACAGCAGTCGAATTCCATATCTTGTTTTGAATCTTTGTAGCCAGCCATCACTAGCTACGAAATTTTCAGTTTCTTTCAGTTTTTCATTTAACAGTCTCGCTCTCTGTTAAAGTACTTCGCCACTAACTGGGACATGATTTTCCCGTTGTTTTAAAAACCACTTATACACAAACACAATTTTAGGTGCCTTCGCATTTTTTAAAGTTTTTCTTTTTCCCGGACTTCCAAATGTATTGCACGTTCTTTGTAAAATTTGAGTTTTCATACGCTTAATTTTACAGATTGTTGCTTTCAATACTCCATATTTTTTTGCTAACTGTGTCACTCCCGCACCTAGTGCAACTTCGTCTATGATTTTCACTTTCTCACTCAACTTTAAACACTTTCTTTTATGGGATGTGGATGTCATAGTCGTAAAATATATTAACGCGTGCAATGTATTCACTTAAGTTCAAAAATGAAATACAGACGTACGTATAAACGTATCCTAAACGATCATATGACTGACCGAGTTTGTCGTATTTTATCGCAGAGGTGAATCCCCTACACTCGACATCATAAATCGGGGACTCCCCGACGCCCGACATAAATCATCGAGGCTTCAGCATTTTACCGTCGCGCTGTTTCCGTGCGCCGAGAGTAGTTTACGTTATCGAGCGTACACATTGCTTACGTTATCGGGCGTTCCGTTTGATCCTATAGAACGAAGTTTGTGTTTACATTAGCGCAAGTTTTCATTATCCCGTGTTTACGTTATCGAGCGTCTGCTGTATATATATATACCTAAATATTTAATTGATTCAATGAGAAATGAGAAATCATGAAAAACAATTTCAGAACTTCTTAGCATCATCAGGCTTACATGCCATGATGAGATATTGTTTACCTAGAGAAAACTGCATGTTGAACAGCTTAAATATACGGTTTGAATCCATTTTGCCAGGATGATGTAGTTTATCCCTATTTCTTTGCTAGTGTGTTCAAAAATACATATTTCCCGCTAGATGGCGCTTGAGCGGTTGGACCACACCAGATCAGTGCAAGATCAACATAAGTACATCACATCACTGCAGCTGTGTTTTGCAATAATCAATTAACAGTAGATGGCTTGTGGAGTAGTACAGTATTGGTACTATGATGTCAGCAAAAAAAAGGTTAAGGTATCCTAGTTATACTACTAATGTGCTTGTGCGATTGGAGGTCAAACTGTCAAAAATATATGGGAAAAGACAGATTTGATAGAAAGGTAAACTGTAAACCAATTGACATCTTTTACCTTAGACAGGACCTCCAATCTAACTTCAACTATCTACTTCTAGCTTTCCAGGTTACCCCCCTATTCATACTCATAAAAAGTGAAAAGATTTAGTTTATAAGCCAAAGTATTGGTATTTCCTTGGGATAAAATTTTTGGAAAATACTCCATTGTTCAGTGCATTTGTCATGAGTGTTTTTAAATTTAGTGTAGGATAAATAATAATTTAACTCACCAGTCATTGGTATCTAGGCTCTCCCCTGATGCTAAATGCTTCTCCCTAGGAAGTTTTTTCTTTATAGCCATCTCCGCTAAGTGGTTATTATATGGTGTACAGTATGAATATGGAATGAAGCCTTCTTGCCTGGTATCCAGGTCTATTACATACACCCAGTCATTTTCTCTATAGAGAATATTAACAATCTGAAACAAAACATCCATGACACATGAAAATATCAGTATTTCATTCAAATTTATATTCAATGCTGTAATGTATCCCCCTATTTATTTTTTGAACAGGTCAAAGTCAAAGTTGAGCGTTTTTGCACATAGTCACTAACAGTAATGGACAAAAATATATAAACAAATTAATATTGTGCTGTAATCCTTTTTTAACTTGTTTTATTAATACACCAACCCGAGATTAGCGGCTTCTTACTCGGGAGACGTGCAAATAACTTCAAATCATTTAATCTTCTGCTTATAGTTTTCGTAGAAACACTGGCAATTCCTTTTGTCTTAGTTTCAGCTTTTATTTGTCTTGGGGTTTTAAACGAATCTTTCGACTGATCTAGCATTTAGTTAGATGATTCCAAGATACCTCTTTGATTATATTTGTAGAATATTACCCAAACTGCTTTATGCTTCAGCTTCAAATTTTTGTCAATGTCGACTTGACCTTGACCATCTTTGTATAACTCAATGATGTTAGTTTTCACATCGAAAGAAATTTCTGGACCAGCCGGCATGGTCTTAAAATCACTCAACTTATTCCACAATACTTGATGAACACAAACTAATCCTCTACTGACACGAAACTGTACTAAGCTAATGTTAAAAGGAATTTGTCTATATATTTTTGTCCCTCATAAAAAGTCAGATAATGTAAACACAAGGAATTTAGTTTTTCTGATAATAAATCATTTGTTTATGGAGCAATGAAGTATGAATTCGTTTTCTAAAGGTATTTAGGTAAATATTCATATTTGTCTATATACTTTTGTCCATTACTGTATATCTCAACAACCAATCATCAAAATGCTAAAGTATGTTATATCAATCTTCTTATCTTGGAAAGGGCTATCCAAATAAGTTATAAGATATGAAACATTCCATTTAAGAAAGTTGACAAAATCTGCTAAATTTTTTGTGGTAGTGTCTCTCTCACCCAGCGGATCTCATAGGCGGGGCCAAAATGTGTGCATGTTGCATGCACAGGTGTTCCCTCGCCAGAGTCCGTGTGGCATCCCCCCTTTACTCTGTATCCCCCTATAGCCCCATGGGTGTTTAGGCCTTAGGCCTTCGTGGTAGTCAGAGTATAAAAAAAAATTGAATATCTCAAGCTTTATTGCAGATACAGATAGAACCTTCCAAAATAGAAAGATTTTTCTCACATACTATGGCATTTATTTGTCAAGTTATGAGCAATTCAATATACAAAAATGCTCAATTTTGACAGATTCCAAGTCTACACTTTTAAGGCTCTTTAAAATAAAATATCAGTTGATGCTACATTCAATTTTAAGAAATGTTTCAGAATGGCAGATATTTTTCAAATCAAGAGTTACATAAGATATTTGGAAATTATGTTTTAACAACTTTTCAACTACAATTCATAATGTGAAGAGTAAATGAGGCTTAACATTACATTAGTGTGAAAAGCATTTGAAATGTTCTTTTAGCTATTTTTCATATTTCAACACACTACTTATTAAGCACTTTTCTCTATGCATTTTCCAGAAATCAGTCTTTAACATTCTGGAAACGGGAGCAGCTAATATACTGTACGGAACATACATAGAAGAAATATTACTGGAAAGAACTGGAATACCTAGTCTTTGCTAATAAATGAGGTCATTCAGGTTTTCATGAATTATTCAGTGTATAGAATATACTTGCCTGTCCTCTTTTAACTTCCAGTTCATCATCTACACAAGGGGTAAAGTCATGCAATACAACCATTTTACTGTCTGGAGACAGCCCATGTTCTTTTTCAATTCCAACCCTGACCAAAGTCTCAATGCTGGCTGATCCAGTGATCCTCCCCATTCCAGGGGTCACCCCATTGTTGGACCTGGTTAGTTCCTTGTCCAAATCTACACTGGAGGCTAAAAACCGTGTACCATGGTTTTATTCCATCAAATTAGCACACACTCAACCTAATTACTTACCGTTTTTCTTTTTTCCTCGCTTTATCCTCACCGGGCATAAAAATGCCATCTTTACAAGATGTTTACATACTTTCCTAAAGTTTATCTATAATTTGTTTCGTTTATACAGTACTCTTCCATTTGAATTTTCACGACCGAACTGAAAATGAATATTTTCAGGAAGACAAAACTTGTTCATGTTCACTCTTCAGTTTTTAATGCATTTCTGAACAAAGACTGGCGCGGATTGGTCAGAAAGTTAACGAGCAACAGGTAAACTTACCTGCGCGAAATTTAAATCACATGAGCTTTAAAGTGATGCTCCTTTATTATGAAAACGCAGGCTTTTCTAATTTGTTTTTAGGAGAGTACAACCGCATTAGGGTAACTTTTTTGTTTCAAGAAGATTCTCAAAGAAAATGTTTTAATGCCAACATACACACACGCATAAATATCATAAATTTTAAACTATTGGGTATTCATGGCAAAGATAAGTTGAGAGCGAATTCCATGTGAGCTTGAGCTCATACTTAAAACAAGGTTCAGTTTCTGTTACCAAAAAAATACCTTTTCAGGGAAACTGATAAATACATTAATCAAGAAAAGGTGGATGCACTTTGCACTTGCACTTAGGGCACTAGCGATACGGGTTGCCTACATTTAACTTCTATGGAGAGTGCTGCTATCTGTTATTTGTTGTTAAATAGTATATCCGTCCTTCGACAGAAATACAGAGAAATTTTCTAACAATGGTGTAGTTTAGCATACGATTGATACATGTCGCTATTATGACTTTGAGTGCCATCTATACTCAGGCAATATAACTATGGCCTAAATGATCCAGAAACCTGTTTGACGTAAACTTCAAGTAATTCTTCCAGATGTTAGATGTCGCTGCTCAAAAAAAAGCAGTGGCGTGTCGGCGGATCGTGAAGGAAAGCTTGTGGTGTATCTATACGTAAATTGGGGACTTATAAAATATAAAATAAAATATAATCACATGGTGATGGGTCTCTAACCAGAATAGAAGAATTTAGTCTGGATTGATTCATTTTGCAAGCTTATTTGGCAAACAGCTCGAACGGAAGTAGTCTGCTCTCGGGCGAATTCAGGCGTAATATTGAAACAGTCCAGTAAAATTAACTTCGCAAGTTTATTTGGCAAACGCCTGTAACGTGATAATTTATATTTCATGTAAAATTGTAGGGACAACTTTATGTGATGTTGGACCATTTAGCGTAGCAACTACAAAGTTCTTCAGCTGAAGATGCTAACATCTTGTTAACTAAAGACGTGGTGTGTGTTTGTAAACCGGTTTGGTGAGTGGTAAAGCTATTTTATAGTGATAACTTCATTTTCTTGTAGATTTCATTTTTTGCTAGTGTTTGCTAGAATATACTTCCAGTTGGAATTATTCCAAGACACTGTTGAGTGAAGTATTTTTCACGCTAGATAACGCTTGAAACGGGCTGTCCGCTGTCCCGTCTGCTAGTGTATACCCAGTTTATTCTTGAATAAATTGACAGTTGTAGTCACTGTTTCTTGACTAAAAGTATTCCGTGAGTATACCACACTATTTGAAATAAAATTTCTCCGTATCAACTTAGAGGGTTCGACCTGTTTCTAATTTTTTGGTATTCGGAGACGAAGATTATAATCTTACCACAGAACACATAACACTGAACTCATACGGAAGATTTGAAGAGCACATGGGTAGCAGCCAATCTTGAATGACTCAAGTCTCCTCCTAAACAATCTTTGCTCGTCGAGTTTGTCATATTCATAGCCCATAGACGTGTGCATATGGCAAATGTCGAGTCTCTGGTGGAATCCGCATTATTTTAAGGTGCATTTTTTTCCAGTAGTTTTATGTCTTTACAAAATAGGGACTCCATAATAAGCTGTGTGCTGGTTCAAGTTTTAATCGAACGTACGTCTTGTACCTATAGCTTTTCTATCATAGCAGGAGAATGGTTGTCTTGCTTTTTCAATGAAATATATCAATGTGTTGACTTTTTAATTTTGTTTGTAATAAATCTTGCCTTATACTCAGTGACATTAGAAGTGTTACATCCAGAAAAAAAATACTTTCGTCAAGTTTATTTTTTGATTTGATTGAGGTAGAAAGAATGAAACAATAACATTCTCACGAGTTTTTATTGACAAGTAATAAGAAAAATTGTATGTGTTGGGCGACACCGCAGCTGAATACACTCCTGTATACGTCTAGGCATCAACAAAATTAGATGATCGATGTCTGGTTGTGGCACCTCATTTCAAACAGCTCGAACTTCGTGGATTAACTGTGTCAGTCTGTAGCGGATGGTGCAAAGTGGATAGTCTCCTCCCCATCATATCCCGCACATGTTAGATGGGATTTAAATCCGGTGAACTGGGTGGCCATGGCAATACATTAACGCCTACTTCTTGAAGAAAGACCGTAGTCCGACGAGCAATATGGGGACGTGCGTTGTCTTGCTGAAAAATGAAGTGTGGACGGCCCTCTAGATACGGTGGTTTGTAGGACATCATCAACATAACGCGCAGCAATCATATTGCCTTGAACAAAGAGAAGGGGTGATCGGCCAGGATAGGCAATACATAGCCCCCCAAACCATTACTCCAACAGTCCTGTGTAGATGCCTCTCAACAGCGAATCCAATATCACGCCGTTCTCCACGGCGGCGTCTTACCCTTCTACGACCATCGTGCGTACCTAGACAGAATCGCGATTTATTATGCCGTTTTGCCTCCCAATGTTGCCGTTCTCTGCTCCAGTTCAAACTTTGACGACAGTGGTCTGCAGAGTCAGAGGAAGCACTAATCGCGGACGGTATGAAAAAAGTCCAAAGGCTCGAATGCGGCGATAGAGTGTGCTCATAGTAACATATCTACCTTCTTCTCCAAACCATTAGTCAGCGATGTGACGCGTAAGTAGCAAAACGGTCTCGAAGGGCTAGACGTCTGAAGCGCCTATCTTGACGCTCTGTGGTACGCCTGGGTAGACCAGATGGCCCTATTCGTGTTCCTCTACCTTCTTCTATCCACACACGACACACACTCATTACCGTCATTGCAGTACAATTACCACGGCGGCCAAATTTGGATGTCTTCGAACCCGAAGCATTTTGTTATGCTTAACACTAGTAAATGGAAGGTCAATAACTAAAAATATCTGTACTACTCGTCTCTCAGAAACTGATTTCTTCACAAAAACTAAGAGATGATATTTTAACAAAGGTAAACGAAAACAAAGATAAAACGTTGACATTGTTGCCACAGCATGCTATAAATAGTCATTATGTTGCCAAAAGACAAGTTGAAGAAATAATTTTTTCTGTACTGTACATTTTCGATTTCCACACCAGACCTATATTGTAGTTTATATGATTACAGCATAACGTAAACACGGGATGATGAAAACTTGTGCTAATGTAAACACAAACTTCGTTCTATAGGATCAAACGGAACGCGCGATAACGCAAACAATGTATACGCTCGATAACGTAAACACGGGATAATGAAAACTTGCGCTAATGTAAACACAAACTTCGTTCTGTAGGATCAAACGAAACGCGCGATAACGCAAACAATGTGTACGCTCGATAACGTAAACAACTCTCGGCGCACGGAAACAGCGCGACGGTAAAATGCTGAAGCGTCGATGATTTATGTCGGGCGTCGGGGAGTCCCCGATTTATGATGTAGAGTGTAGGGGATTCACCTCTGCGATAAAATACAATAAACTCGGTCAGTCGTATGATCGTTTAGGATACGTTTATACGTACGTATGTATTTCATTTTTGAACTTAAGTGAATACATTGCACGCGTTAATATATTTTACGACTATGGCATCCACATCCTATAAAAGAAAGTTGAGTGAGAAAGTGAAAATCATAGACGAAGTTGCACTAGGTGCGGGAGTGACACAGTTAGCAAACAAATATGGAGTATCGAAAGCAACAATCTGAAAAGTTAAGCGTATGAAAACTCAAATTTTACAAAGAACGTGCAATACATTTGGAGGTCCGGGAAAAAGAAAAACTTTAAAAAATGCGAAGGCACCTAAAATGGAAAATTCCCTGTATAAGTGGTTTTTAAAACAACGGGAAAATCATGTCCCAGTTAGTGGCGAAGTACTTAAACAGAGAGCGAGACTGTTAAATGAAAAACTGAAAGAAACTGGAAATTTCGTAGCTAGTGATGGCTGGCTACAACGATTCAAAACAAGATATGGAATTCGACTGCTGTCTATATCTGGTGAAAAATTATCAGCACAACCACAATTAGTGCAACCATTCAAAGAAAAATTGATGAAAACAATTACAGAGCCAGATTTAAGAATGGAACAAATTTACAACGCAAATGAAAGTGGCCTTTAATGGAAAATGTTACCAGAGAAAACCTATGCTGCATCATTTGAAAAATCTGCCCCGGGAAGAAAGCCGGAGGAACAACGAATACCGTTTCTAGCCTGCACTAATGCTAATGGTTCACACAAAATAAAGCCACTGGTAATTGGGAAAGCAAAAAATCCGCGCTCATTTAAAAATGTTAATATCCCTGTTGATTATGACTGTTCAAAAACCGCTTGGATGACTAGCAGTATATTCCTGAAATGGTTCCACAGGTGCTTTGTCCCTCAGGTATGACAATCAATTATCACAAATGCTCTATTCATAATTTGAAGATGTGTTTTCAATTTGTAGGTAAAAGGTTTCCTAAAACAACAGAAGCTTCCAATAAAAGCGTTCTTACTATTGGATAATGCACCAAGTCATCCTCCCAAGCAACAACTGAGGAGCAGGGATGGGTCAATTTTCGTCATGTATGTACATGCCGCTCAACGTAACACCGTTAATTCAACCGATGGACCAGAATATAATAAGACTCACCAAACTATACTATAGGAAGTTTCTACTTTCGTCTGTCTTATCAAAGAATCCTGAAAACTTATCTGAGGCTTTAAAAAAAGTAACATTATGAGAAGCTGTTTTAGATTTACATATGGCCTGAAATGAACTTAACCAGCAAACTATTCAAAAATGTTGGAACAATCTCTTTTGTACCAATAATGAAGATGATGAAGAAGACGATGTCCCCTTAAGCGTAATTAGAGAACGTTTGCGATCCAATAATGATAATGTTATTAGTGTGTCATTGGATGTTGTTGATTTATTGAAAACAGTGAATCCCAACATGGTTTGTACTCATGCTGATATTAATTTATGGAACGAAGATAAGCAGACGAATGATGCTGATAAGGAGGAGGATATGGACAGTGCGGATAATGAGAACGATCCCATTGAAGTCAGAAGTGTAGTGACTGACGCGCAAGCTATACAAGTTTTTAACCAAGCTTTAGATTGGGCTGAAAGAAAAGAAGTTTCATATACGGATATTTTAGTTCTTCGTAAATTACGGGCGCAGGCATTGGAAGGCAATGCTAAGCGCAAATTTACGCAGACAAAAATTGTTAATTATTCTACTTCTAATTAAAAAAATACTTATCGCTGTTAGAATATGTGTTTATTTTGTTATAAATAGTATGTATTAAACGTTTCTTTTAATAAATCAAATATATAAATCACGTTCGCTAATGTAAACATTTCGATAATGTGAACAACACTTGGATTAAATTAGTTTACATTATCGAGCGTCTGCTGTATTTCCTTTCCCAATATAAACTATAGTGAGTGACATTTGCCATTTCTCAGACCACCCCTTGATGGTATGTCTTTTTTAATTTCGACCTCTTGTGATGCGGGGTTTGTTTGAACAAAGGAATAGAACAGGTCCAAGCACAGGATTTTGTGCAACACCACTCAGCACCGAAAGTGGGCCACTTTCAGAACCATTTGCTCTTACTTGGAAGGTTCAGTCACTAAGAAATGCCTGTATCCAATCTCAAAGCTCATCTTGGGTATCAAAATGCTTAAGTTTATAATCGTCATGTTTATGCAGAATTTCATCAAGGGCTTTTTTGTCATCAGGATATATTAGTTAGATCTAAGGGATTCCCTTTCGTCATCCATATGTTGTAAAGCAGGTAAAAAGCCATCAATGTGTCTGGTGTGATGTTATTTTTAGAAGCGGGAATTGGGTGAGCTCTCGCGTCATGATTTTTCCCATGAGTTTGTATGGATTTTAAGTGAAGCTTATAGGTCTGTAGTCTGAGTCTGACATATTATCACCTTTTTTATATATGGAGTTACAGTTTCTTTTTATGGTCGACTACAAATCAACTATAGGGTTGTCCAATAGGGACGCAGGAAAGTAAACGTCAATTTGACATAGACGCCATCTTTGTTTTCTGTCACCGACATGTCATTTTGTTAGTTGAATGTTTACCATTGATCGCTATGGAGTCGTATTCGATTGAAGACCGCATTAAAGTTATTCAAGAGCACTACAAAAATGGTGCAAAAATAAAAAAACACGTTTCGCGCGCTTCGTGAACATTTCGATCGCAACAACCGCCCAAACGAAACAACCATCGGTCGTCTGGTGCGTAAATTCGAGGCAACAGGTTCTGTGGCAAATCTGCCAGGCTCTGGCTGGCCAAGGAGCGTTCGCACATCGGAAAATATTGCTGTTGTGAAGGAGAGTGTGAGAGACGATCCGAAACAATCAACAACGCGTCGATCCCAAGAATTGGGCATGAACCATTCTGAGCGATATCACGTGATGATAGAGGACTATTTTTTGCCGCAACTTGAAGGAATGGATATGGACGATGTTTATTTCCAACAAGACGGTGCAACATGCCACACAACCAACGTCAATATCCATCGATTGCAGTCCTTCTTCGGTGATCGCGTGATTTCGCGCAGAGGAAATGTGCCATGGCCACCAAGATCGTGCGATTTGACTCCCTTGGACTTCTTTTTATGGGGATATTTGGAAAGCAAAGTCTACGTCAACAAACCAGCCACCCTCCAAGAACTCAAAAACAACATCATTGCCGAGATAAATGGCATAGAACCGACCATGTTGCAAAATGTCATTGAAAATTTCGACCATCGCGTGGACGTCTGTAAATCCAGTCGTGGTGAACATTTGAGCGATATTATTTTTCATACATAAATGGTATAAATGAACCTTCAAAATAAAGTCCCCAACTTGATTTGAATATCAATCTTTCTTGTTTTAATATGCGTTTACTTTCCTGCGTCCGTTTTTTACAACCCCATCTTTAGTAAAAAATTACTTTTTTCTTATTTAGAATAATGATTTTATAAAATCGTACTCTACTCTCCATCTCGTTGGAGGTCATTTTTTATAATTTCGACCGTAAATACTAGAGCTGAAGGTGACTTGGTGCTATTTCCGGTGCTCAGGTGCAGGAATTTCGCGGCCTACGGATTTTGTGAAATAATTAAACACGCAGAGTTGCGGTTTTATAGGGTGGTGGCAGCGGTTGCTTTCTAACAAAAACCCGAGAAAAGTGTTTTATTACTAGAAATAAAAGTCGATATTTTTATGAACGGCTATAAAGCTATTATCCTAAATAAGAAAAACCTTGTAAGTGAAGCCACGCTTTAGGCATGATCCTTTTGCCATTTTTCTATGTGTGGTTATGTTACAAAATGAGATAACAAAGACAAACAACATATCTTGAAAAAAATGTATTGCTTAGAAAATTACATATATCACGCCATTACTACCGTCCTCTTCCTCTTCCCCTAGGAAAACTACCCCTTCCTCTTGTACCACTGTTACCTTTTCCTTTTGGCGGGGGACTTTTGGGCCGAAGTGCTTCGATCCTCTCTGTACACCCTGTAGTCGTCTGATTGCTTCCGAAATAGCTGGCGTACATATCAACATTGAAGTTAGAGTTTGTTAATTCAGGTCCTATGGTTAGCCAACCTGGTCTGATGGTACTGTCTCTGCCAAAAACATGAAGACGCCTACGGCCTGGAATAAATATAAATATTGTACACTTAGGTTTGATTGGTCAAATCGCGCTGTGTTCGACCGTTTTGGTCAAGGTTCAATATCACACTTTGCTTCAAAAGTTGTCCCTATATCGTTTTCGTAATAACAGCTTGTCCTTAATCACTTCTTATTTATCAGATAGAAGAGAGTAAGTTACATTTCAAAATTGTTTATCTAACACTGTACAAATTAACCACTGAGTTCCCCAAGGAAGTGTTTAAGGACACATTTTTTTTTTGATTCACATAAATGATCTGCCAAAGAATAGCATCAGTCAATGTATATTATTTGCGGATAACACGACATCACTATCCTCTAATCATAATCTTGATCAGGTATTATTTGATTCTCATCAGCATTTTGAAAACATTCAAAACTGATTTAATGTCCACAGTTTTTCTCTTGGTATAGTGAAAACTCAATCTCTTTTACTCAGTACTCGTCCACATAAAAGTAATTCAAGAGATCCCGCTAAATTTCTTGGAGTGTTTATTGATGCGAACTTAACTTGGGAATCACACATCACCACTTAATCAAAGAAGTTATTATATGGTAGGGAGTTTAAATACCTTCGTAGAAAAATCGACTTTGATGAAAGCCTATTATGCTTACTTCCAATCTGCTTACTGATTTTTGTCAAAAAGTCTTAGCTTTAATAATTTGTTAGGTATATTTCAGTTATCCCTGCAAAAGTCAATATTTACCTAAACAAAAATGTTCAATAATATGGAATATTTCTACAGGTTTTTCCAGACTCCCATATTCGTTTTCCTCGGAAATGATGAGATCAATATCAACATTAGCATGAATAAAATCACCATCAGTAGACCGTCTTACAGTCCCTTTTATTCCCATCAAGCAATGCTCCTTGGTTCTCTGAAATACTGCCTTTGGATCTAGATTCTTTGAGTGACCTGGGTTTTTTATGTTCGTTCTTATCCAGCATATGTCTTCACACCTAAATACATGATATTAGAGAATGTTATTAGGGTTATTTAAGGACAGTTTAGCACTTTGGCAAATGGTTCATATAAACTCAGTTCCGAAAGGCTTTCTTTCCATAATATAAACTTGTTAGTTCACCTTGCATTTCTCGAAAAATGTAGATACTGTGGAACAACATGCAGTAAAACAGATACACCTAGCATTCGTAGTGGTTTAGCGGAAAAAACAGTAAGCCATTTTTCCAAAAAAGTAATTTCTTGGACTTGGATAGGAGAAGTTCCGATTTTAAAATTATCCGATCCTAATTACAACTACCAAACATAACATGCCCCAACCTGCATTTTGATACATAAATCCAATAACATTGTATGCATTTTATGGCAGTTTGACAACACCATGTCTGTACATGCAGAGCCATCTATAAGTGAATGACATGATATAAACTAGTCAAAATAGCTAAGATGTGACTACTTTTTATCATATCACATCAGTACGCGATGATGTTACAAAAAATCTGTGATTGGCTTCATTAATATAATGCAGAGGGCTCCCAAAATCAATCAGGCTCACAGTGGGAGTATATAAAGATATTGTACAAATAAGTGTCTGTTGATTTAACTACTCTTTGGTTTTCACCACAATATTATTATTCTTCTCTTTGTATGCAATTACAAAGAGATTTAAAATGCTTTTATCTTATTTATACTAACAAGATGCTATATTTTTAATCATGCACTGAAAATATTAAATATGGGGTTGTCCAAAACGGACGCAGGAAAGTAAACGCATATTAAAACAAGAAAGATTGATATTCAAATCAAGTTGGGTACTTTATTTTGAAGGTTCATTTATACCATTTATGTCAAATCGCACGATCTTGGTGGCCATGGCACATTTCCTCTGCGCGAAATCAAGCGATCACCGAAGAAGGACTGCAATCGATGGATATTGACGTTGGTTGTCTGGCATGTTGCACCGTCTTGTTGGAAATAAACATCCTCCATATCCATTCCTTCAAGTTGCGGCAAAAAATAGTCCTCTATCATCACGTGATATCGCTCAGAATTGACGGTAACGGCGTCCCCGGCCGCATTTTCGAAAAGGTAAGGTCCGATGATGCCTTTTAACCACAATGCACACCACACAGTCACTTTTTGAGGATGCATCGGCTGCTCTTGATACTCACGGGGATTTTCGTTCGCTCAGATGCGGCAGTTTTGCTTGTTTACCGTCCCATTCAAAGTGAAATGCGCTTCGTCGCTGAACATGATTTTTGATGAAAAATTGGCATCAATTTGGCGGTGTTCAAGGAGCCAATCTGAGAACGTTCGGCGCGAAAAATGGTCGGCCTGACGCAGCTCTTGCGTCAATTGGATCTTGTAGGCATGTACATTCAAATCCTTGTGAAGAATGCGGAGAAAACTGGTTCTCTAAATGCCCAATTCTTGGGATCGACGCATTGTTGATTGTTTCGGATCGTCTCTCACACTCTCCTTCACAAAAGCAATATTTTCCGGTGTGCGAACGCTCCTTGGCCGGCCAGATTTGCCACAGAACCTGTTGCCTCGAATTTATGCACCAGACGACCGATGGTTGTTTCGTTTGGGCGGTTGGTGCGACCGAAATGTTCAGGAAGCGCGCGAAACGTGTTTTTTATTTTTGCACCATTTTTGTAGTGCTCTTGAATAACTTTAATGCGGTCTTCAATCGACTACGACTCCATAGCGATCAATGGTAAACATTCAACTAACAAAATGACATGTCGGTGACAGAAAACAAAGATGGCGTCTATGTCAAATTGAGGTTTACTTTCCTGCATCCCTATTGGACAATCCTTTACAATATGCAAAATGCTAAAAATATGAAAACTGTTAGTCACAATACCATGACTATGTTTAGTAGCTGCCAATGGTAGATATATGGTGGGCACCTTTACTTATATGAACTTTTTTCCCTTGCCTTGTGCTAAACCTGGCACTGTTCGAAACATCTTGATGAGGTAATTATTGACAAACAATTAAATAATCAAATCTCACCTCCTAAATCCCCACTTTCTCAAGCAAACCCTTCCCATATCCAGGCCATCTGAACTTCCACACCACAGAAATACAAAACTTCTCTGTGCAGCCACCTCTCCAATATCCAATGCCATGATCTGTTCCCATGACCAAAACTGCATATTTGCAGCACCCATTGTCCTTTGGTACTCCTCCAAGGGAGGTTCGACAAGGATCACATCAAATTTGCCGTTCAAATTCTTCAGATCGTAAGAAGCCAGATCACATTTGAGGTACATTGGAGGTGTGGCAGTCTGTTGAATCAGTTCATCTTTCAATTTTATGAGTTCTCGAAGTTTTGGGTATTCTTCAAAGCGGTCTGCTAGACCTACATCTCGTATGAAGTTTTGAGGTCGTTGACCAGTGTCAACAAAATGCTGGCAGTAATCATTGTGTGGATTTGAAGACTGTGTACCCTGAAAAAAGAATATTTGAAGATGACGGACTGGAAAACTATAGAAACAAAGGTGGAATACCTTCAAGAACATGGAGGAATCTCTATAAACAAGCTCATCCATAGAATCCTTTTTATAGTCATATTTTTCATTCTCCTGGTACTGTTGACTTAAACTTGATTTAGATTTCTTTGTTGAAGATTCTGTAGTGCCAAGAACTTCGCTGAGTTCTTCTGCTCCCGAGACACCCAACTAAAATTATTCCAATATAGTAATATTGAAACCCTATTGGAGAATAGAAAGCAACCTACTGTTTGAGCAAGCAACAATTTCCTTTTGCGAGATTTCTCTCGAAGTTCTTTCAGCATATCTCCCATATTTATGCGAATTAAATAAAAAAATTGAAAAACTTCACAACAACAATAACCTCAAAAATTGAAGACTTGTCACTTGAAAAATGGTACATCTTATAGAAATGTATATTACCAAACAAAGATAAAATCTTACTTAATAGTTTTCACACGAGATGTCGCCACCTCGGAGGGTAGAAGTGACATCTAGAAATATTCTATTGAATTACTATTGATCCAAGGCAGGAACCTGTGTACTTAAGCCGATCACACACGTCGTTCTAATTTTTGTCATTTTGACCGGTGTGTCAAATCTGGATTCAATTATGAATACAAACCAGCAAATAAGTGAATAGCTAGTCATTCGGGTTAACCCTTTCCGTTCTACTGGCCAATCCATGTAACCACATATATTAAAACACGTAATTTAAGTGCTACTGGTCGGGTAGCCTTACCGTGGTTTAAAAGTGTGACATCTATCGGGAAAAAAATTGACGGCGCTGCCCCGTGCGAGGAAGTGTGTATGTATTCCGTGAAGTTTCTTTATACATTGCGAAGGTTCCGCGTGTGTCTTTTTTCGGCTGTTTGTAAACGTGAACACACTGAGTCAAAAAATTGAAATGACACGTCAGTATTTAGTTTTATAACTGTAATATTTCATGCCTTCCGACTCAATTGATCAATTTACCATCTGACTGGGTTTTGTTCCCTGTACTATGTAGTGGTTTCTCGAGGTAACCACTAGGACTGTAAACGGTCATTTATTTTTTTTACAGAAAGAAATAAATGGAGTGGATACAAAGTTTGGGTGCAGGCTGATGATTCAGGGTATATTTGCGAATTTCAAATAAATTCTGGTAAGATTGGTGACTTGCCACAAAAAGATTTAGGAGGAAGAGTAGTCAAAGACTTGACAAGAGATTTGCAACAACAAAATTATAGATTTTTTTTTGACAAATATTTTTCAAGTGTTCCACTGCTCAGCTACTTGAAACAAAATGGAATTATGTGGTTGTGGCACTTTGAGAAAAGGGAAAAAATACTTGCCAGATGACTTTATCGATGATAAAAAACTAGCGCGACGTCAATATGAGTGGATAATGACAAATGATGTGTTGGTATGTCTAAAATGGTAATACAAAAAACCTGTTTATATCTTGTCAAATTACCATAACAATCAATAGAAAGAATAAAGATGGAACTGTGTCAGAAGTAACTTGTCCGTCTTTGGTTGTGGATTACAATAAACATATGGGTGCCGTCGATAAGGCGGACATGCTAAAAGAATGTTACGCGATAGATCGAAAAAGCAAGAAGTGGTACCATAGGATAGTTTGTCACTTTGTCGATACTACGGTAGTCAACGCGTACATTTTGTTTCAAAAACGCTGCAGCGGTTCGACTCTCGATTTGAAACAGTTCAGGATAAATGTCTCTTCAGGACGTGCGTCGGGATGCATTACCAAGAAAAAATGTCGAAAATCAATGGAACCCATAAATCATTATAAAAAATACGTTCCCATTGAAAAAAGGACAGAAAAATCTGATCACATGCCTATTTATGGAACTTCCAGATGATGCGCCATCTGCATCACAAAAAAGGAAGCTCATATGTGGAGTTGCACGATTTGCGATGTAGGTTTATTCCTGAGTGACAAGAGAAATTGTATTCTTGCAGATCATAATGTCGATTAGCCTCATGTTGTGGAAAGATAATGCTTTGTTTCTTTGGTAAAAGTTTTTGTTTGGTGCTCCTACTGGTTCGTTCGGGTGACCACCACTTTTTCAAAAAAATATGTGGAATACATTTTTTTCACAAAATGTTTGACGTTTTTTTACATTCTTTAGGTTCGGAACTAGATTTATGATGTGCAAATCCTAAAATTATTTAATTCCGGATACAAAGAGTTAAACAGTGGATTGACTTGTCATGTGATATAACAGTGGACTGTCTCTGCAAAGTTGGTAAGCTGGGATCTACAGAATCGCAGTCATGGTTAGAAACGGGAAAGATTGTCACGAAAAAACGATGTGTGGCTGGCTTTTTGACACTTGAGGACTTGTGGGTTGTCAAGAGTTGTCAATAAAGTTACAAAGCAAAAATCGTTTTTTGAGGTTAATTCTCTGCTATTTCTGAATTTGAAAATTGATTAGAATTTTGTAAGATGTCTTCAAGATACGATCGTGCTATAACAGTATTCTCACCAGATGGACATTTGCTACAAGTAGAATATGCCCAAGAGGCCGTTAGGAAAGGATCAACTGCCGTAAGTTAAAATTTTCATTCAAAGCTCCGATAGAAGTCATCGGTGACACAGCAAATGAACATTTTTCAGTCGTAAAAGCAAAAAACTAATCAACTTTATATTCAGTTCGCTTATAGCTGCTTCTGAATTGCCAGAAGAATTAATTTTCTATATTTCAAGTCATAGTCTCCAACTGGAACTTGATTGCTGAATCAGAATATATATCTGACAAAAATTCAAAGTACTAACAAACGGAAAACACTTGTTTGAAGTAACATAAACTTATTGATTGTCTTGCTGATGAGTACCCATGTTTTACTAAAAACAAGTGATTTTTTAATCTGTCAAAGGTCATGGTGGCCAAAACATTGGCAACATCTGGGGTTCTGGCAACCAAAAAAACATGAAGACGCTGCTTTTAATTTAAGTTCATGATGTATATGAGGTGAATGTCAAATAAGATACTTTGACATGTATAGAATATCATATTTGTGACAGCCAAACTCAATATTATAATAATCATCTATATTTCAAATTGTGCAATGACATTACAGAAATTGTATAGCGACTACAAAACAAAATGTTGCGTCACTATCACCTTAATTGAAGTAGTTTACCTGAGACCTTTTTTCTTCAATTCATCAATATAGATGCCTAAGAATTTTACACTTTCACTCAACTGCAGTTGATGATCATCTGTATCGATACATTGCAGCTTAACAACTTTACTCTGCTTAGTTCTAAATAATGTTGCATCAGTTTTGGATTTATTCAGCACTAGTTTGTTCTCAGAAAACCATGTATTCACACTTCTGAATGAGAGATTCCCATTAACAGTTAGGTCATCTATACTTTTCCCACCCAACACTAAATTTGTGTCTACAGCATAGCAGATATTTGTATGCTTGCTCTCATCACCACTAGTAACAAAACAGAGATCGTTTAAAAAAACTACAAACAAAATGGGCCCAAGTATACTACCTTGTGCCATGCTGGTTGAAGTCAACTTGTAAGCTTGACTTCTTTAATAATCTCAACCCTCTGTTGTCTATTATGTAGGTATGACTTGAACAATTCTAGTGCAGTTCCTCTTACAGCATATCTTTGTAGCTTTAATAACAATATGTCTCTGTCAATGCAATCATAAGCTGTGGACAAGTCCAGGTAGAAACCAACCGCTGAGTTTCCCTTCTCTAATTGCTTAAGTACTGTTGGAACAAATTGAAAGATTGCAGTATCTGTTGATCTCCCCTATAGGTATCCATGATGTGTATTAAATAAATTATAGTGATTCATAAATTCTAATAACCTCTTACTGATGCCTAATTCAAATAATTTTGAAAAACCCTTTAAAATATTGATTGGCCTATAATTTTCCAATTGCTCTGGATTACCTTTTTTAAAAATTACAGCTATTTTCAAATTGTCTGGGAATGATCCTTGTCTAAAAGCATTATTAATAAGTGAGCACAAAACATGTTTTAAAACTGGAATGGAAAGTTTTACTATTGTTGTTGGAACTTCATCTGCACCACAGCTGAATTTATTTTTTATCCTCCTCGACAGTTCATACACTTCACCAACAGTCATTGGTCTTAATTATAATGATTGGTCGTTTTCTTGTAAATTGCAGTCAAAAAGTACCTGTGTCACATCTTTCAGTAAAAGCGGAATTGCTGATAACAAATATTTATTGTACTGCTGTAGTATCAGATTTGGATCTCCTTTGATATGAATGTCTTTATGATTGTTTTGACCTGTGATTTCATGACTTATCGCCCACATAGATTTACTTTTATTGTCCGAATTTCTGATTTTCTGATCGTATCTTTCTGACTTGGCCTTCTGTAACAAATAGTCATATTCCTTTTTTATATTCTCATACATTGCCTTATAATCACCATCTACTCTACATATACAAGATAATATATGTATTGGATATTTAACATTGACTGTTAGAGTATCATAAACAGTTTGCACCTCAAGCTCGAATAAATTTTTATTTTTGGAGTAAAATATACTAAGTGACATATAAATCCGAACACCCAGTTTAAATGGTTTTATTTTAATAAAAGTTGGTGAATGTATTTATCTTACTGTAAATAACAAGTGAAAAAGTTTTCAGCCTTATCAGTTGGACATTCCGGTTTTTATACTACTTTTTTTAATTCACTAACGCTCTAAAAATGAATATTTCAGCCGCAGTAAAGAATCAACGTTGGCGGATTTTGGTTCTTGACATCCTTTACGATCGGTTACGATGCCTAGAGTACGGAGACCTGTACGATTTCGTCAACTTAGTGAGTTTGATAGGGGCCGTATAGTGGGACTTCGGGAAGCTGGACTTTCTTTTCGGGCAATTGCAGTTAGAGTGCAAAGAAGTGTAGACACTGTGGTTAGGTGTTGTCAGGCATGGTTTCGAGAAGGCCGTACGCAAAGAGCAAGGGGCACTGGACGCCGCCGTAGAACAACAGACAGTGAAGATCGCCGCCTAAGATTATTGGCCTTAAGGGACCGTTTCTCCACTACCAGGTCCATTGCAAATGAATGGTTTGCAGAACACGGAAGACCTATTGGCATGCGAAGTGTTTACCGACGAATCAGAAGTTTGGGACCTCCCTTTAACTCGAGAACACCGACGTAATCGCCTTGAGTGGTGCAGACAACGGTCACTCTGGGATCAGGAATGGAACAGTATTGTCTTTAGTGACGAGTCTCGATTTTGTTTAGGCATGCAGGATGGTCGTGCCAGGGTTAGAAGGCGACGAGGTGAAAGGAGGAATCCACAGTTTTTTGTTGAAAGACATGTTCATCACACTGTTGAAGTTATGGTTTGGGGTGCTATAGCTTATGGTTCCAGGTCACGTTTAATCTTCATCAGAGGTAACATGAACGCGCAGCGTTATATCCACGAAGTTCTAGAACCCCATCTTTTACCCTATCTTGACACCCTGGCAGATCCAACTTTCCAACACGATAATGCCCGACCACATGTTGCAAGAGTCACAATAGACTTCTTTCAACATAATGATGTCACATTGTTACCATGGCCACCAAGATCTCCCGACTTATCCCCAATTGAGCACGTGTGGGATATGATGGGTAGGAGATTGCTCAATTTGCAACGTCCTCCTCAGACTCTAGAAGCACTTCGAGAGGAGTTGGTGGTTGCCTGGAATGAGATACCACAGGAGGACATTGACCACCTGATCAGAAGCATGCCTAGGCGCGTTGGAGAATGCGTAGCACATCACGGTGCATCCACACATTATTAAAGGTCAAAGGGCTTTAAAGCAGTGGAATCATTTTGAAATTTTTATTATTTACTTATTATGCTTCATTAAGTACTTATACAAAATTTTATTAAAATAAAACCATTTAAACTGGGTGTTCGTATTTATATGTCACTTAGTATATGACACTTATGTATAGATAGCATGATTTTTTCAGTTTTAAACACGCTCCTACAAGTTTCATTGAAATTTGGTCCTTTGTCAGACATACTGCTATGTTATGAACAAAAAAATTTTTTTGAATAAACCTATTGCACCCCTAAAAAATAATCCCATACTTTAGAACACTTTAATACTGGAATTATTTAAGTACCTTGTTTTGATATTGTGGGCATAGGCACATTATAACATTTTTTGGTTCACAGGTTGGAGTCAGAGGAGCCAATGCAGTAGTTCTAGGTGTTGAAAAAAAATCTGTTGCAAAACTGCAAGAGGAACGCACAGTAAGAAAGATATGCCTGTTAGATGACCATGTTGTTATGGCATTTGCTGGACTTACTGCTGATGCTAGGATATTGATCAATAGGTAACCAGCTCCATATTATGCAAATACATCTGAAATTTAGAATCTAGCATTGGTATTAGTACCTCACCTATTTTATATTGATTAAGATATCATTTCCAGAGCGCAAATAGAATGTCAGTCACATAAACTGACCGTAGAAGATCCTGTCACCTTAGAATATATCACAAGGTATATAGCCTCACTGAAGCAGAAGTACACTCAAAGCAATGGGCGACGTCCATTTGGTATATCTTGTCTTATAGGTGGTTTTGATTATGATGGAAAACCTCATCTTTACCAGACTGAACCTTCAGGTATTCTATCAAATTGCCTTTAATGATTAGAAATTCTATACTAAAATCTTTTTATCTTGGGACTTGGAGTGTAATACATAAAAACCTTTATTGACAAATTTGTGATGAATCGTATTGTGTAAGAAATTTTCAGATTTATTCACACTATCAGCAGTTAATAATAAATAGCTAATGCATTGAGTAGGTGGTTATAATTTATGGCGTGAAATTAGACTCCAAAGTAAAAACATGCCAACAGACCATCTCTTATTCTGCCCAGCTAAAATTTAGAGTAGTTTCCAGGTAGAATTGAGAATAAAAATGAATTCAAAAAAATTACTTTTCAGTGTGGTCATAGATATAGAATATTTGGCAAGATCCATCTTATAACAAGATAATTTATAATTTGTGCTTTAAAGCCTCAAGATAAAAAAAATGTGTAATGCCTGACATTCTTACCTAAGTGTGTGATATACTATTTTCAGGTATTTACTATGAATGGAAAGCCAACGCGACTGGACGATCCGCAAAAACCGTTCGAGAATTTCTCGAAAAATATTATACAGCAGAAGAAGTAGCTACAGAGAAAGGCACTGTAAAGTTAGCTATCAAAGCTCTTCTAGAGGTGGTTCAATCTGGCCAAAAGAATTTGGAAATTGCCGTGATGAGACACGGCGAACCATTGGAGATGTTGGACGGGGATACAATTGAAAAGTACGTTTCCGAAATTGAAAAAGAGAAGGAGGAAGAAGCTGAGAAGAAAAAAGCGAAGAAGTGAAGGTGTTTCACGTTTGCTGATCATATTTTTAATTTTAAGCTTGGCGGAATGTCTTTTCTAATAAAGTTCAAATGTTCATTTTATGTGTTTTTTAGATATCCATTAAACCGACCAACGACGTCAACTACTAATGTTCTAGGTGTTTGCCAAATAAACTTTCAAAGTTTGTAAGAAACGAATATTAGAATACCCAAGCATACATCCACACTTTTTAAACTGTTTATCCTACAATGTTACTATTATTTATATTGATCTTCCTAAAGTATATTTAGTAAACAATTTTCATTACCTGTCTTTCTACAAAAAATTAAAACAATATTACCTAACCCCCCAAACATTTAATTTACATAACCAAGCATGTTTTTTTTCATCCATTGTTTCATTGAGGCTAACAATTTTTGGTGTACTTGGGTTTGGAAAGCTTTTTATTTTTTACTTTCAATGCGTCTAAATAGATCTGTTTGTGAATAGTGTATTGTTGTAAACATCTGCTAGCAACTATACTCAGTGACAAACTGTTTAAGAGAATTCAAGAATTTTTTACATATTGATTTATCTTGCCATGAACAACAAGTGATAAAATTGTCAACATTTTGAGGTGGCTGCGTGTATTGCTTGGTGATAAAGAATCAATCAGTTTTCGTACATTTACATAAAAGAAATATTTCTGATGCATAGTGATAAAAAGAATGACAAAAGTACTATTATTATTCGTACTAGTCTATAGTCGTGACAATATGTCACTATAGTGTATCTACACCCAAGATAGAATGGATGCGTGATTGCCAAAAGCAAGGACGGCGTACAGGGCCGCATCCAGGGCTACTTCCGAATGATGGACTACCACCAACGTGTTGTAAAACAAAGATGACAGTATTTAACAGAAACTTAACAAATTACTCAAATACACTTAACAATAAGCAAGGTGAATACGAAAACAGGAGCACGCGACGGACGGTGGCCTCGGTGTAAGTCTGCCTGCCCTGCCCCTGCCCCGCGCATTATTCCGCCAGGCGGCCGCTTGAAATTTAATGGCGAATTGACCAATAAGAGGCGTCGTCCCCACCTGTTACCGAGAGATCACGCGCTAACTGTTATTATTTACATCTCATCTTGAATTTGGATTCAGTTTAGATATATTTTTATTCTCTTTGCCTGACATTGGTGTGCCACATACGCTGATTCTTCGCATCTGGGGAATCACCGAAGATACTCGATGATTTGGCTACATCGCAGTCATTTTTTTTTTCGCGTGCGTGTGCCCAACATTATAAGGAAGACTGGGAAGAATTGACAGATTTCCGAGGCTGGCTTAAAAAAAGCAATAATGCATGGTCTGTGATAAAGATATTGACATCAAAAGTGGAAGAGATGCACTTATAAAACACGCAAATGGACAATTTCATAAAAATTGTAAACAATAGCAGAACAGCCAAAACTGTTGTCATTTGCAGGTGCATCAAAGAAATTAGAAAATGATATTAAAGAAGGTAAAATTAATTAATCTATTTGAGATTTTATAGATTATTTTATTATTTCCAGGAGAAATTCGTTTGTGCGCATTTTTTTCCGAACATAATTTGACATTCCTGCTGATGGACCATTTGGCAAAGCAAAATTAGTGGATAATATGACTGATAAAAACTTATACAAAAATGAATCGGAAGAATGATTATCCAATATAGCTTACAAATTTTTTATTTTACACACTTTTTCTGTTTTTTATTAAGAATATTTTGTTTAGTTAGCTAAAGTGAGATATAAACTGTTTAGTTTTGTTTTGTCTTTCCGTTTTAGAGTATATTTTGAGTTAAATAAAATTGTTTTAGGCCTTCATTTACTCTTCGGTATTCAATCTACCGAAAAATTCCACACAATTCTTCCGAAATATCGTCGACTTCACCTGGCAACACTGACTCGAGCCATTGCTTTAATCAGTGGTTTGAAGAGCAAGGATGGATGGTTGGTATGCATGTATATCGCCGAATACGACAGAATGGCCTTTTTCTTATTGCCCACATTGGGTGATACCTCTCACGGCTGAACTTCGGCGTAACCGTGAAAGACGTGATCCACAATTTGACAGAGAGCGTCACGTTGACTACACCGTGGGATTTATGGTATGGAGAGCTATTGCTTTTGGTAGCAGATCACCACTAACTTAAAGCTGTCGTTTACCTCATGCTCACTAGGAGCAAGTGTCTAATGAACTCTATTAGCACACTGATCTACGTAGTCAACATTTTATCGTTTTTTTGGCTTTATATAGGATTTTTACGTAATAACCCTGCTGGTTCCAGATTGTAGATCAATTTATAGTTGAGTTTTACATTTAAATGAAGCAACATATACTATAATAGAAAAATTTTTTCATGATTCATAATTTTTTAGAAAGACTAAAATAAAGTTGTGAGAAAGAGTAGGAATATTGGTCTGAGAAACGAAGAATTCTCGAAATGTCTGGAAAAATTTCCAATGAATTTTGATTCAGTACTTATTTTTCAACCCCCGTATAGGACTAGCTTTTTTGTCGCTATGTGTAATATTGGTTGCCAACCACTGACGTAAGATAAATTTTTGAGATGATAGTTCAAAATAATCACGCGGGTTATGTTACAAATTTGAATAAAAATGTTCAAAATCTTTCAAAATTTGCGCTATACAATAAATAATATTCGGGGTAGTTCAAAATTGAAGGCAACACCTTCATTTTATAACCACTCCAGACGACCGCCAAATGTATGGTTATGTCCAGTTATCCTGCAACCAAATTTCAAAATTTGTTTCCTCCCTCCCAACGTAGCTATAGCTTTAAGCGTATTATCCTGGCTGGGATTCGCAGAAGAAGATGAAAATAAGGAATCTGAGCTTATAATGACTCTCAAAAGGGCAGTGCTGTGTACCAGAAGAGAGCAGTATGATAAGGTTATTCAATGCCATATCTTTTGTTGCACTTGTAATATTGATTTCTGTTTCTACTTTAAAAGGCTGAACAGATGCTCCATGTAGCTTTAAGATTGGCGCAGCAGCAACAAAATCAACAGGGAATATTGTATTGCTATGACTTGATGGCCAACCTTGCTTTCGATCAACTTCAGTTAGAGAAAGCCGAGAAGCTGTTCATCAACGTTTTACAGTTACTGCTGAGTAAAGGAACTGCTCAGAATGACCTCAAGGTTTGCCTTAATAATTACCAACCTAAATCTGCAGCTATCCTCGGCGTGGAAATAGTGTATAGGTTATTCATTTCGCATTAGTGTGCAGATTGTTTAATTAATGTTGTAATGAGGTGACATAGCTTTCTTCAGATGCCATATAGTGTTTCCAATATCAAGCTTCACAATGTTTTCAGAAGAGGATAGGCTAAACCTTTGTGTTTTATGATTTTAACTCGGGTATTCATTCATAAGATGTAATTCTTTCTCCGAAAAGGCCAGTGGTGTAGAAAATATTTTCTAAAATATGGGGCCAGGTACCCCAGTTTCTATATCGCTGGTTTAGTTTGGGCCGGGAAACTTTGTGTGTTTATTGCTGCTTTGAAAGACATTAATGAAGTACATTGCATTTACATCTCTGAGCTTTATACATTTTATATTGCACTCTGTTGAAATAAGATGTAATTTTTAGGTGATACATATAAGTCTGAAGCTAGCTCGTATTTGTCAGCTGAGGGCAGAAATCGAAAAAGCTGATATTGGTTACAAATGGTGCTTGGACCAAATAGAACATGAAAAGTACAAAGACAGAGACTCTAGGATATTATATGGAGTGATAAATGACTGGTAAATACTCAATTTATCAAATAAGGCAAAATAGAGCTGATAAAAAGTCTACCTTGTCAAAAATTAAATACACTATTTTCTATATTAGTTCAACATATTCAAACGCAAAAATAAATAACAGCGGATCATTTAGTGAGATACAAAATACCCTGTATCAAGTTGCTAGCAATGCAGATGCTTTTGTGTGCTACTCCATCTTTACAGTGTGCCCAGGGCTCTGGCTTCCTGGATGGGCTCCCAAAAATCGAAAGGAATTTCCAAAAATTGAGTAAACCTCTCTCCAGTGGCGGCTCGTGGCAAAATAAAACTGCAAATCCTATTTTTTATGCCAGTTCGATCCTGCGCTCCTTCTTGGCATCACATTTGTCGATCACCTTCCCATTGAAATTTTCCATGGTCGAAATAAATTCCCTCTCAATGGGCAGCATCGACAACGCTGTAAGGCGATCCTGGGTCATAGTTTTTCGAAGAAAGGTCTTGATTCTTTTCAATGTTGAGAAATTTCGCTCAGCCTCTGATGTTGACATAGGAGTTGTAACAATAATTTCTAATAGCTTTTTTGTTTCTTTTAGTGTTTCCTCCAAACTATTTTGTATCAAAAATTTCAAAAGAAACAGAGTTCCATGTAAATCTCGGCAATCATTCCGTGCATAAATAATAGACAACTCTGTCTTTAAACGACTTTTTTCTAATTCGGGATAAGGTAGGTAGGTAGTTTCCAACTTGTCATCAGGAAACTTACCACAGTATTCTCCAAAGTGTTCAGGGAAAAAAGGGATGCGGCTACCAAATGATCTGTGAATTGAAATCTGTCATTTGCAGAATTCACTATATTGTCGCATTCTAATGCGGCAACTCGGTGATCGTGGTTCCTATTATTACGTCGTCTCCTTTTGTAGCCTTGGGGTTCAGTGCAAATCAATTTTATTGCTCACATCGACAGTACATTTTCCATCGATAGCCGTTTTAAATTGCGCTGGCTCGGTTTTTGTCTTCTGCAACTGGTTGAACAAGATGTCGACGTGAGGCATGACATGACGAAAAAATGTCAACCAAAACACGAAAACAGAATCGTTTAACATACGGCGAATACCGCTGCTTTGCAAATGGTTTCGTTAGTGAAATTTTCTTCTATTTCTTCCATGCATTCAAGAGTGATTCTCTGTTCTCAAACACTACATTTATTGTTCGAATATTAAAATTCCAACGAGTTGTTGCTCCTTGAGGAATTTTTTCCCCACAATTCTGTTCAGTACCTGTACGCGTTAAGGAGAATTATTAAAAAATCCCGGAATATCTTTCAAATCCCCAAAGAACACCCGAACTTGAGCATTTGCGGAAGCAACTTGGGACATAATTCGGTTTAACTGATGCGCATAGTGAGCAAATGGATATCTTTGTTTAATTTTTGCCTGTACGCTGTCCGCTCATTACCGCGGCTCCATCATAGCTTTGTGAAATCAGTTTGTTAGGGAAATTTCGTATTAATGGATCTCCGACGCTCAAAATATGTCTTGTGAGAGTATCAGCGTCACATTTTTCGGGATTCATATAATTCCAAAAACGTTCTACTGGTTCGCCGTTAAATACGTATCTGAAAGTTGTTACCAGTTGGGTTTTCCCCGAAATGTCCGTTGTTTCATCTGCTATTATCGCCAAATTCGAGGCTCTGTTAATCTGTTTTATTAGTATGCAAGGGCATTCTTCCTGTTGCACCCACAAATCCAGTCATTTCTGGTGTAAATCTCCCTGCGGAAATACCGCGTATAGCCCTTGCCCCGACTAACGCCCTGTGTTTCTATAAATATGTCCGGCATCGTTTCACGCTGATAAGTCTGTAAACCACATCCATTGTCTTGCACTACACAGCCACAGTCAGTCAGTGAGTCACTAGTCACTCAACGCAAGACCCAAAATACCTAAATAAACAATTTTTCGCATTCAAATTTTAAGCCACGTCTCGTGACAAGACCAATATGCCAATACCGCCGAGGACCCACCGACCAATCAGATATCGTACTTCGCATTAGATCTGTACGGATCTGTATAACGTGCACCACATGCTTATGCTTAAATCGCGCATTTGATTTTGTAGAGAGAGAGACAAAAGCAAGCGCGTGCGGCTTGTGTCGAAGTAGTGCACAGACCCTTTTCAAGTGGCCCGTGAATAATGTTACGCTGCGGTCGCGGCGAAAATGACGAGTACACAATTGGTCGATTATAATGCTTTCTCAATACAAAACAGACTTGACACCGTGTCTTGCGGGGGCAGCGTTGCCGGTATTGTTTCTATTTGTGTGATGACATGGAAAATAAATAATGATCAAATTACTACTGCTTTTTTCTGTTAAGACAAAAGTTTTGGCAGTTCTGCAGAGCTTAAGGGCCAGCCGCCCTGTCTCTCTCTATTTTTCATTTTTTTCAATGGCAAAGTTAGACCCAGAATCTTGCTCTGCGCTTGGGCACATTCAGCCATGAGCTTCTGTTGTGTGTTCAGAGCAAACCAACAGATGTAACTGCTAATAATTCTGATTCATCTCAACTCAGCTAAGAATTAAAGCAATAATTCGTGGAAATAGTTGGGCTACTAAATTTCCACAGATTGACTGTTGTCAACAGTAATTTAGTAAGACAAAAAGATGCTAGGATCTCTATATCAGGAGCCCTCAAGAAAAGTATTTTGGAAGGAAAAATCAGACAAAATGAGTATTCGAAAAAAGAGTCTGGTTAGACACCTTAGGGGACATTTGAATCAGAATATGATGAAATCATGTTTTGAATAATGCAGATTGGCTCTGAAGTCTTCAATGATCATAGAAAGAATATAGACCTAAATACTAAAGTTTGTTTTTCATAGGTATGCACAGTTTCTCCTTGACAGAGGTGATACATCAAAAGCAATGGTTCATTTGAAAGAAGCTCACAAGGCTTGTAATGAGACTCAGGGTGATATTTCAGAGCAAAGTGTGCTTCTGTTGAATGATTTGGGTATAACCAGCTTTAGGGCAGAAGACATGGATGGTGCAGAGAAGTATTTAAAGGAAGCATTAAAAGTTGGGAACAACTTGGAGGATAAGTCTCAGCTTGGCGTCATTCATGCCAATTTGGGATTGATTTTGCTGGAAAAAGGGGTGCTAAAGGAAGCTGAGAAGTACTGTGGGGAAGCGCTAAAATTAGGTGAGAAATATTGATTAAAATCTAATGTGATATCTCATATCCATCAAGGTGGTATTTTTTTTTAGGGAAAAGATACGAACATGCAGAATCGTTAGATCAAGCAAACTACTGTTTTGATCAAATCAAACAAAACTTAGGAAAATGAGGTTTTTATTTAGTCATCAGTCTCCTTTTAGGAGAAAATAAATTATTGTTGTATTTTATAAAAATATATAGATATTATATGTATGTTGTATAATGAACTTTTTTAAATGCAATAAATATGTTTTTACCAAAAACATACAAGACTTAACACACTTAAAGGAATCTATCAAATTAAAGGTTATGATGAGAATTTACAGCAACACCTGAATATTGACGAAAACAATAATTACGGATTCAAAAAAATATTCAACAGAAGGTCCTTAACTTAAACATTGTGATTCAAGACAATATTCCATATCTATGCCCACATAAAACTGAAAATACTAATATACTAAGTCTCATCATTCGAAATAACTTATGAGTCCTATTAGCGTTGATTAACACATCCAGCATCCAAAACAGGATCTAAAAAATACTTGTCCCATCTATGGAAGAATAGCAGAACACAAAAATGAATTTAGGCATCTATGCTGAATAAAGTGTGTTTGGCTCTGCATCTGTCCCATAGATGGCACTAGGATCTTCAATCAATAGTATTAGTGACGGTCCTTTAATACATCAATTCACCGAAGATACTATCTATACCTTAGATAGTGATCACAAATTATCATCAGGTGATGCCTAATAAACCTCAAGACTATTTACATAAAGTAAGTACCAAATCATTCAAACTCCGCAATCAGTACCATCATCCCAACGCCGGCAAGCATGGCGGCAACTTGAAGGAACGTCTGTATCACGCTTGGCTTTTCTTCGTCCAAGAGTTCGGGAATCACAGACACGAGGGCGATGTAGATAAAACCGCCAGCAGTGAAAGGCAAGATCCAAGTGGCGGCCATTGCGCCTGAGCTATTTTGGGCTAAGAGGGATAGGGCGGTACCTTGTGCAAACAGGAAAATTCTAAGTTAAATTCGTCGCATAGTTTTCAGATAAAAATGCAAGGTGTGTTTGGAGTGGAGCTTATCTTTTAAACTGTGCCTGGGAGATTTGCAAATTGGTGTTTTAGGGCCGTATCGTCAGTCGTTCCTATAATTGTAGGACGCCCTGATTTTCATAGTCTTTTCTCTCCTTCAGAAAGACTGGGTTATTTCTAGATTTCTACTGTTCCGTGTCAGCGTCAGGGCTCTCCTAATTGTATTCTTTTTGAATTATAGGGAATTACAGATGATAAAAATCAAAAGCACAAACAATTTATTAGTAGTCCACCAGTGTGGAACTCCGTTTTTCACCTACAAATGCGTCATTTTGTCCGCAAATGGTTATCGACTGTTCTCTCGGGGTTGTAGTTTAAATTATCTCTAGGCAAAATGTCACGTTTTTTGCCGACAAAGTCGGTGAGTCAGAGTTATTTTTAAATCATTGAGTCAGTGAATTTTTATTTTATGTACGATTTTAATCCATCACCACTATTTTAAAGGCCATCTCATTTGTTATAGACTTGTCTATTCAACAATGAAATCTCAAACATTGGCACAATTTCTAAGAAACACTCCCAAAAGGTGGTCAAATAATTTTGTTAAGTGTTTACCTGCTACAGCTCCCAGTGCAGTTGTAAGTTGAAGAAGCATTGCATTTTTTCTAGACACTCCAGACTGAAGTAGGATCGCGAAATCACCAATCTCATGAGGAACTTCATGTAGCAAAATTGTAATAGTAGTTACAATACCTGGAAATAAATTATATTTCCTAAAATGAACAAGAAATGTATCTTTTCATATTCTTCAACAGTTCAATAGTGTGTTAAAACTCAATTTAGACATGTTCAAAAATATTGTGTACCTATGGTATTTCCAGCTAAGTACGATGACCCAATAGCCAAACCATCAGTGAAATTATGACTAAAATCAGCAGCCAGATTCAAATAACCAGCAACTTTGATTTCTTTTACTACTTCTGTTGTAATTTCTTCTTTCACTTCTTCTATTGTATCATCTCCGTCTTTTGCTTTCACTTTCTTCTTTTCTACTACCTAAAAGAAGATGAACTACCCTCAACAAAGCCATGCTTCCAATTAGGGTAAACATATCTATCATCAGTAGCTTTCGAATTCTATACAAGGCATTCTTAGAGTTGGGACTTTATATGGTATAAAATAGGAATTTAAAAAACTTGTGATTTTTATTCTAACAAACATGGTCTTTTTTTCTATTTCGATACTACTTCACCACATATTAGCTTTCTTATTTTAAGTATAATTGTTTCTGAAAAAGGAATGCTCCAACTTTCAGAACATTCCATACATAGCAGCACTGTTAATGACAAAACTGGTCCACACAGCAACCAACTGTAGCCATTTACACTTAATATGATGCCTGATATACAGGCTGACCAATGACCCTGTATTTAAACCTGCACCATTATAGTCATACCTGTTTCTGCACAACTTTAACTGGCTGATGGGAATGTCCATGGTTGCCTTTGAGAATCCTCACTCCTTTTTCAACAACTAAGAAGGCTAAGATCCCACCAAGTACCCACAATCCCACAGACATGTCATGAGGACCATGAGGCTCTGCTCCACCATGGGAGTGTGAATGGGAATGGGAATGCTCTTCACCTTCTATTGCCATTGCTGCATGTGGAATCAAATGCAGGAATGCATCACCAAGAAGGCCACCTAGATAGTATTGAAATTTTATGCCAGAAGAAACATACAAAAGAATTCCAAAGTTCATAGAGTCATTGTCTTTTTATGGGTTCAAAACAATACTATATATTTCATTTGTCAAATGCTGGGTTAGAAGTTGTTTTTTTATGAACTGCTAGATTGTTCATTACTTAGGCCAGGGCTGTCCAACATACGGCCCGTGAACTCCCTTCTTGCGGCCCGCTTCACAGGTCATCTATACATCACATGTATAAATAATTACTCTCAAATACCGAATATGCACAATTCTAACATTAACTCAGTAATAATGTTGTATAGAAAGATTTTATAATGCGGCCCTCCAAACTGCATTTTTTTTTTAAGACCCTTGGGCCACATTAAGTTGGACAGCCCTGACTTAGGCTATTGTAGATCTCAAATCTCAATGCATTGAAATGTCCCACAGAGATTCGAGAGCTTTTCGTTGCTAAAAGTATGATTTAAACCCTGATAAGAAAATAAATTATACATGAAACCTTCTAGTTAGGCCTTAACTGATTAGCTTTTAGGCATTTTTTTTCATGATTGTTTTGCGTAAAAAAGAATTGTCAATTTGAAATTCACATTTTTCCTGAGCTCAATTAAATGTCATCCCCATGCAAACTCCATCATAAGTCCATTGTGGAATGGAATATATTTTACATAAATGACTTTAGACCATCGACATATGGACCTGCCGTTCGCGTTTGGAATTGACGCCGGCGCAGTGCAAGAGAGACAGCACGTGAAGGATAGAGCTAACGCGGGCAAACGTCGTACGTTAGATCTGTATTGTGCATGTGTTTCTTTCACTGTGGAAAGCTTTACTCATATTTTTGCCTTGAAATTAGTTTTAATTGTTGATTTTTCACAACTTCAAACCAATTACAAGATGGTGCAGTCTTGTTGTGCTATGAACTGTACGACCAGAAGAGAAAAAGGGGTGAAATTAAAATGTCTGAGGTAGGTTATGACCAGTGGTTATGGCAAAGATTACAGAATTAAATAACAGAAACTTTGGTCATGAAAAGGCTATAACTAGAGTTTTCTACTTTCAGTATACCCAAGGATCCCGCAAGGAGGAAACAGTGGTTAGTTGCCATAAGAAGGGAGAATTTTAATCCGAGTGATAGGACAGTTATATGCGAAAATCACTTTACAAAGGACGATTTTGAGCTGAATGTACATGGAAATACAGTTCTCAAGAAAACTGCAGTGCCTTCTGTTTTTAATTTCCCCGTACATTTACAGCAAAAAGTAGTAATAAGGAGACCTTTAAAACGAAAGATATCTGATAACAAAGGTTAGCACTTCAGTACATAAGTAATGACTGAACCGTCTATTGATTAATATTATTTACAGAACATGGTGCTATTGCCAGTACATCAGGCATAAATACTGAACCAGTATTAGGAGTTATGTCAAGTGAATCTGTCAGTGCTGAAAATGAGGATATAGATTCTGAGCAACCTACTACTACATCTCAAATGGAATTCCCTAAAAGGTAACAGGATAACAGTTATTGCTATTTATTTTCTATCTACTTGCTTACCTAAGCATTTATTAAATGAATTTACAGATCAGAAATTAGTTTCTTTCATTATGTGTTAAATGTTTCTTATTGTTTTAGAAGACGAAGAGATCCAATTTTCTTTGGTGACTTCAAAGAAAGTGATTTAGATGATGTGCAGAAGAGAAAAAGATTTTGGAAGGTAGCTCATCATACTATAGCAAAGTCTAGGAGAAATATCAGGTATTATCAGTGCATAGCCAGAAGACAAAAGAAGAAGATAAAAAGCCTTAATTTATTGTTGGACGAATTGATGGAAAAAGAGAAAATTTCATCACAGCAGCTCATGGTATTGAAGGTAAACTATTTATTTTTTTGCATCACACATAGTTGGTTTGTTTGTTTTCTGTAAATACTTAGTAGTTTGCATCTTGTTCTTAATGTTCAACTGCTGCACAATAAAATCCTTTGATCAGTAGAATAATTACTTGCTCATGGGAAGAATGCGAGGCACATACACACATATGTATGTATAGTTGATTGTATAGTATGTATATATGCTCCATGAAAAAAGCAGCGCACTAACAGGCTCCATTACCATTGTTTAAGCAAGGTTCTTTTTTATATTTCTAGGCAAGTATTCCTGAAGTACAAAAAGCCATACTGTTTAGGCACCTCAAAAAGGGCATCAAAGGAGGAAAATATAGCCCTCAACTGAGATGCTTTGCTTTAACATTAAATTTTTATTCTTCTTCTGCATATCAGTATGTTAGAAAAGTGTTTGGCAAAAATTCTCTCCCGCATCCTAGAACACTAACAAAATGGTATTCTACTGTAGATGGTACACCGGGGTTTAGTGCAGAAGCAATACGGGCTGTCAAAATGAAAGTTGACATTGAAAAAGGAAAAGGAAAGCAACTTATAGCAGGTCTTGTGATTGACGAGATGTCCATTCGTGAGCATGTACATTGGACTGGTAGTAGGAATGTTGGATACATTGATTATGGAACTGGTATGCAGAATAGTGACCAATTACCACATGCAAAACATGTATTTGTGATAATGCTTGTAGGTTACAATATATATAGGTGGAAGGTTCCCATTGCCTATTTTTTAGTAGATGCTTTATCTGCTGAAGAAAAGGCAATGTTAATTAAGGGGTCTTTCCTTTAGTTGGAAACAACTGGGGTGCTGATTAAAAGTATCACATTTGATGGGTGTGCATCCAACATTTCGATGGCAAATTTGCTGGGAGCAAAGCTCAGTTTTCCTGGAATGAAACCATATTTCATAAACCCAGTGAATAAGGAAAAAGTACATATCATTTTGGACGCATGCCACATGATTAAATTAGTACGTAATACTTTGGGTGATTGGGGCATATTATGTGATGGAAATGGAGACTCCATTAAATGGTATTATTTTAAAGAACTGGTGAAGCTGCAAGAGGAATCAGGGCTTCATTGTGCCACTAGACTAAGGTCTCGACATATTAACTATTACAAAGAAAAAATGAAAGTGAAGCTTGCTGTCCAGACCTTTAGTGCTAGTGTTGGTGATGCCCTAGAATACTGTAATCAGGACTTGAATATTACAAAATTTAGAGGTAGTGAAGCAACTGTTTCTTTCTGTCGAAAAATTAACAATATTTTTGACGTTTTAAATGTTAGAAATTTCTACGGGAAAACTCCTTGTAAAAGGCCTCTTTTCAAGGGAAACAGCGAAACCTTCAAAAATTTTATCAAAGAATCTGTAGAATATTTAAGTTGATTGACAGATCAAAAGCACGATAAAGTAATAGAAACAGGCAGGAAAACTGGTTTTCTAGGACTCATTGTTTGTTTGTTAAGTGTTAGGAATTTATTTGAAGATGTGGTTGAGGGTGATAAGTTACAGTTTTTATTAACTTATAAGCGAAGTCAAGATCATCTTGAAATGTTTTTTCAGCAATCCGTTCAAGGGGAGGCTTTTCGAACAACCCGACTGCCTGGCATTTCGAAAATGCATATAAAAGACTCTTGAGTCATAGTGAAATAACTACCTCAGATAGTGCAAATTGTCTGGCACAGGACAATACCTCGATTTTAAATGTTACCATTGAAAGCAAAAATAACTCAATTTTTACTACTGACTTATTATATGAACAGACAGAATCTTCAGATGCGGAAGATGAGTTATTCATTAAAAACTATAACACAATTGCCAACTACACATATATTTGTGACATTGTTGAGTATATTGCTGGGTTTATCAGCAAGAAATTAGTTAAAGCATTAAATTGTAATGAATGTGCTAATGCTTTAACTTCGGACAATTCTTTGTCGCTGCTTTTAAATAAAAAAAATCGAGGAGGTCTCTGTAAGCCATCCAGAGATGTTGTGAAAGTGTGCATATGTGCAGAAGGCTTAATCAAATCAGAATCAAACTTTTCTGCTCTAAACCTTATGCTAAAATTGATATCTTTGTCGATAAGGAAACTCAATTTCGACACACTATTCGTTGGCTTGAAAAGTCATTTCCAGGATCAGGATCCATTACAGAGCCATTGCCTGCAATTAATTAGGCTTATATTAAAAAATTACTTTTCAATTAGAATACACCACATCAACACTACAAAAAATGAACCGCGCTATAGAATAAGGCAACATCTGACCAAAACTATCACCTTTAGCCATCAATAATTCTTTTTTTTTATATAGAATAACTTTTTGTAATATCAATAATTATCATTAAGAATTTTTCATACTGTATTCTGTAGATTAAGGTTTTTGTTTTGTAAGTACGTGAATAAAAATTAATATTATATATATTATCGTTTTTTTATCGAGTAGAAGTATAAAAATCCCATTCCCTTTGCCTAAATCTATTTTTATAAAGATATCATAACTTTAAAACCATCCAAATCCTGTTAAGCGCGCGGCTTTTTGCCCGCGTTAGCTCCGTCTCTCTCTCGGATGTTTCTTTCTAACGTTGGCTGCAAGCAGCTGTACGTACAAGGATAGGTACGGGCGGGTCCATAACCTTTAACATGTCAATGCTTTAGACCAACTACTCACTTCAGAAAAAGGGTAAAAACATAAATTATACATACATACAATATAGCACAAACATTATGCAGCCATACTCTTTATTTGGGATGGAAAATATTGAAAAAAATTCACTGTACTGAGAGAAAAATAATCATATAACTGTTATGGGTTATACAAAAAAATGGACACTACAAAATCCAGAAAATACCTTACCTGAGGCAAAGGCCAGCAAAACTTTCAGCAAAGGTTGTTCAGTGTCTGTGCTATCAACAGGTACAAAGAATAAAATGAAAAATGGGGCAGCACTGATAAGCAAAGTCGAAGCCATAGCATGGATCCAAATCTCTTGCAACGTCATTATTTCCTTAGCTGCTGAAGACGTCGAATGGTGTTCATGAGCATGTCCATGTGTTCCAATATGGTCATGTTCACTATGACTATGGCCATGATGTTGATCTTGGGCCAATTTTTCGTTGGCTTGCTTAGAGTACTTGAAGGACGGTGGCTCGTCGTGGGAATGATCATGACCGTGAGCTGTTACAAAAAATGCACTTCCGATAAATATTACTAAACACGCTATAAATAAAGTTCTGTGGCGGGACATTTTAAGATTCAGGGATAATCTGCAGTATTGAAGAAAGCAATACACGTATTTTTTATCAGTTTTATGCAAAGTACACGTAACAACTTAACATTAACATATTTGTTGTGATCGGAAAATAGAATTCTTAGGTTAAATGTTAACTTTGACGTGTTGACGTCAGAGATTGATGTAGCGTCAGCAACATCTGACCAAAAACTATAGAACTGGACTGTCCGATTCAAAATAGCCCAGGACAATTAGACTGTTTCTGATAGCACCTAACATTTGACAGAAAAGACTAACGAGTTATTTGGAATTACGACGGTGCTCGGCACAGGTATCATATTTCTTAAAAAGTTACTTTATGTTAATTTTGGACTGTTTGTGATATTATGTAGGTTTTTCTACAACATGTTAACTTAGTCCTAGCTGACTTGTTGTGAACTCGTTTTGTAGTTGTACGTGTCGCCTAAACGTCATGAGGGTGCAATTATCAATTTTTGGCTCTGATGTGATGTAAAATTTGCTTCAGAGATGGCATTACTTGAGGTAACGGGAATGCATAGTGAGGATTTGTGTGCTAATAATGTGTTAATGATAATTCCACTGGATTCTGGTCTCACATACACTTATTTGACACTCGCTAGAAATTAGTTGCGCATCCAGTTTTCCTTATCCATTCCGGAAATTACATATGCAAATTTGCTGAATTTCAAAAATGAGAGAGATAAGAAATAATTATATTCACTATACACTGTCGAATTTCAAGTCATATACATGCTATACTATAACTATCTAAAACTGTAATGACTCATCGATGTTCACGTGAACATCACTTAACTACCAGTAGTCGGCTGTTCATAGGCGGTGTATGAATGTTTAACATGGGTGAACTAGATTTGTCACATGCTTAATAAAGAGTGGTTTGAAACATATTGTAAGTCAAAAATTTGGGAATTACCTTTATTCATCGTCGCTTCCACTTACATCTGACAGTAATAAACTGTCGCTATCGCTTTCCTCGTTGAAATTGACTATAACTGGCTCTATGATGGTGTCGATGTGGTGGTCAAGCTGCCACATTTTTGTTTCTTCCTTCACAACATGATGGATAGCATTCTGCCAAGCTTCGGGCGTTACTAGCTGTATGGAAGTCTCAAGTAAAACCTTAACGTCTGGTAATTTGAAGGTTGTGTTATGGCGCGCAATATAACCCTTCACTTGAGCCCAGATGAGCTCTATTGGGTTCAGTTCACAGTGGTAGGGCGGTAACCGCAACCGTAACTAATGTTCGCAGGTTTGTGCTGTTTAATTTTTTCATACAATTCCGCTTTCACACATGAATCGCCAAACGGGATTCCTTTTTCGCGCAACCATTGCTGCATGTCACTTTTTCGAGATCCCATAGTCGGTACACGTTCGGCTCGATGACTATGGTAGGAAGCATTATCCATGACGATCACAGAATTGGGCTCAACTCGCTGAAGCACCCCTACGGTTCGCCTTAACGCCATTTTGCTATCGTCATCCAATTTAACGGCCTTTCGTCCCTTCAAATTAAACTTTGGATCAGTAGTAGCTGCAGTTTTCTTCTTTTCATGCACCACCCTGCGAATGGTCCACTCTGGAACGCCTGTCATACTTTCACAACGCGCGAGTGCATCTCCCTGCGACATAGTTCTGTTCAGATAATTGAACACGTTGAGCACGATTTCTTTCGCGTCCCTCTTCAGTGCTTTACGAAGCCGTCTACTTGTTCCCTGGCTTTCAGTACTTCCACTCGTGCCATTTGTACTCCCCATGGTTAAGTATAACCAAAACAGTAACCACAGAAACCACAACAATAACAATCACACAACAATTCTTATAAAAACACACAATATGGGATCGCTCAACGAAACACGTTCCAATGCGTTGCCGACGCCTATGAGTCTGCCGGTCGAGGCGCGTCTTTGATTTCATTGGTTCTACCGGCGGAGAGCAATCAGCCATTATTTCCATCTCTGTCTGTGCTGTTGACCACCGCAAAGCCACAGAAACGACATATGTCGTACACTATACGGCTGTACTGGAAGGAAGCCGGGATCGAGCTCTGATCACGCGTATGAGTCATTACAGTTTTAAATAGTTGTAGTATAACAGTAATTACACACAAAGCGGGCGCGGTGGTGATTTCTCGTAATTCTCCTCAAAGTTCTTGAAATCACAAAAAAACGTAAAAAATCGTAATTTATAACTTTGAACATAATCTGTCTTCAGAAAGGACAACATATAAATAACCCATCCAGATGGGATGTTGCTATTCAATCAACTTTCTTCTCAGAGGTTGAAAACTATAGACACTCGGCTTCACGCGTGTAGACGTGTTGAGCTATTCCTCCTTAGATGGATGCTCACAACGATCCTAGTGAGGAAACGTGGAATGACTGTTTCAATTATAAAACTACCTAATCTACAAGATGACATTTTATAGGGTTTTTATATAATACCCGTGTGGACGTGCTTTGGCTCCAAAAATGAACTCTGTCACTTAAGTGACAGCAGTTATTCAAAAAACAGGAGTCTGCTATTTGAGCGGCCAACTTTATTTGAACAATTCGACTAAAAATAAAAGTTGAATTATAGAATCTCAGCAACATCGGGTAAGACTGTCATAATGTTTGGTGAGTGGCATGCTTAACATCGTTGGCGATCACGTGGTATTCTCCGGCTATTCCGTCAATCAAGTTGTACTACTTTTGAAATTTGTCTTTCAACTACTTTTGTATTTGACTAGCCATATAACAAAAGTAAAATGAGTTCAAATGAACTTGGATCAGAGATGTTACCAGACTGGGTGAGCAATATTCAGGAAAAGTACGATGAATATAAAGAACCAACCCTTCATGTATCTACTTTGAATTTGCTGAGGGTCATCTCAAGATCGCTTAAACAAGACTTAAGAGCTTTTGTGACAGCTATAGAAATTATTGAAGAGTATATTCGTGCAAAACGTGGAACTCAGATAAATTCTCCGACACTGGTAGCATTATGTTCAGTTTTTATGGCCAGTAAGTTCATTGGCAACCAAGATTTGAAGATACAGCATATACAGTCCATTGTGCGAAAACTTACAGGGCAAACTTACCAGTACAATGAAGTCGTATTATGCGAGGTAGACATTTTGTCAACTTTGAAAAGCTATGTTCCCATGAGTAACAAAGTCGACGATTTAACAACATTTATATACAAATTTGAAAAAGATACAAGAATTCGAGCAGATGTGATGCCCATTTGCATGGATGTCATGGAAATGTTATATCTAACAAGAAGGCGTTGGTTTTACAGGTATAAATCAAACATTTACACATTTTTATTCAAACAGTAATTTGCCTAATAACAGATATGATTTTTGGGAAGAAAAATATTTATATTCTGTCGAAATAAAAATTTTGAAAAATATCCCTTTGCAGAACAGTTGCTCGGATGGAATTTTTTTATAACGAAAGCAGCCGCGCAGGCAGCAGTCTGAATACTAGGGCCCTCATATTGTTAGTCATGGTAAAGTACAGTGTTTTTGGAGCATTAAACTGTGCTAGTTTGTTGCATCCCCAAGCAGCGATATCCTCCAGGTCTCTCTTCAGAGATAAAGTCGCTGCTAGTCTTCTTTTCTCTGGCACACTGTCAGAGATTAGCTTGTCACTCTTAATTCCTGCATGTAGAGTGCTGACATCATCAAAGCTGTGGATTGGGTTGATCGTACAGGAAATGAGGTTGTTGATATCTAAGACAAACAATGTCGGGCAGAACACTGATTCCTACATCTGCAGGGCTTCTCTGGGAGGCCATAGTATGGAAGTCCGCATAAGAGGACAGTATGCCACACTTGATCGAATGCTTTCGTGATATCAAGAGCAGTGACGTAAGCTAGGAGGACCCCTGTGCATCGCTGCTGCCAGAAACCATACTACCTGTTGCTAATCAAGCCAGGACGTTCACAGAAGCTCTCGATTTATGCACCTCTCCATCACCTTACAATAGAAAGCAGAGCTATAGGCCTGTAGTTGTAAGAATTGGTCTTAGATCTTTTTTCGGGGATGGTTTGGACTTGAGCGAATTTCCAGTTTTCTGGGAAGGTGTCGGATTCGTAAGACATCTGGAAGGGCCGCGATAAAACTGCAGCAAGCTCCGCTGCACACCTCTTCTATACAATGGCAGGAATCAAATCCGGACCAGAAGCTTTGTTGACATCGATGTTACTTCCCGCATAGCCTCGGGAACCCTTTGAATCGACGGCACTCGAGCGTTGGCAGCAAAGATCTAGCCTTCGAGTCGGTTACAATCGTTCCATCCTGGCACGTAAGCAGTGGAAAGCAGGAAATAATTTTTGGAGGATAAAATTAGCCCCTGCCACTTACCATTGTACAACATCCCAGTGTTGATCTTACCCTATTCTATCAGTATCCATTACGGTAGAATGCCAGCCAATTATCTAGTAATATCACAAAATTCTCCATAGGACACATAATTCTGACGGATCCGTCAACGTCTGGTAGACACTGCCGTATTTTGTTTTTTTTCTTTGTACGCTAAAAATTCATTTTGAACTTGCTAACGGCTCTTTTGTTTAGAAAAGTTCATTTAGTTCAGCGTTTTTATGGCCATTTTAGCGAGAACAAATGTACCAATCAATTTTAACGTTTTAGGATGAAGGAAATTTACTCTACTAATGAAGATTCATCCAGAGCATTTAGGACATTGATGAGACATCGACTATTTTTCCCAATTTGCATTCTAATCTTCGTCTTTAGAAAAACAAACTATAAGCATTGCCTGGATGTTGACAAAATTCTTCGCGATATGTCAAAGAAGTGTAATATACATACTGATCACTTCAATGCCCATATTGACTTGATTGATGAGATCTATTCAGAAAAATTCTAAGCGACTGTGAACACTGATAAATTTGTATTTTATTGTAACCATTTTGCAGAACTATAGTTTTTGTTACCTATTATAACTTACAATGATTATGATTATTTTGTAATTATGGATTTGATAGCTTTGTTTGTATTTTTTTGTTCGTTTTGGACGATTTTTGCTCTTCAAACCATCCACAAGACAGTTTGTGGACTACTCGAAATATTGGATAGCCACTACAACGTCAATGTCAAACTAATTTTATCCTCAAACAATTAAATCAAATTCAAGCGGATAACCAAATGGAAATGGTATTTACCATTTTGGGTTGGTATTTACCAATCCGTTCAAGCGAGTGTAGTTATCAGTTTGGTTATAAGATCCGTGACGTCACGAATCAGCTGTTATATGTCATAGTTATCAGCGCAAAATTGTGGTATTTACCCAACTCAAGAGTAGTTTTATATTTCTGGTTATTATTTGAAATGTGACAAGTTAGAATTTTGCCGGGTATTGGATATTGTTATTGTACTTCAGCTTCATTTTTGAGAAAAATGATACAGGCTGACTTCAGTTTTACCATAAAGTGGAGCACCTTATTAGTTATACTCATTACGGTTGTTGGGGACACTTTAAATGTAGTTCCTATGCTTACAAAGTATCCTGTGTAGCCATATACCACAAGAATATTAAAGTATGGCCATATAAACTCACTAGATGATATCCATCTGTATATGGTTTTGCTAATTTCTTTTTTCATCATTTCTGCTGAATCAATAAATGTTTTCTTTGACATGCGGAAAAATTTAGAGAATTGAAAGTTATCATAGCTACAAAGCCATGGTTCCATCATTAAAAAAAATCTGAAAAAACATTTCTCCCATGAATATTATGAAAGGTTTCTTATTTAAACTTTCCATATACAGTTGTAGACGAAAAAGCACCGATTATTAAGTGATAATAAAAATAATCAGATATTATATACGCGATTTTCTAAAATAAACAACTTGCACAAAACCGCGGTTAAAACCAACGCGTTCAAGCGATTCGTGTAACTGACGACATCAACCCGTGTGTCATCTTGAACCATATTATAACCGCGGCACATAACACAGAAATTTTGGTTATTCGCTTGGATTTGATTTTAGTTCATCTCTATTTTCTGTATCAGCTGTAATAAGTTATTAAAGTTACGTTTTACCAAGTTTCCATTTATATTTTCTATTTTTATGGTCAGGAAGGGATGAAGCACAATTGTTGCTTTTCTACTAGTGAAATGATTAATTAAAGAAAAATCCTAGATAAAAACAAATGTATTTTATTAAAAAATAACAATTAATTCTTATAAATACCGACTAACAAATTATTTTTATTGGTACAATGTGTAGGCTGCAATTTACCCAAGTGAACATCATAACCACAACTTTCTGCGTATTTTTTTCTATCAGTATCAACCAAATCCATACAAAAATATCCTTGCTTTGTTTTGCCATTATCTTCTCCATGAGTTTGGTCTGCAGAATGAGCTAGCACTAGATAATCTTCATGGGTAATCTGTCAAAAATACAGTATTTCAAAATTGGTACTAATGGAATAATGTTGACAAATGATGTGCTTCAAACTAAAACTGAGCTGAATCAAAAGTAAATAGTTTGATATCATCTAGATGTGGTGAGAATAATGATAAGCTTTCAACTGTTCTGATATTTGTCTAGACTAAACCTGCGACTGCGCTCGCGTGGAGTACTGGTATATGTCATTCATTTCGCATTAGTATGAGTGAGATTGGTTTCGGGTAAAGAAAGACAGTATTCAAAGCAATGCAATAGTTTCTTTGGCAATGAGCATTTGTCATCCAACATTTTCATGTGACAGTAAGTTAATTTTATTGTTTCGCTTTTTTAAGTTCTCGATAAAAAGTAACGAGTCGACTTAAAAAAATTATATGATGTTTATATTGGATGTCAGGACTTAAACATTAAAGTTTCTTGCTTTTTTTATTTATGGTGGGGGTTTCCATTTCCCATAATTATATGATGCCCTTTCCATACTTTCTGGTCTCTCTCAATGTCAAGGCTAAAAATACACTTTAAATTAAATAAATTTGTGGCTCTTTACATTTTCGGTGTCTAAAATAGAAGCATCATTTATGAAAACTGTCTTGACCTTCAAATGACCTTGGTCGTAGTCAAGGTCACGTTCAAGATCACCATTGGATGGAGCTTTTTAAAACTTATAGCTTTGTTATATAAAATTTCTCTCTATCCGCACTATCTGAACATCCTGTATGATTTCGCGGATAAAACTCTGTCTATGACCTTCCCCGGATTTCAGTTAGTAATTCTACACGTTTGTACATCCCTCCGTTTTGCGGTTTATACGTAATGCTGACAGACTTATATGTAGACAGAAGATAGATATTTTATTTACCCCAAGATCCCGATATGTAGCACTTCTAGGATAGCTGACTCCAACACAGTTTTTGATACCTCCGTAGCAACAAGGACAAACTACAAAGTGTGCCTTGGACGACAGGCATTTGTCAACGACCAGATCAGTGGCAACACCGCAAGCATGGAGTGCTACACCAATATCAAAAGAACCTATGAAGTAGTCCAGGTTTGACTGTACTATGGTAACATTGTTGAGGCCGAGACTGGCGATGCGGTCACGGGCTCTGGACAGGGACTGTTCCTTGTTCTCTACTAGGAACACCTGAAATTAGATCGTTCTTTTCTTATACTGACGATATTCCAACGTAGAGATGACAGATACCGTTATTTTTAATTATCAGTGATTTAAAACCGTGACGTGATCACAATGAGATTATTTAGTATTATATTATTCGGTTTTCGACGCACGCGCATGCGCATTTCATGCACATTCATTCGCCGTTGTCGTGAAGCATTTAAGTTCCCAAAGATGTGATCATGTCACGCTTTTTCGCAGTATTTGGTAACACCAGTAATCCGTAATTTGAAATACCAGTTACTAAATCACAGTTCGTGAAATATCTCCCACCACTGCTATTTTAATGCTCTCTATAATCAAATCCAAGCGAATAACCAAAATTTCTATGTTATGTGCCGCGGTTATAATATGGTTCAAGATGACACACGGGTTGATGACGTCAGTTACACGAATCGCTTGAACGCGTTGGTTTGAACCGCGGTTTTGTTGCAAGTTGTTTATTTTAGAAAAGCGCGTATATAATCTCTGATTATTTTTATTATCACTTAATAATCGGTGCTTTTTCGTCTACAACTGTATATGGAAAGTTTAATTAAGAAACCTTTCATAATATTCATGGGCGAAATGTTTTTTCAGATTTTTTTTTAATGATGGAACCATGGCTTTGTAGCTATGATAACTTTCAATTCTCTAAATTTTTCCGCATGTCAAAGAAAACATTTATTGATCAGCAGAAATGATGAAAAAAGAAATTAGCAAAACCGTATACAGGTGGATATCATTTAGTGAGTTTATATGGCCATATTTTAATATTCTTGTGGTATATGGCTACACAGGATACTTTGTTAAGCATAGGAACTACATTTAAAGTGTCCCCAACAACCGTAATGAGTACAACTAATAAGGTGCTCCACTTTATGGTAAAACTGAAGTCAGCCTGTATCATTTTTTTCAAAAATGAAGCTGAAGTACAATAACAATATCCAATACCCGGCAAAATTCTAACTTGTCACATTTCAAATAATAACCAGAAATATAAAACTACTCTTGAGTTGGGTAAATACCACAATTTTGCGGTGATAACTATGACATATAACAGCTGATTCGTGACGTCACGGATCTTATAACCAAACTGATAACTATACTCGCTTGAACGGATTGGTAAATACCAACCCAAAATGGTAAATACCATTTCCATTTGGTTATCCGCTTGAAATTGATTTATGTTTTATTTCCACAAGCATATGTTACGGGCATTGGTGATAATGGCCGGGTAATAACGTGAATGTCCAGTCAAATTGGGTAGTTTGATACTAAACTCAATCGAGTAATCTTCCGCATATGAAACTAAAAACAAATAAGCTAGGAGGTAACTTACAGGTTTTGCAGATAAATTATATTTTCATGAAGTTATAAATTAAGTTGATTTTACTATTCATACCGGTATGGAGTTCAGATGAAATTACCGTAGAATTACTGGAAGGTTAATTTAATTTAAGCAACTAAAATGGCAACAAATTTTTCGCGGTTAAGGTATATAACAATCGCATTGGTGAGATTGAATAAATGACCAGCTAAATTGAGTAATGACTGTTGTTTGATACTAAGCTGAATCTTAGCTAACTTAGGTTTTACAAATAACTTCTGTTGCCTTGCAGTTATGTGCCTTAGAATTACGGGAAAGTTAATGTTAGGATTTGAACAAAATGATAGAAAATCCGGTAACATAACAACTACATTGCTGAGTTTGAATAATCAACGACTTTGACCGCCAATTCAGGTTTTAACATTTTTTCTCTTGGTTGTTCCTTTTCAGTTCTTACGAATATCCTTAATATTTTTCATCCGTTCGTCCTTATATATCAAGATTACCCAGTCCTTCTCGGCCATTAACGCAAACCGCCGAGCAAAGACGTTAAAATGAAAATATTAACATTGCCCGCCCGCAGAAGGCATAACGCCATTATCGCCAGTGCCCAACTAGCGTCATTGCCGATAACACATATACTATATTTAGCGAGTTTTCTATTTTGGTAGGCATTCTACTTAACGGGGGTCTATTATGCTGACGCTGACACATCGTGCGAATGCGAAGTATCTGGTGGAAGTGAAATTTCTGAGCATTAAATTCGGAATTATAACGCGTAATACCAATCGCAAATTTGCAAAGGGTTGAAGATGACTTAAGTCTTGACAGCTGGAGTTGAAATGAAAAATAAACTATACATTCTCATGTTGATGTAAATATTTTGATTATATCAATGTGCTGCATCCGTATAACCACTGATCAACGAATTCTACTTAGATAACCAACCATATATAATATTATTTTCCGGCGTCCAAAACTGGTTCTGACAAATACTGTAGTGCCATCTATCACAGCAGCAGAACACAAAAATAAATTTAGAAATCTACTTTGAAAAGCATCCCTAATGCGCAAAAAGTAATTGGTGATACAATCGCCATCTATGAGACAGTAGCTGAACCAAACATTCTAACTCAGTACAAGTGCCATTTATGATCAGAATCGACCACTGCGAGCGTGAATTACAGCTATCCGTTTTAAATGGAAAGGTATCTCAGTTCGCGTCGAAAGCAGAGTCATCATTGTTACCGCTTGATGCCGTCGGTTTTGGTGCCACTCACTTCAATAGCATCGATGGCTGGGAACACTTCCAGATCGCCTCACCTCAATTAGGGGCGATTTGGAGTGGCCGGCCAGCTTTCCCGATTTAACCCCTTGTGCTTTTTTCTATGGTTTTTTTTAAATGCAGTTTTTATGTGAACGATCCAAGGACGTCATCTATCTGATTTAATCTTCAAACCTATGTACAACAAAGAACAAACCTTTGGGCATGCGCCTACATTACAAAAAAACAAATAATGTTTTGATTCAAACAATGGGTTTTGTTTTGAAAAAAGGAAGTTATGCTGCCACACCCTGTAGATGATGGTATACTCGCCACTGAAAACTAATAATGCTGCTTTGACCCGCTGCGGTCGGAAGATCAAAAACAGCATTATTACTCTTTGCAAAGTGGATTTCTAAATTTATTTTTGTTCTGTTACAGTCTCAAAGATGGCGATATTATTTTTCAAACCCTTTTTTGGACGGTGGGATACAGTATAGCGAGTCAGCTTGTTAGAATGCTTCTTCAATCCTAACAAATTGTATTAGCTATAGTGAAAGTTCAACTAATCTGGCAACACCATTCGCAGACTTACCCGGCACTTAGGTAGCAAAACAGCTATAAGTATTCCGACATGCCCACTTCCACTGCAAAAATCTACAATTGTCTGCTGCTTATCCCCAGCCATTTTTATCACAGCTTTTGCTAGATTTTCTAATTGCTCGCATTTTCTATTCGCTCTCTTTTCTGGAAGTGCACCGCCATTAGGACTGGCTTCCAGAGGGATTTTTGACCAATTGAAATTAATCTCATGTCCATATGGAATAAATGTATTTGTACTTGTTTGATCAAAGCTTTTCAACACATTGTCAATATCTATTTGTTTCGTATAAATGCGTTTTTGAGGCTTATATCTAGAAAAATTAAAAATTTAATGTTGGTAGTTAAAGTCTACTGAAACCTCGTCAAAACAAACAAGAGCACTTGATCGCCGCTTCTGTTCGGTTGGTTCTGCCTGTCCAGCATTTGATTGGCTGGCCAATAGGATCGTGCGAATTTAAACTTCGCTGTATTGGCGCAGTGTAAATAAGGTTTGAGTACACTATAGTGACATGTTAGTCTATGATGAATAGTTTTAATTACGTCAAATTCGGCATGATGGAACTATTTGCAAATGGTAATTTTAACTCTCCAACCATAACTTCGAAGTCAATGCCATCATATTACCCTGACAATGTGTAGTTAAAGCCGCTCTTCCAGCATCCATATAACATGTTAGACATATTTGAAATATGTTATTCCCTTAAACAACATATTTTTCATTTTAAAGTTTTGATTGACCAGAAATATAAAAGAAACCTAAATTAATGTGGGTCTCACCTTGCTGGATCTGAGGTATACAGACTCTGTTTTTGAAATTCTGGCAGCACCATTTCTTTTATTCCAATCTTACATGCTGGTAGATTGAAACAAAGCTCAGGTAAGCCATTGTTATCCATTCTTGATAACCATTTTGCTGTTAAAGGAAGTTTGCTTTTAATGAGTTCTCTAGGAGTGATAGTGAAGAATATTTTAAAACCTGGATACAAAATAACATCCGCTAATGTCATGGCAGTACCTGGAAAATTATGAGGATACATGTCAGGAAATGAACATCAGAAACACTATAGAGAATGTCTGGTGGAAAACAAATGTCACCTAAGATGGTCTGTCATTGTATTTATATAATTTATATGTTGAAAAAACAGTGGCAATATTTCTAGACCAGAAAGTTTATACAATGTCAAAAAATTTGTCCTAAAATGTCCCAATACCAAGATATAGGGTGTTGTAAATTTCTACGCCACTGATGAGATTGAACAAGGGCAAAACATGAATATTGTTCAAATAAATGCAATAGGCAGAAAAAATGCTCCCTTAATACTCCTACATAAACCTTGATTGTTTCTGTACAGTGAATTGCTTATAACAACTAATCATCAAACCATTATAGCATTTTATATAAATCTTCTTTTGTAAAGGTCTATTTAAATGTGCAGTAAGATATGAGATATTTGGATTAAAAAAATTGACCGATTATGACTTTTTTTTAAAATAGAATGTTCCATATTTTATTACATATTTGAATAGACTCTTCCAAGACAAGAAGGTTGATATAAAATACTCCATACCAGTTCACCATTTTTAAGGTTAGCTCCTTTATATTTTAGGATTAGAAAGTAATCATAAGAAGCTTCAAAATTACATATCACATGACCCATTCCATTAAAAAAAAAATGTTCCAAAATGGTGCCCAGTTTTACCCTAAAATATAGTACATATCTGTGCATCAATGTCACCACTCTGAATTACAAATTGCTAACTTGATCCATTAAATAAATGGCTGGACCTTTTTGAAAAGCACTGTATAATTTTCAATGAAAACTTCAGTCTATTTACAAAGCAGAACGCCTTGGAGCTTCAAATATTCAAAACAATTTTTAGTCTGACAAATGTTTTGCAAGATAGTCAATTCATATAAAAATGAATTCCTTATTTAAAAATGCAATAGATGTTTCAGAAAATATCCTTTTTTTGTTCTATCTAGGTCAGCCCTTCCCAAATTATATTCCATTGGTGCAATCTCAAGCACTTTTATATGCATTGTATATGCTGTAAGTACTAAATGTACAAAACTGCAAGTTCACTATGAATATAATTTTTTATTTTGAAATAACTAAAACAATGAAAAAGCCAATACCTTTCCTAGCCCTTGCCTTAAATACAAGTACTGTTCTATGTTCTAAGTATTGTCATTTACCTTCTCCAAAATCATGTTCTAAATTTAGTTCCTCCTTAGGTATGCTAGATGTAAGACCTTTATCATTATTCTTTTGTCTAGCAGCTTTGTATATATTATGCATCTTTACAGGCTTTGATAAATGGTACTCAAATCTTACAACTTCCTCTGGTATGTGAAATACACCATTCATATTTTCTTGCTTAAGCACCTTCTTTATCATACAAACAATATCAACTTCACAGAACCTTGTCCATATAGAGCTTTCTGAGCAAGCTGCTAAACAGGCTTCCTTGAAACCCAGCAATGCTTTTATATCATTTTTATTACTCAACTTTAGGAGTTGCCGAGAAACTGAGCATACTCCAGCAATTATATGATTTTCTAACACCAAAACTGGCCATTTACAGAATGTTGCAAGTTTTGGTATAAGAGATCCAGTTTGATATTTGATGTGTTTTGTAGAGCATGAAATGAGTGGTTCTTCTGGCACTTCGTAAATTGGTTTTACATGTAGTTCAACCTTACTTGTTGATAGTTGGTAAACAAATATTGTTATAAGAGTTTCTATGTCAAACGACAATGTTTCAGGTTTGTTTCTTGAGGTTTGGTATGCATTTATAAATAAAGCAGCCATTCTGAAAAATAAGAAAAAAGTTGTGAAAATGATATTGGCTAATACATACCTTTGAACTACCATTAGAGTTTGGACAACAAAAGGGTGAGGAAACAAGGCAGCAACTTGAGATGGCAATTTATGACTAAGACCAACTCCTGCCCAGTGTTTTTAAATGCAAGCTTGTTTGCATGTAAGACAGTGATAGAGTATTATTACTCTGAAATAGGCCTTTAAAATCTTTATCAGAATGTCTTTATGATCTTTTGAGGTTGTTTTTCTTGGGGTAATGATGGAATTGCATTAACAACTTGAAATTTCTTGATTATAACTGGTTGTTAGGAAACATTAAAGACAGATACTTTTGCCTTGGTTGTGCATAGCCATCTCTCATCCTGCTTTATGTGTGATAAGGTCATATTTTGTATGCATGTATTATAGAAAGTGCCAAATCTTGAAGCCATCTTCTTATAATTTGAAATCTTGCACTTACCTTATTTAGACAGAATTAGCTAGTTGTCTCTGAACCCTCTGCAGCATGCGTTTCTCTAATACCCTCCTTCTAGTTGTAACACAAATAGTAGAAATTATGCTTGCAAGAAACATAAAGCCTTCAAACTTCCAATATTGCTGCTCATCATAATATGCAGCCTTATCACAACTTCTGGTTACAATCTCACCATTTGCACACTTGAGCACCTCTTTGTAATGAGTATGGATGCATACGCCAATATGTTTGCTTTTGATCTCAAAGGCAGAACAGGGTTCACAGTCTTTGATCACTTCGTACTTTTCCTTTTCCCAACAAGTCGAGTTTTGTTCAACTAAAAACTTTGGCTTTCGTATACGTTGCTTACCGTCAGTCCAGTGGGACTCAATGATCAGCACTAGTACTGTTAGCCTGGAACATACAAGATGAAGCAGATGTTTGGTACATGAGAAAATTAAGCACCTACAATACCAAGAACGTTATTCCAAATACCATTCGCTTTTTAGGACACGACTCAATCATCTTCTGAGTAAACGTTTCTGGTTTAAAGCAGCGAAATGTGTTTTTTCACAGGAAATATTTGTTTCACAAAGAAAAACTTGAATAACAACATAACCACACCAGCACGCACATAACCTCAAATAACTGTCAAAAGGTTAGTGGGCTGGGCTGCGTTCCATTTTAATTATAACTACAGTTTATGGACGGACCGACTAGCATTAGTACTACCAACTTTGTAAATTGATTGAAGGTATCCTGCGACCTTGAGTCACTCGGAATCAGAACAACACAAACTGCACAAATATTTGGGGTGCTATCGCTTCGACTAGACTGTCCACGTGTCCACACTTCTTCAATGGACGATCTCGGATCCCTCTCATATCGATGGGAGTTCGGTGATCTAGATATATCATATAGTTACTATGTGCTTCAACACTCATGCACTGACATACTTCAGTGTTACAGGATGACTGGCAGAAACGACAAAACTTTGAACAGTCTATGTGGCACTTTGGCTATATCCAATAATAAAAATATCATGAATTAAAAAAATGCATGTATAACATAATTTTTATTTCTGAGTAGATGAGGAAGTAACATAAGGCACCATATTCCAATGCCCTTGCGAGAGTGAGTTGTCACACATTATTGTAAATTCCTTTTGGACAAGCTCTTGCGAAGTAACATTTGACATAGTTAGTTTTGGTAAGCCTGTTATTACATTTTCTTGTTGTTTCATAGCTTACCATGACGCCACCAATAACGTAAGAACTGTTTTCGAATGATTTACGCCCCGTCCAAACAAACACCAGTGCGTGGGTAAATGACCTTTGATTAGATTCCATATAAATACCTGTTTCTATAACCATATGTCTTAGTGATTCACCGCCAAAATATCGAACTGACAACTGTGGTTCTAGCTGCAGAATTTGATTATTCAAAGCATAAAGCAAGTTTTCTCATCGGGAAATGTCTAAAGAAATGAATTTCCTGATATTTCTCAATCCAATAAAGCTTTGAAACAGAAGCTAAGCAAATATCAGTTGAAAATGATTTTCCATAAACGAAATACTCAGTTTCATTCTTTTTGGAAACACTTTTTTATTTAAACAAATGCTGTTGTCATGTAACCGTTTTGCATTGGTCTTTTGTAATGGTACATGACGTCATGGCTGGGACACCTGAACGGTCTAGAGCGCGTTCTTTCGGAACGCGCCCTTGGTAACAGCTGGTATGTGCCAAATGTACCAAACCAAAACCTGTGACATAAATATAACCAAACTTATTAGGATTTAAAAATGTTTTAATTTCTTCATTTCAACTAATCTTGAATTTAGGCTTTTATTATAAATTAAGGGTGTATATATGTACAAAGAGTGATAAGATGGACTCCATAATTACTAAACAAGTCAAATGTGGTATTTGCGGAGATGGTCATGCACCTACTGAATGTAATATAGTTGCTGTTAGAAGTTATGTAGGTATTTCTTTTTTATCCCTTAATTCAAATAACTATGTTGCTTCTATCACTAGATTCCAGACAAACCAGTACCTTCAAGGGCACGACTAAGCTTACCCGATAAGTTGAAGCTTGTAACTCTGGCAGATGATACAAATTGTATATGTACTCTTGGTTTAATAGAGAAAGGAACAAAATTTGGTCCCTTCCAAGCCAAGAAGCTCTGCTCACTCATGCCTCAGATTGAGTTTCCTCTAAAAATATTTGCTAGTTCAGAAGAGGATCTGGCAGAATATTATTTAGATACAAGTGATGAATATGAGTGTAGCTGGATGTTTTTTGTAAGAGCAGCTTCTTCATTCGAAGAGCAAAATCTAATTTCATATCAGGTAATTCTGACCTAGAGTTTAAATTCAATGCAGAGTCTCTGAGTTAATAATTGCAAATGCCAGTTTCTATTTCCAATTACCCAGTGCTTATTATTATAATTTGACACTTTACACAGCTTTAGATAAAATTCAGCTGTGCAAGTCTACTAGCAGTGTGATCAAATAGTTGCCATCGCAAATTGCTGCTTGTAAATTCTTTTAAAACCAAATGCTAAATTTTATGTGCATAGACACTGATTATAAACAAATTCTTGGATTATCTGACAAGACAAAGTGCTGCCAACAGTGTGAACAAATCAACAAATTTCTGCTAGAAATATTTTGAATTCTTTAACTTATTGTGCTTTTCAGCTTAAGGAGAATCTTAAAAATTGAAACCATATTGTTGAATACTGTAGTTTTATTAAATTTCTATATTTGAATTTAAAATATGCTCAATATAAGGAGAACAAGGTTGGCACCAAGCAGTTTGACATTCAAAAGGGCATAAATGAGAATTTCTAATCGCTTGAGAAGTCCATGAGTTTATGAAACGTCAAATTCCTGTTTTAAGTGTTTGAAATTTGGCCATGAACTCAATTTGCGTAGAAATACATGGGTTTATTGTCAATGTGAAATGATTATTAGAAAAACAGGAACAAACCATGAGAAATGTGACAACTAAATTAAACTAACACTTTACTTTTACTGCTTACAGTTTAATGTGAATATTATCAAAATAGCAATATTGCTACAGTTTTAATAGAAAACCAAAAGTTGGGACCATGTAGCTTATCTGAAGCATCTAATATTTCATTAAATTTAAGAGAAATTAAGCCACTTTCTCATCTGAAGCTATGGCTGTTTGATGACATTGGCTGTTATCTAAGCTACAATTTTACTATTTTTCCCAACAGGAGTCTGATGATTTATATTATGTTGCAATAAGGGACATACATGTTGGGGAGGAATTAAAAGTATGGTATGCTCCATATTATGCTACACAAATGAATAAGCACTTGCTTTTGCAACCGGTAGTAGAAAAAGAAGTTAATTTTGAAACTGATGGTGATGATCGTCTAGGTATGAATGTGTATTTAATACCATCTACATATTAGGTATTAATACACAAAATTGAATGTATAACATTTTATTAATTTGTAACATTGATGGCATCGTACACAGGTAGCAGATTGGTCCATGATACAGCTGTTCAGCAGTGTCTCATTGTTCAGATCACTGAAGATCCTTTAAAGTTTCGCTTTTCCATGTCTGTATATTGTATTTAACATCCATACTACTTATTAAAAAAATATGTGAATAGTTGCATGTGAATTGTCATCAAGAGATGAATATGAAGTATGACTAAATAAAAATGATGCAAAATTTTTTGTAAATGGTATAGCTATTCATAAGCTTTCAATAACTTTTGTCTGGTAAAATTAATATGTAGTTACCTATTACAGAGGAAATTGTGAGAATGAAGGGTAGAGTAATATTAAGGGATACTTGGAGCTGCAAATTTTGTGGAAAAGTGGAGCATAAAGTAACAGAATTTGCTACACATCTAGCATCCCATTACAGAGCTAAGCTCAGGAATAATTGTGACATATGCAGTGAGTCTTTTTTGACTAAAAGGGTGAGTCTTGAACACATCAGTAAATTGTTGCATCCCAAAAAGAAAACATGGGATTGAAAATAAATATTGTAGAAGTACTGTAACATTAATACTTTTTTAACTATGATGCTGCACTTTTGGGAGCTGACTAGCTGAACTTCACTTTTATCAACATTGTGCTTTCATAGTTTGAAGTTCTACATGAATTGAATTTTCAGTCATACCAAAAGCACATGCATATAGTTCACAATAAAAAGACTAAAATCCTGCACAAAGAAAATCCCCCAGAAGCAAAATTATGTCAGCCAGCCATCTTAGAGAAAGAACAAATCAGAGAAGTTTCAAAAACTCAGGATTCTTGTCTTGGCGGACCATTACTTCTCAACAGCATTGCATCAGAGAGCTTGGATAATTCAGGATTTCAGCACTTCAATCAAGGGATGGTAAGTTGCAAAACACAAATGCATGATAGACATGTTGTAAACAGTGTTCACAACAACCAGATAAGAAATGGCATGAAGTAGATTGACTCTACCGGGGCTTGCACTGTAGTAATCTAATGACATCAAAACATTGCGCTACATCCTCCTCCACCACCTGCAACCTCCCATCCCCTAATTTTTTGCCTCTAATTGTTCAGGATCCTCTGAAACGTCAAAAAACGAAGTTTGAAGGATTTTTATTTGCAGACAGACAGACGGAAATGAATGGCATACGTCATACAACATTCAAAAAACGTAATAGCTCGTTAACAACATTTTTCATGATTGCAATACTTTCTCGCCAATAGTCGACTACCTTGTTGATGTTTTTGATTTTGTTGAATTTAATCTCTACTCTAAGGGATGTGTTAAGATCAAATGGGAGTTTTCAAATGGAAACCAACATTTTCGACCACATGAAGGTGACGCCCATGACATTTTTTAAGACGTGTATTCGTCAGCTAGCCATACACGACGTTTTTGTTTTATAGGGTAAATCATTTTTAGTGTAGGATAGTCGGCAAATCGCAGTTTTGGACAGAAAATAAGATTATTTAATACAATAAGGCAACCTCCATGATTACATTGTATGTAATACCTTTGATCTTAAAGCTTATTTTAAGGTCATCTTAAAATTTTCTATAGGGACCCGTAGTGTACAGAAATGTATGATAGATTAGCCTTATACAGGGTGAGTTTTTAGTATGGGCTTGGTCGATAACTCTGTTATTATGCATGGTGTAGCAAAAATTTAATCACAAAAAATGTAGCCAACAGTATGTTCCTTATATAATATAAAATATTTTTATTTTTACAGGATGATACATAACTATGTGCTGATCCAAACATACATTTTTTACTGGGCCTATACTTTATTGCAGGTTCGGATAGACCATTTCAATCGAAGAAACTGATGTAACATACTTTAGGGTTTTGTTTCTAAACTGTTGAGATATTCTAAAATCGATTAAAAAAAATAACATTTTCAACTCGCACTTCTACAACTTTTACAGTTAAACTACTGAATTTTGCGTCAGAAGAATTTTATGATCCCCAATTTTCTTTCTATCCACTTACTGTTTCAGTTTTTTCGGTAGACTATAAAGTGAGGTCAAGAACCCTATACATTACCGATTTTTTACACTTTCCAACCACATATATTTTCACACTTTTTGACAGCAATTTTCACAATCGTTTTTCCGATATAAGGTTTATGGGAATTGGTACGAATGGTTTTTGAGTTAACCTTTCTGTAAATCAGATATTAAGGTTAATGAAAAATAGTATAATAATAGTAAGGGCAGATGGTTGAAATTTGCAAATTTTCATTGTAAATTAAATCTACCGTATGCAATAGGCAAATATGGCAAGTCAAACTTTATATCAGAAAAAAGCCTTAAAAGGGAATTAGAAAGTTTGAATATATATACCATTATATACCAATGAAACCATATGATGATGTCAATGCGGTCCCTCAATTTGTTGACATCGGTCGTTGACGTTAAAATTATGATTCTAGCACACGGCAAAGTGAAATTTCTCAGATTGACTATTTTCTTTAATTTTCTTCAATTGCAGATTGTCACCTGGAACATTTTGGCATACATGAAAAGGCCATTTTGGTCTATTCAAATTGTTTTTTAATGATAACTATAAAGGTTGTTGTCAACTCACTTGATATTGATATAAAAATCATCATTTTGAAAATATTCTCACGAACACATTCTTAATTTTACAACAGCTTTCAAGTAATTTTCATTGCATATTTTTTATGAGAATATATTATTGTTAGTAGTATTTAATATTTAATTTTCATGAAAGACCTTTATTTGTATTTTAATATAAGCAGGTATGTTAATCGTTAGTTCCAAGGCAAACAAATGATTCATTATGTATGGAGCCTTGTTCCTTCCAAGGTGGTCCAGGAGTTCAATAAAAGCTGATTTAAATAATTATCCACTCTAAAATAAAGAAAATATTTTATAAGTTACATAATGGAACAAACAATAATTTATTTGTTTAATTAACCCAGCAAATAATTTAATAACCGTATTTGAAAATTTCGAGAAATCGTTCATTTGTCGTTCATGATCATCCTGAATAAAATAACCAAAAAGTTGAAAAAGCAAGTAGATACCGAGACAATATGGGATCAACTTTTTTTGACGAAAAATTCAGTTCTCTAGCTATACCAGTTGTGGAGGGGCGAGTTTTCAAAGTAGAGTTTTTTTTATAGATAGCTCAATATATCAAGCATTTAAAAATAGACTCAAGTAGCTTTGTTTAGAAAGGCCTATCCGAATCGGCAGTAAAACGTAGGCATTTCCATATAAAACATGTATGGGTCACCATGCAATTATGAATCACCCTGTAGAAATAAAAATATATTTCAAGTAAGGAGCAATGGAATTATCTACGGAGCCCACACTAATTCACCCTGTATTTAACCTTAACAGATAATTTTATATTTTAGACCAGTCTTCTTGAGAATGAAAATCTGATTTCTCAGGGGGTGATGAATCAGTCCACAATGTTAGAAAGTGATAATATGAATTTGAACGTGGACAGTATCCTACAAGAAAATGTAAAAGAGCTAGACCACTTCAACTTTGAATTAGGAGAATCAGATACTGAACAACTGATCTGTGATGTTTGTCTCAAGATATTCACAAAGTTAAAGTACCTATTGGTACATTTAGAGTCACATACCGGAAAGTTTATTTGTTATGATTGTAATAAAGTGAGTCACTTTTAAAAGAATAGTGAATTATAAACAAACGTGAGTTATTTTTCAGGTGTTTACTCGGAAAGAAACCTACCAACATCACTCTTGCACCTCGTTTTTCAGTTTTAAGTGTCCGTACTGTGATAAGCTTTTCTACCAACAAAAAGGACTAAATCATCATGTCAAAGTATATCACGACAAAAAATTCATGTGTACAGTGAGTTGCGGCAAGATTTTTAGGAGTGAAAAGGAGTTGAATGATCATACATGCCCGCTGCCTACACCGAAAGTAAAACGATTTCCTTGCGATGTTTGTGGTACAAAGTTCACAGAGAAGAAAAACCTGCATATGCATAAAAAGAGGTAAGTATATCTGAACGTGGCGTGTGACTTTTCTTTTTCACCCTCCTTATTTACACAGTGCGAAATTGTAAACCTCACTTTCGGATACTTTCCCCCAATACATTTTTCCTTCTTTAATGTGAGCGTTTTGCCTCTCGGTGAATGTCCTGTAATCGAAGAAGGAAATTTTCAAAAAACGATGAAGCATTAACCGAAGCTCCTTTTCCCGAAATCGCTTTAAAACTTATATTGTGGCAAATTCTAAAATTATTGAGCCAACCAGAAGAAGCACTGAATGTAGAATGTCAAAGAGAATTGGATATTTCTTTTTCTTTGTACTGTATTAGCGGATAAAAAATTAACCACATAGGCTGCGTTTGAACCGAAAGATTAAAGGCGGTAAATCCCCGGCTTATTCGAGAAAGTCCCAGCGAAGATGGCGTGCGGCATGACTGAGAAATTCAATAGCGATATTCTCAACAGAAAAAAATAAGACAAGGCGTTTCTTGCTATTTTGTTTTTTGACCGGTTAGGAGAACATTTTCTGGTGTCCGAGTCCGTGTATGTCCAAGAGAGAATTAATACAATGCAAATTATGTGAGAGTGATAAACTATCCGTTTAAAGGAGGTGTCCGGGTAAGAGGGGTGTCCGTGGAGGGGAATTTCACTATATATACAAAACCTACAACTCCATCCCCAGACTTTTCAAACTTCTAAATGTATCTAGATTTAAGAAATCTGTGAGGAAAATGTATTAAATGTATGTGATTAGTTGGTCGTGTACATATCGATTTTTTTATTATAAAAACCAAGTTAAGAAAAACCGTGTACAGACCGTCAAGTGTAACAAGAGATATGAGGATTTGCTGGGATTGCGCACACGAGAGAGGGAGCAAAAGAGGTGGCACGTACACTACATGCCATTCGATCTCTAATGGTACAGTCTGCATCCTAAATTAATCGAATAATTTCAATAATGGAATACATATTATGTTAATCGAAATTGTTGGCATGTGTCAAATTTTTAAATATCTTTTTGTGAGCCCCATATTCTAAATTTGGTAACTTCATTAACATTACAATTCTTAAATTAGGGACATACCCAGATATCTGGAAGACCGCTAAAATATGTCCCATTCATAAGAGTGGTGATATCGCAGATGTTTCCAACTACCGACAAAAAGCAATTCTATGCAACTTCGGTTGCTTGAGATCATAGTTTATAATAATACTGGTCGATCAAGGGTGCAATCTCTGTCAATCAGCATGGATTCATGAGCGGCAGATCTACGGTTACCAACTTGACCCTCATTACTCAGTATATCTCCCAAATATTAGACACTCGGGGGCAAGTTGATGTAATCTATACAGATATTCAGAAGGCATTTGATCAAGTTGATCATTATGTACTTCTGGATAAGCTTAGGACCGTAGGTGTATCTGAGAGATTGTTGTCACTCCTGAGTTCATACTTGATGGACAGAAGGTTGTTTGTTGAATATGGTAGTTATAGGTCGAGTTATTATCAGGCCACATCTGGGGTGCCTCAGGGATCAAATCTAGGCCCATTATTGTTCCTAATCTTTATTAGCGATTTGTCTCGTGAGCTCAAGTGTTTGCATCTGTTTTTTGCTGACGACAGTGACGTTACGCATCGGTCGAGTCAATTGATGATTGTCTCATGCTGCAGGATCATTTAGGCTTAATTTCTTCCTGGTGCTCGCGAAACTGTCTTAGTTTAAATGTTTCTAAATGTAAAGTTATGTCTTATACAAGAAAGACTAATTAGTTAATATATGATGATTATAACGTCAACGGTCAGGTTCTAGACAGATGCTATTCTTTTAAGAACTTTGGAGTAACCTTTAATATACTACTAACATATACTTAATATCTCATCGGCTGCCACCAGACTACTTGGCTTCTGTATCAGAAAGTGGAAGGGATTCTCCAATGTCAGCACTTTAATGACATTGTTCGTTACTTTTGTCAGAAGCAAGCTCGAATGTGCAACCCTGATCTGGTCTCCAATATACCTAAATTCAGTTTCAATGATTGAAGACATTCAACGTAAGGCTATTAAGTATTTTTACCTGAAATGTACTGGTTCTCATCCAGAAAGAGGTTTTTGTCATCATACCCTCTTGAATTTTTTCGATTTAGGTTCACTATCAATTAGACGTAATACGTTTGCCTTATCGTTTTTATATGGCCTGATGATATATTTCCGTATTCCAAGGCTTGAAAGTCGACAACAATCAGCCTTTGATTGTCAAGCAGGCCGGACGAACATAGTATTGAAATATCCAGTTTATGTAATTTGCAGTCTTATGAACTGTAAATCAATCATAAACTGCTATAAGTCATCGATTGTTCTCTGAGCTTACTTAGGCCAACTGATGCTAAGTTTAAGTTTTCAATGTGTCTTTTTATTTTCTTTTTGTTAATGTATTTGAGCTTTTCCTGTAATTGGGTTTTACTTGTAGGACATATGAAATATAAATAAATAAATACAAGACTAAGTTCTATCATTGTCAGCGTTAGATGATCAATTCCACGAGCACCCGATTTTAAGCTATCTATTGTCTGTAGTATTTCATGAGGCTTTATAACGCTTAGAGAAAATTTGTTCAATGGGTTGAGTTTATGTGCAGTATAAAATTGAGTTTGCGAGTATATAATATACAATTAACGAATCTATATCATTAAGATATCTTAAAATACAATTGTACACCAGAAGCATTTAAATATGTATTTATAAAAAGACAAGTTTTATATACTACTTTTTCAATATTTTCAAAATTGCATAATACATTAGTTTTACAGAAATAATTTTGTTTCCACACCTGTTCGCTACCGAAGAAAGGTTAAGAATCGGATTTATGTGATTATTTATATAAATGAGATAAACATATTTTTCTGGCATTGTATGCGACTTGACATGAGTTAAAAAGTCGTAACTTCCTTATTGTTGCAGATAGATGGTCGCTGCATGTAGCGAATGGAAATTCACAATATTGTCATAAGCTTAACATATTAAACACATTTTTGAGAAAAACGGACTTAACCTAGTCTGGCTCTGGGGCACAGATATTTTTCCAAAGATGCCCATACCAATTCAATTGGATTCAAGTCGGGGTGATTTGGTGGCAATCTCAAAACAGAATGACCTTTTTCATCCATTATTCTGTCTATTTCATAAGTTATATATGCCGGCTTATGCATTTTGATAAGGCTATACAAAGCAATTTTCAACATGACGTCAGGTTTTTTTGCCTTAGCTATTCTTTCATATGATGCTTCTTAGAGCACATAGTAGGACATTTGTCTATCTGAACATTGTGTGTAGGTTGGGAATTAGTTTATCCTGAAGCCATTTTCTATAGTCACTATAGTTCATCTCACTATGATAATCGCCCGACTTACTATTGGATTTAAATTTCAGATATGCATTTTCCACGAAACCATTTTCACTACCAGCAGGCACAATGATAAATCTTTGCCCTTTTGAAACTGGACTGTGAAGGCTCTCATTGGATTTATCGCTCCAACTCTTTTCATGCGTATGTGATGTATGGATGTATGTATCGTCCATATAAATTATAGGACGATTTTTCTCTATATTATTTCATCCTCAGAAAATTTCTCCTGAGATGCTGAATCTCTGGTTTCTCCATAAGAACTCTTCTATTAGTTCTTGCATTCCTCCAACGAAATTGTCCTCATCACTTTTCTTAAAGTTTCATGTGATCCAGTGTAATTGTGTTCTTGAACAAATTTCCTGTGTATGCGCCGCAAAGTTTGAACCTTCTTTTCCGTTATGTAAAAATTCATTATAGATCGACGAAGCAATCCTCTAACAAAGTCGTCAAAATCAGATTTCGGAGTTTCTCTTCTTTTTTGTTTGGTGTCGAAAAAGATGTCAAAGCACCTCCTTCAACAGATTTCATTTCGCGAGAAATCCTTCTAATAGTCGATAGACCCCGTGGTCATAGCTGCACGCTCCTGAGCTTTCTTCAAACATTTAAGACATTTATTTTCTTCTGCTTCTCGTTGTAAAAAGAATATAACATTTGCTACAACCTGCCTAGTTTATCCTGATAAAACTTTACGTTGTAATTTGGATTTAAATTCATTATAAACGAGTAAATCTCTTAGCACACTAAGGAATAAATGGCGACAATTAATGGCATAAAATTGTATGCGTTCAACCCACGAATTCGTAACAATACATACAATTCACAGATATTTAGGCCGGTATCGTCAGTCGTTACTACAATTGTAGGGCGCGTTTATGGCGTCCTTGATTGCCATACTCCTTTCTCTCCTTCAAAAATTTCTAGATTACACCTGTCCCGTGACAGCGTCAGCGCTCTCCTATTGTGAAAATATGTTTTCTTTTTAAATTGTAGGAAATTTCAGGCTGATAAAACATGATATAACTCAAAAGTAAGCACAATTTGATGCAAATAGATGTTTGTGACATAACCTCAAAATAGAGCGCTGACACGGAGAAGTAGAAAACTATGACAATCAAGGAGGCCATAAAGGCACCCTACAATTGTAGGAACGACTGTCGATACGGGTCTTAAGTAATAAAGTTGTTTCACTGCCTGACAAATGTTCTCTTGACTGTACGCTAACTAGTCTAGACACGACAAGAGACTACTGCTTCGTCGCTTACTGCACACCAAGAAGGCGTGACATTATTCAAACATTCGCATCTCCTACACTTGACGAGCTGTACATCAAAATTCTGATATAGATTTTGCGATTTCTTATAGGGCGAGTGGAAGATCACTCAGTGGTGAACTCCCCCTTTTTTGGGCACCTATTTTAGTCCAGCATTTATTCCGTTCTATATATATATCGTATTTGCAACCCTGTAATGGCAGTAAAATTAGTTAGGTGACTTCCCATTCTCCATGGGTTCTTTTAAAAATATATTTAATTTCCCTGATGATATGATCAAGTGGTCTATCCTCATCAAAAATCAGTTAGTTGATGATTATTCAGAAGTATTAATATATCATCCCCATTTAAAGGCATACTGAGCTGAAGACTAAGTATACCTGTCCAATTTGTGGAGTGGAGTTGTCTTTTAGAGAAACGTATTTGAAGCACGTTCGATTACATGAAGGACCCGGTTTTTTATGTGATATATGCAATAAGATGTATAAGAGGAAGGATATTCTAGTTGAACACAAACGACTAACTCATGGAAACCTCACGGTGAGTAGATTGATAGTGGTAGAGCAGGGCGTGTTCTGAAACCCTACAAGGGAAATTCGACCTTCACCATTGGGATCTTGGAACCTGTAAGAGATACTAAGTCGCCTAAATGACGACAAAGTTGGGTTGAGTCATAAGCAATTCATCGTACAAAAACACTTACCTTTGACAGCTTGCCAGTCTGTTATCCTAAAAAATAGTGATTTTATATTCCTATGAATATAAAGTACACTCTAGTATGAGTTATCGAATGATTCCCATTCTACCTGATAAAATGTTCCAAGATGACGCACAGCCATTATTTTGAAATTTTCAAGTGACATTTTTGACTTACTAACTTGAGCCGTTCAAAAAATAAATCGGGGAGTGCTTTTTGAAAAGCAGGGAGATTTGAAAATAATTGAAATACTATGTCAGAAAGTTCCTTCAAATATTGTTCCTAAAATATATGCTTGCCCAGATTGAGGCCTAATCGCACTAATTGTGATAAAACAAACAATGTTTAAGTAAAGTTGCGGTGGTGTGATATAAATGCTTTGAAAAGCTCTGTGTTGTAAATAAGAAAATTAAGGAAAATTGGTGTACTAAAGGTACATATACAGAGGGTCCAGTGGCAAAGTTCACTTTTTGATTTAAGAAAACGATACAAACTTGATGAAAAGAAAATATTTATTACTAAATTCTGCTGGTTTTATCGATAGCAAAAGCACGTTGCGCTCCGGTCCAACGTTCCATTGTGACTATTTAACCCGCACGCCAAATGCGTCGATCAAGACCTCGCGTATACGGTAGCCGCGTGATTCAAATTTGAAATGTGAACTTCCCCACTGGACATCCTGTATATATACATTCACGAGATTTTAATCTGTATATTCCACAGTTGTATTTTGTTTTCGTTTTTTAATACTGTATGTATTTCAGTAAGACGCCATTTTAGGAGCCATATTTATAGGAAGAGACTGTTAGAGAAAATTGTACAAAAGTATTTATATTCTGGTCCATCGTCTTCTTTCCCCCTCTCTTTTGTTAATTGGTCGCGAATTAAAATTCTGTTTAGCAGAAGAAAGCGGTTGTACCAAACTGATCAATTATTTTCAAAGATGGACATTTATTTAATTTAAAGTGTTTGCTTTATATGGACACATGAAGTTTTGTATATAGATACAATATAGGAAATAATGGATTATCTTATATTTTAGCAGTTAGTAGTTGTAGGTGGTGTCCAAATAAAGATGGATGAAGTAAAATTATAACCACAGCATTTAGTTTTATAGTTGTAACCTGTTATCTAGCATGGTGATGATTATTTTGTGACAGATTAACTGTGACATTGTAATAATTACAAAAAAGTATACTCATGCATCTACAGTGTGTCCCAGAAATAACACGGCTGATTGGCTTCAGATCAATCAGATAAAATCAACATGACCTTAGTAAAAGTTTTCTAGTTTTCGAGATATTGCCACTTTTAGGTTTTTTAAAAAATCACTACTTTTTGCTCCTTTTTTGCCTTTTACGGCTATTAAGAACTTATAACCTATGAGTTTTTCCCTGGGCTCCCATTAATACTTGGTTGAGACAACCGAGTATTCATTTTATTAAAAACTAGCACGGTTTGCTAAAAAACATGAATACGTTTTGTTTCAATGTGAAAATCTTTATTAAATTTTGAACAATTACTTTGAAAAAATGTACCAGACTGAACCGGCAAATGTTCTTAAAAACTAGCCTATTTAATGCTCTTTTAAAAATAGTATAAGGTTCTTTCTACTAAACATTGCATAATTCCAAGTTTTGTCATTAAGTCGTAATACTTGTGAAATTCTATAAATAAAAAATATGTGCAGCCGTCTTTTGTATCCAAATCACTAAGTAATAAAATGACCTAAACATGTCATTGACTATCTCGTACTCACACACAGTCTAGCAAGTTCGCAAGCACAAAAGGCCGCGGCTCGCACTGTAATCAAAATTAATTCATGAATTTAGAACAACCAATCGAATATATTTAGACCATATCAAAATCTGTGAAGTGATATTAACAATGCCTAAACGCTGCCTATCCTAAAAGATTCTCTTCTTCCCCTTTGCTCTCGTTCTTCCTTCTCTCCTTTCCTTCCCTTTTTTCCTTAAAATTCTCTGGTTTCTGGGTTACCAGACCTGACAGACTTACAAACTGGCACCGTGACTCAAGAGCTAAGGCCCCACGGTCCGCTCTGACAACCAACGGTAACTTGACTTGACTCGCACTTACATTCATTGTTTGGTCGGTAGCATCACCTTGAGGAACCGAGGTGGTACCTGCGCACCGCATAATTTAATACTGCTCCTTGTGTTAGTGCTACACACGAGTTATTTAGCTCTTTCGCTGTTTAGGTCGTTTCATTCTTTAGTGATTTGAATACAAAGACTGCTGCGCTTATTTTTCATTTGTAGTATTTCGCAAGTATTACGACTTCAATGGCAAAACTTGGGATTATTCAGTTTTTAGTAGAAATAACCCACAAATGTTATACTATTTTTAAAAGAGCATTAAATAGGCTGGTTTTTAAGATCATTTGAAAATTTAGTCTGGTTCATTTTTTTCACAGTAATTAGTCAAACTTTAGTAAAGGTTTTCACATTGAAACAAAATATGATGTCCCAAGAATTCGCTTTTTCAGAGGAGTACGTCAAGGAGGAGGGCTTAGTCCCCTATTGTTTATAGTATTTATGGATGATCTGATAAGACAATGCAGGCAAAGAACAAAACCAATTTTTGTTGGATACAGGAAAAAACTTGAATTAGCAGAGTGCGCATTTGCAGATGATTTGGTGTTGGTAACTGGTAGTGTTGGAAGTCTACAGAAAACATTTGGAAAACAGTACTTGAAGATAATGGTATGAAATTAAATAAACTTAAAATTAAAGTTATGACTGTGTCAAATGAAAAACTCAATATGGACGTAAGAATAGATATTGTAAAATTACAACAGGTGCACTACTTTAAATATTTGGAAGCTATACTGGAACCTAACGGCAGAAATGAAATAGAAATTTCTGAAAGGATAGGAAAGGCAAACATCTTGTACTATGCGATGAGTAAAGGTTTTATCAACAAAAAAAAGTATCAAAGAAAACAAAAATAACAGTGTATAATACAATATATAGACCTATATTGACATATGAATGCGAATCCTGGGTTCAATCGCAACAACAAAAAAGTAAACTTCAGGCAGTTGAAATGAAATACTTGAGACGAGTTAAAGGGGTAACCGGAATGGACAAAATAAGAAACGAGACTATAATAACGGAGTTAGAGTCAGAATCAACACTAGAAATCATAGAAATGAAGCAGCTGAGATAGTGGGGACATTTCCAAAGAATGGGTGACAACATACCGGTTAAACAAGTGTATTAATTTTGTTCAGCATACCGTGTTAGTTTTCAATGAAATGAATACTCGGTTGGTTCAACCACCTATTAATGGTAGCCCAGAAAAAAACTCGTAAGATGGAAGTTCTTAATAGCCATAACAGGCAAAAAAGGAGCAAAAAGTAGTGATTTTTTGAAAAAACCTAAAAGTGGCAATATCTCGGAAACTAGAAAACTTTTACTAAGGTCATATTGATTTTATCTGATTGGTCTGAAGCCAATCTACCTACCGTGTCACTCTGACGTGCTATTTCTGGGACACCCTGTATATTTGGTTGGGTTTTGTGACGTGTTTTTAATAAGAAAAGCTAAACTTTTGGATGTTACGTCACATTGTAGGTAGCTTGCGAGGTATGCTCGAAACAAATAGCACCGAAAAATTTGAAAAAGCACCTGTTACTTCACCAGCCCGATAAAGGTTTTAAATGTCCGATTTGCAACTTTGCTTTTAAACAACAAAACGCCTTACAAAGGCATATGAAGTCTCATGAAAGGGAAGATGATACAAAATCATGTTATCCATTTTCATGCCCAGTGTGCAAGAAGAAAATGAAACATAGATATTCACTTAAAAGGCACGTTTTGATCAGTCATCCTAGCTATGAATACAAAGAAAATAGGAGAAGAAAGGTAAGATAGCATATTGATATGTGTATTAACTACAAAAATAGTAAAAAATACCAGAAGAATTTGTACAAAAGCCAGACATGCTGATAGCTATTATCAACTGATTTTTAAAGCAAAAGTACAACAGTAAATTCTTAAAATTCACATCTGATCTCGAAATTGGTTTAAAAATGTTTTTTTCTGAATTCAAATATTCTTTCAGTTTCAGGGGAACTAATATTTTTCTAATAATGTACTACATACTATTGTTATCAGTTCCATTATCTCATATTATTTTTCAGCGTTTTTGGTGGTTTTCTATCTTCGATTATTCGTCATGAATTCCGTTATTTTCACTATCATTATCTTATTTTTGTTATTATTTTGAATTGTCATTAAATATCTATTTTCAAGTTTAAACCGGACGCCCTGAATGTAACAGACGAAGACTCTGAGTTAGATTTGAAGCAGACTATAGAAAACATGAACTTCAACACGGACGTTGTGAACACCTGTGAAAACACTGATTTCACGATGGAAATCGAGAAAATACTGAACGATGAAAACATATTTTTGAGCGAAAGTAACGATAGATTGGTTGATAAACTCATCGATAGTGCGGTGAAGGAGAGCAATTTGGATATCTCGGATTCAGGGCCAGTCAAACAGAAGGAAGTGTGCTTGTCGATGCCAGATCTCACTGAAGGGGATCAAGAAATCAGACTAGGTATGACCGGTAACTTGTTATCATTGAATGTGTCCAGTAGATTGACTCTACAGTTTAGATAATTTTGTTGGGATAGGATAGGAAATCTTAGAAATTTGACTGCAAAATGTAGTTCGTAAGTTTGGCCATTCATCTTATTTTATTGTCTGTGTTTACAGTAATAGCAGAGGAACAATTTAGGGTTTTTATTATTTTTTGACAAACGAGATCGTGTGTTTTCAAGAGAATCTTTGACTTGCAGGTGAAAATGCGTATATCCTGGAAAATGGGACGATCGTCGAACCAAAAGAAAATTCTTCTGAAGTGGTTGTTTACGTTATCAATCAAGATAAGTACAAATAATTATAGATAAGGTCAAATTTGTCATATATTGTTATTGGTTTAATAAACAGCAATAAATAAGAAAATATTTTATTATAGATATAACATTAAAAATATATCAGAAATACACTGTTAAATTAGAACTGTCCGATAGCTTTGACGTTCCCTGCTCTACATTATTTACATTGTCCAAACTGTCTGTATCAGTCTGAAACAAAAAAAAAAGAGTTGTACTATACATAGGTTCATAGCCATAGATTATATTATTATATGTATACAGAGTATTAAGTACTATAACAAACATAGTGAAATGGTGGGTAGTATGGACCGAAATCTTTTCATATCTGAAATTAAAAAAGTTCTAAATTCAGTTTTTACGGATACCAAGGCTAAACACGCCAAATGTCACATATCTCGGGCACTATTGAACCGATATCGTTGAATAGAGTCGGAACAGAACCGTAAGCAGCAGGTTGTATATAACTGGTTACCTGGCAGTTATGAAAAAGATTATAAATGCTGTTATGAGGACTGAAAAAAAATAGCTAACTTTTATAAAAAACGCCATCCATTGCGACTCATCAAGAAATTTCTAAAATGAAAATGTAACTTAACTACAAATCTCCATTTAAAAACACTAATTTTTTAATTATTTCTGCTGCGTCTCAGGCTTCGAAAAAAGTCGCTCGCATGGCAGGGATGGCAGATTTTTTCAACCATCTCAACTAATCCGGGATAGATTTTGCTAGTTCAGGCATAAAAGCGGTTCATGGAAATATCTCGTTCGATAATGCCTGCTGAGACTGGGTCAGAATCGTCCAACAGGTTTGATACTGTTTTCGTCTCCTTCAGTTCATTTTCTGCTTGGTTTTTGTCAGCGATACTAAAAATCCGTTCTTGCGAAAGGAGTACATTTACATACCTAGGGCTGTATAGGTTTATTATTATTATTATTATTAAACAACAAATTTGAGTTGAGTACAAGTACTATAAACTCAAACACAAAAATAGATAATAGTGTACAGACAAAAGAAATATAACAATTTGACAATCTTAGCACTTCTGAAGTAGACATATACAGAATGGGAACAATATGTTAAGCACTGCGGTGTCTATCGTAATTGTTTTTGAAACTGTTGACGGATTCCGAGTTCACTACATAAGATGGAAGACTGTTCCATGTATCGAAGACACGGTTTGAGATGAAGCGCTGACGAGTAGAGGTTCTAAAAGCTTCCTTCTGCAATTTGAAGTTATGGCCTCTGAGACTGTTCGTTGCCAGACGAAACAGATGCGACATGTCCACACCAAACAAATTATGCAGTGCTCTGAAAGTGATGATGAGATCTCCTATGTATTATATTTGAAAACCTTCCGAACTGGTGGAATCAAAAAGCAAAAGAGTACGTTATTTGAGATTGTTAGAAAACGTGTATATCTCATAGCCACAGATTCTACGAGGGTGGTCCCAGAAGTACCCGACCCAACGAAGAAAACACAAAATTTTTGTAAAAAAATGTATTTATTTTTCAACATAATCTCCTTTTCCCAGCGATGTTCAATAAGTTCGATACCCTTTTTATAATAAGAACTGTGTTGCTCCTCAAAATAGTCATTAACTGCCGACATCGCTTCTTCATCGTTGGAAAATCTTTGACCACTGAGCCATTTTTTCAAGTTTGGAAACAGAAACTAATCCGAGGGGGCTAAATTTGGTGAATAGGGTGCATGAGGTAGCAATTCAAACTTTAATTCGTTAATTTTGGCCATTGCAATAACGGATTTGTGAGCTGGTGCATTGTATTGATAAAACAACACTTTCTTCTTAACCAAATGCGGGGTTTTGCTTGATTTCATCGCTCAAACGTTGCAATAAGTTCGCATAATATCCGCCGTTGATAGTTTTACCTTTTTCAGGATAGTCAATGAAAATTATCCCACGGGCATCCCAAAAAACCGACGCCATAACCTTGCCTGCAGATGAAACGGTCTTCGTCTTCTTTGAAGCAGGTTGTCCCTTTTGAGTCAATTGTTTTGATTGTTTTTTTTGTCTCGGGTCTGAAGTGATGGACCCATGTCTCAGCCATGGTTATGAAACGACGTAAAAATTATGCTTTCTTGCTGTGAAACTTCGCTAACCACTCAATTGAAACATCTTCACGACACTGTTTTTGCTCGATTGTGAGCAATCGCGGCACCCATCTTGCACACAGCTTTCTCATGTCCAAATTTTCAGATAATATGCAATGAACCGCACTTTTTGAAATGCCTACTATGTCTGCTAGCTCGCGCACTTTCAGTCGACGATCATTCAATACCGCTTTGTGAATCTTCTTCACCATTTCTGGAGTCGCCACCTCATTTGGTCGATGCTCGTCTTGGCAGCTCATACGGCCTCGTTTAAACTCTGCTACCCAATATTTTACTGTTGTATACGAAGGAGCAGACTCACCCAGAGTAGAATCCAGTTCAGCTTTTATATTGGTTGGACTGAGGCCTTTGAAATAAAGGTATTGTACCACATAACAATGACCACTTTTGTCCATTTTCACAAATTCACTGAAAACGTTCAGTATTGGTGGTTGCCAAATAAATACTAAACAACGTGGCGTCTTCAAACTTAACACATATGCTTTATAGGTTGCATACTTTCTCATACAATGATATTTTTCAAACAACTATCGCCATCTCTAGGTCAGGCCGGGTACTTCTGGGACCACCCTTGTATGTGAGCGACAATTTACGTGGAGTGTTTAAATTTGAAAAACCCATTTTGATGAAAAAAAAATGAAATAAAAAAATACGAGGTGTTCAGAAGCAGTTACCCATCCAAATAGTTCGTTTCAGTGAGCGCAACCTATTGAACCAGTTCATCGAAATGAACTAGAAGGAACATTACCACCAAAAGCGCTAGTATTAGCGCATACAAAGAATACTAATCTTTTTATACGGATTTCGGAATTTCATGGGTTTGATTACCAACTGCAGCCATTGTAACGTAATTTGAAAACGTTTTCTGTACTGTTCATTTTGACCGAATCGCGTACCTTATCATCTCCCCAGCTGAGTTTTTTCACCCTACTGGACGCGGAGGCAGACGAGGGCCATAGAGGTGGCGGCAAAGGGGCAGGATGCACCTTAGGGCTTCTCGTTTTCCCCTCCGCTGTCGGAACGCCTCCTAATGCACTCGCGTTGAACGTACTGGAAACGTGAGGAGCTCGTGTTGCTCCTGTGCTGTTTTCAAACATCGGGTTTGTTGTCACTTTCTTCGGGCTCAGGGGGTCTTTCTTACTGGATAGAGAGCTTCCAGGCGGCGTTGGAGACGTCTGCGAGTTCTTCTTTCTGGAATGGAATAATGCTGGATTGTAACATGGCGAATAGTGTATATTGACCAGAGAATGAGGAAAGTAGTCGAACAATATTTTTTATATATATTATCTAAAACCTTATATACCAGTAGGTGTAAGGTGGAATTACATTATTTCATTCTCTAAAATAATTAGTTATTATATACAAATTTATCCCAGTCTTTCTAATTTCTCGCCGGCGCACTGCTTCGTTCCAACTTAGGAATACCCTGACAATGTTAGATAAAAACATAAAGCGAAATTTGCAGATAAAATCCTTATCTGGTGCTCAGGGGTGTATCCCAACCTTTTATGGAAAGAGTGAGGGGTGCAGCTTTGAATAGTCATAGCTATATTGATAACTGTCTTTCCAAATTGCTTCAGTTTGTCCACGAACATCATGCTAATAAGCATATCATGTCTTGGCCAGACATAGCATCATGGAATTACTCAAGAGATACCCAAAAACTGGCTTCGACAACACAACACACCTTCTATTCCCAAAAACGATAAACATCCAAACTTGCCAAAGGCTCGCCCATCAGAGGATTTTTGGGCTTTACTGTCTAGGAATCTTTATCATTGAGGCTGGGAAGCCCAAGATGAAGAACAATTAAGACGGCGAATTTACGAAAAACTGAAAGAAATTGATCTGAATTCCGTCCAGGACCTCATGAGAGCAGTGGCGGCTCGTGCCAATTCAGTGAGGTAGTGCCAGAATGGAAGCCATAATTTTGAATCGATTCAAAATTGTAAAGAATAACTTATAACTTACCCCTGATAGTTAGTGGTCAAAGTTCTTGAGGTTCAATAAATCTATATGTCCAAAAAAAAATCAAAAATAAAACTATTTACACACGCGCACCAAATTATAAAACAAGTGTGGAGAAGTACCTATAACTTCAAAGTTTTCTATACATGAAGTCCATTCTTCTTTCTTTTTTGGTAGCAAAGTTTTCGATTACCTTATTATTAAAATTTTCAATGCCACTAACAAAATGTTTTTCTGCAGACAGCATTCCTAAAGCACTAAGCCTTTCTTCCTTCATTGTGTTTCTGAGGAAAGTTTTAATCCGTTTCAGCATTGAAAAAGAGCGTTCTGCTTCAGATGTTGACATCGGTATAGTGATTAAAATACTTAAGAGCTTAAGAGTTTCTTGAAACGTACAATTTAATCCTTCCTCGTTCAATAAAATGGATAGTGGAACAGCTCCAGAAGTAGTACTCAATTCTTCTCTCTGATATAATACTTGTAACTCAGTTTTAAGCCTGTTTTTGTCTAAAAATGAAAATTGTGTGCATGTGTCATTTAAATGTGCTTCAGGAAACTGATGTTTATAAACAGAAAACTTTTCAGACACAAATAAATTAGAAGCAACTAAATGCCCAGAAAAGTTAAATCTTGTTCTTATTTGCGATAATACTGCATCGCATATTTCTAACGCTTCCCGTTTTTTGCTGCCTTCTTCAACTTGCCTTTTTTTTCTTGCCGGTTCATCAGTTTCTCTCTGCACTCGTTCAATCTCGTCAATAATGCTATCCATTTGTTCTCGTATAGTTTGAATTGCTGCTTCAAAATTCTCTAAATCATTTTTGACCTTAACAGAATCGGTGCATACTTTTTGTAATTGGTTAAAGACAATTTCAACATGTGGCATTATTTTATGGAATATACTTAGCCAAAATACAAAATTTGTATCTTGCAGCTTTAATTTGTACCCACTGGCTTGATTAATCGACGAAGAATCGCGTGAAGTACTTTCTATATTGTCCATAACTTCAATCAGGTCTTTCCTATTTTCATAAACTGTATGAACACCTCGTGACTGAAAATTCCAACGTGTTTGGGAAGATCTTGGCAATCTGCGATTAACTATTTCATCCAAAATTTTTGTTCTTTGAGGAGACGTCGAAAAAAAAGAGCACAATCCAGATAAATTATGGAAAAATATTCTAGCCTGCTTATTGACAGAGCATGCGCTTGTCATAATTAGATTTAACTGGTGTGCATAGCAATGAACATAATTTGCAAGTGGATAAGTTTCCTTAATAATCTTTTGAACGCCATTCAATTCACCACTCATAACAGACGCACCATCATAGCTTTGAGCTATTAATTTGTTTGGATTTTGATCTATTAATGGATTTACAACATTTAAAACGCATGCAGCGATTGATTTGGCATCGTGTCCGTCGGGGACGTAAAATCTCCAAAATCTCTCAACTGGTTGTCCTTTACACAAATATCTGAAAATAATAACTAACTGAAATTCACAGGCTACGTCAGTCGTTTCATCGGCAATTACTGCAACAAAAGGAGAATTTGCAATCTCCTTCTTAACTTCTTCATGATAAACATCTAGCATGCACTCAAGAAGCTCGTTTTGAGTTGTTTTTGAGGTACCCTTGAAAAGTTTGGCACTTTGAATATGGACTTTCAATTCGTTGTCTAATTCGGCGCTAAAATTCACCAGCTCCTTAAATATGCCTCTGTTTTCCGAATTTTCCTTTTCATCGTGACCCCTTAAGGCTAACTCAAATACTCCACAAAACCTTATACAATTAATAATTTTATTCAATACATATCGATTCTTATCCACTTGATTATTATGTTTAATTAGATCATTGCGATAAGCCGAATTGAGTTGAGTCCTTATATTTAATTTACCAAGAATAGAAAAGCTAAAAACATTATTCATATGGACTTTAGATTTTTCGTGGGTCTTCATTTTATCCCATATATGTATAAGATCATCTGTACCTTTTTTTGACCAAGTCTCGTCACCTCCAAATAGAACACATACAAAACAAAATAGTTTATTCGTTTCTTCACAACCACATATCCAGCTGTTTTTATCGTACACATTTTTATTAAATTTGCGACAGCGCGATTTTTGTCCGCTACCACTTTGTTTCTCAATTTTTAAATCGGGTATTGGCCGTCCTAATTCTTTAATTTGCAGTTTTTGATCCAGCGAAAAACCACTAAATGAGTTTTTTAATATCCCGATTTTATTCATTTTCACTAGTTTTAATAAAACAGTAAAAAATATGATCACAAAACAGAGCAGTTCATTAACACTAGACGTACTAAAACAAAAACGTTATTTCTCACTTTTCAGGTAAAAAAAGACCGAAATCAGCACTAGACGTAATCATAACGAAACGACCGACCGAACAAAAACACCGCCGATATCATTTGATAACGAATTACGACTGATGATGTGCCTGGCACAAATTATACTTGTCTTTCGCTATTCACCTCATATAAAAATGTGTATTGTAGCGTTATCTCTGTCGCTCGTATGCGATGCTGGTAAAATTTCTCTCTTTTTATTTGGGCCGGCCCGACATTGGCACAAGTTGATGACGTCAAGGTCAAGGCATGCTTTATATCTCGTCGCGTGTTCGGGTGCTTGCGGTGTTGTCACGTTGTCAGTGTTGTCACTTCATATAATTTATACCAAAAAAAAATGAAAAAGCAAAAAATAAAGTAAAACATTGAAGATTGAAAAAAATATTCTTTTTGAAGAAGACAAGGTAGTGCCATGGCACCGTGGCACTACCTCACGAGCCGCCACTGCATGAGAGACATTCGAATAAAGTTGCGCCTGGTAGAACAGGATGGACCACTCCAAATAATTCGATAGTATGGTTTAGTTAAGTCTTGTTAGTTAGTGTTAAAATAAATTTCTTAAATAAACAAAAAATCCGATAAATATTTTGTGGCAAAACTTTTAGGACATACGTTTTGAGTAATATTGACACTTTCTTCTGGAATGTAAAAGATCGACTACATCTTGATGCTAATAACTATATAGATACGTCCGGCTACTGTTTGAGAGTTATTTTTGAGTCAAGTACATGTGACTTGTGAGCAACGACTTCATAAGGTTAGACTACGCGTTCTAGGGGAATTGTTTGAAGCCGCGAAAAATAAACAAACAAGCCCTCACTGTATGTATACATATCTGCTATTGATAGTTAGGTAATTTTAGATACCTGATTTGAGGCTATTTTAGTTTGGGATTGCCTCTGTATGATGCAAAACACTTTATAATGGAATTTGATCACTCTCAATCATAATATTCCCGTATGTAATAGCTGTCCATACATAATTAATGCGTATTTCTCTGACTGTATCTCGTTTCAGTATCGCATCGATTTTTTTTGCTTAAACTGACTGGACTATGAAGCGTCTGACTCTATCAGCCCCATGTTTATTTGTTGACTGTGAACTCTTTGTTCCGTTGTGTTAAAGCAGCTAATATACAGTGAGTCGTGAGTGAAAAATTGGTAGAAATAGACAATAATTAAAGACAAGTGTGTGTAGTTTGTGGCAGACCATACTGGAAGTAATCCAACGTGAGTTTTCGTGTGTAAGTAATTAACGCATTTATAACCTCAAAATGCATGGTCGTCCCAACGACATCATATGAAGTCGTTGGGTTGTCCTTAGTCCTAGGTTTCTTAATAGCTTGATAAGAATAATTTCACTTGGAATATTTTGAATAATGATAATGGCTTAACGCATGGTTATGTATTTCTAGTTTTCCAACTCGTTCGTCGTGCTGCCAGTTACTGAAATGGATTTGGTTGGCTCAGATCATTGTGAGGATCAGAACCCGGATGTCGATATCAGAACAAGTAGCAATAGGATGTCTGAACCTGCAGAGATCATCATTGAATATGAGCACACCTTCACAAGTACCGATGCCAAAATTGGACATTCTACTCCTAAGCGGAAAAGGTTATGAATTGTTTATACATTAGAGTACCTATGTTTTGGAAAATCATTTTCAGATGGCAGGAACTGAATCTTCGTTTCTTCAGTTTTTAGCTAACACTCATTTGTAGTGCTTGGTTCACTAACAGTAATTTGTTTTTTTCTTGCAGGAATGAATCTATGAGTGCTGCAGTTAGAGATGGAGGGCTGAAGAGACTGACAAGTCCTCAATCAGACAACTGTGATGTCTTGTCAATATCTTCAACTACAGTGACAGCATCTGAATGCAATATAAGGTATTGCTGTTATTCATTCAAGTTCTGATGCACATTAAAGACCTTATATGTTGAATTCCAGCTACTTTGATAGTTCCCAGGTCATTGAATGAATGACAAAATTGTATTGTTAATAGTTTTGTTTCCATTTTACTGCTTTGTTGACCAAACAACACTATTCATGAGAAGTTAAAGCTTTATTTTATTCTTAACGAATTCCAGCTATACTGTTGTACTTAATTGAATTGATTATTTTGGCAACAAAATCCAATTCTTGGTCAATAACATGTTGTTTGCTTTCTACTGTCCCTAGTGACTAAATAATACTATTCATCAGTCGAATGGATTAGTTTACTGCAACTGTATACATTCATTTTGACATATATTTTTGTTTATAGTAACAACTCTGACACTGTTTTGGCAAGAAATGATAGTTCAATTACTCTGTCGGCCAGCTCATTGTCAGCAACAGTTACTGCAAGCTCTGATGATGAACCTAGAGAACTACCAAGCATCTCGGGGAAAATGACTAGGCATAGGCAAATAATGCAGCAAAGGTGAGTTCAAGTTTTCAAAATTGATAATGATGAGCACACAAAGTAATATCTATTATTTCAGATCCAAAATGCATAAGCATGTATGGAACATTTCTGGCAAAACTGTAGGTAGCGCAGAAAAAACAATAGCGTCTCTGAAAAAGAAAATTAAAAATCTTCAGCAGCAAAATCGCAGACTGAAGTCTAAAGTATATTCCCAGCAATCATTAATGGAGTATTTGAGGGAGACATGTGGTTTGACGCCAAATGCAGGACTAGTTTTGAATGTAGGTATCAGTTGCATGCTGCTACACACTTCAATTAGCCTAGAACTTATTGTTTCCATTTTAGTTTAACATGTTTACAATACTGAAAAAGATTTATGTTTTTTTTTTGGTTTTATGCAAAGTTTCAATAATATTCTACTTTGTAACATGATTATTCCATGAATATATATTTGTTTTCAGGCATCAGTGGATGATGGCACAAAGGAAATTCTGAAACGATTTATCAAGGGGAAGTCAAAACAAAAATATAATGCTTCTCTCAGAGCTTTTGCATTAACTTTGCATTTTTATAGCTCAAAAGCTTACGATTTTGTGAGAGAGCAATTCAATAAAAGTCTACCACACCCCCATACTCTAATAAAATGGTACCAACGGATAAATGGTGCACCTGGCTTCAGCATGGAGGCAAAAAACAACTTACTGTGTAAAGTACAAACGGAACAGAAGCATGGCCGTAAAGTTTTGTGCAATCTGGTCATGGATTCAATGGCAATTAGGCGGCGAATAGAATGGAATGGCCAAAAGTGGACAGGATACATTGACTTGGGTTTTGATATGGATGGAGATAAACTTCCTGAGGTTAAAGAAGCATTGGTTATGATGCTAGTGGCTATAAATGGCAAATGGAAGCTACCTGTAGGATACTTCTTCATCAATGGTCTAAGTGGAGAGGAACAGGCAAACTTAGTATCAAATCTTCTTACTTTTATTCACGATACAGGTGTTATCATTTGTTCAGTAACATTTGATGGGGCCTCTCAAAATATTTCGATGATAAAACACTTGGGAGCTGATCTGAAAATTGTAAACTTAAAAACCTGGTTCCCACATCCAGTTGATTCGCACAGGGTGTACGTTTATCTCGATCCATGTCACATGCTAAAATTAATCAGGAACTGCTTAGCAACTTATAAAAATTTCAAGACAGATCAAAATGAGTTAGTTTCTTGGGAATACTTTGAAAAGTTGGTAAACATTCAAAACAATGAAGGCTTAAGAGCTGCTACCAAAATTAAAGAAAGACATGTGAAATGGGAAAATGAAAAAATGAAGGTATGCCTAGCAGCACAAACATTCAGTAAAAGTGTTGCTGATGCACTGAGGTTTCTGGAAACAGATTTAGGTTTGAAAGAATTTGAAGGTGCTTCAGCAACTGCCAACTTTGCTGAAATGATAAATAATATTTTTGACATTTTTAATAGTAATTCGAGATACTCAAAATACGAATTCAAACAAGGCTTAGATGTCAATAATGCTCAGCAGATATTTGTATATTTGGAACAGTGCAAGACATACTTTGAAGGTCTTAAGACAGAAACAACCCCAGTACTTCAATGCAGAAGGAAAACGGGTTTCCTGGGATTTTTGATTTGTATGGCTAGTTTACAGCAATTTTATCTAGAATATGTCATTGAATTCAAATACTTGAATTACATATTGACATACAAGCTGTCCCAAGACCATATTGAGCTATTTTTTAGCGCAGTGCGTAGTAAGGGAGGATGTAATAATAATCCAACTGCTCGACAATTTGAAAGTATTTTCAAGAGATTACTTTTGCATTGTGACATTAAGGGCTCCAAGTATGGAAATGTTGTTTCACTGGACAACACTAGTATTCTAGGCACTACATATATCAACACTTTGACTAAAACTAATTGTGGCAACATTCTTTCAGAGAATGATGATTATATGGAGAATACTACAGAAGTTTTAATATTTGGTAGTTGTTCATTACATCTGTGGCAGCTAACTCCGTATGTCTGTGATATTGTCGCATACATATCTGGCTTTGTGGTGAAAAATTTGAAAAAGTGTGTATCTTGTCATGAATGCCTGCTGCTAATGGAATCCAGTGAAACACGTTCTTTGTTGCAAAAAAGGAAGCAATATGGCAACTTAACACGAGCTTCTAATTATGTTATAAAAGTCTGTGAAGAAGGGGAGAGGTCTGTAAGGTCCTTGAAAGCCATTTCCAGCATATTTAGCAATAAACTTGGAAACATCGAAAAATACTTAGTAAGCTATACACTAAGGAAGTTAAATACATCAATATTTGAAGTATTTGGTGACCATGTTCTAGATGATAGCTTCGAAAACAATCATTCACTGCAGCTGACAAAGATGATTTTGGCTAAATACATAAGGCTAAGGTTACACCACGAGTCAAATTTAGCATCAGAATTTGGTAGACGATACAGAAGTGACCTCACAAAAAGCATACTATTCAGAAATCAGTAAAACTTTGATATGATTTTTCTCTACATTTTGTTATTTTCATCTCTGACCTTTCAACCTGTTAGAACGCCTCAGCTGAGTTTACGTGATTCAGATCATTCGAGATGATCAAAATAAATTAAAGAAGTCAATGATTTGTGTTTCTTGTGAGATGAATGGGACTTGAAGCCAACTTTTCTCCCATTCTTTTTTTGGGGGGGGGGGGCACCATCACCGATACCTTTTTTCTATGGGACATCATCATCATAAAACCTTCCACTTTGAGGGGCACCAACATTACTTTTTGGTGAGGGGAACCAACATCGCCTTTTTGAGTGCTATGATCATTACACCATCATTGCACTTGTACATGGGGCACAGTCATCACATCATTTCACCACCAGCGCATGGGACCATCCCTGTTTTAAACTCAGATTTGTCCACTCTTTGCGAGAGTAGATCAAAAGATAAATCATTCTTTTCATGTGATTCTTACCTCAATTTTTGCTTATTGTTTGGGGTTTTTTCTAATATTGTTTGAATTTTACAACCTTGTTTTATTTGTCCTCATGCTGCTATCGTTCTTTACAATTACAACATCAACTCTACCCTGATCTCTCATATCCTACTACTGAGCAACCAAGAGCTATAAGTATGAGCTTACATATGGCATGCTGCCTCATCTTTTTCTTGGGGTATGTGTGAGGTTATAATGTGACTGCGTTCAAGAGTAAATTTTGTCTTTTTATTCTTTTGAAATTTTGTACGCGCCTCTTATACTGTTTAATATAGATTTAATATGTTTGGATAAAGTAGCTACATAGGGGTAAATTATTTATTGTATTGTGTATATCATATTTCTATTAAAGACGTTTTATTATTATTATAATAACTGAATTAAAATATTTCAAACATTTGTTGTTTAATTATCCCATTACCTGTATCCACTGTTACTGTTTTATAAAAATTATAATAAACCTACAGAAACCCAAATCCTCTTAAATACACTGCATCAGAATATGTTCTTTTGGGACTAGCTTGAGATGCTACCAAATATAACTGAATGTACCCAATAATTTAGAGTGACTGCACACTGCCAACTTTTTAGTTTCGGTGGAAACATTGCATTCCTTGCAAGGGAACATTTTATTTTATGGCATGCTGGCTCTAAACTTTGGATATTGTTCATGAACATTGTCTATTTAAACAACTCGTTCTTAGTTGTGAACTCGTTCAAGTCAATATCGGGATAATGATTACATATTGTACAACTTGCAAATTTTTCTCGCTTGAAATCGTGAAAATCCGAAACACGGATATTTTGGGTACATTGAAGTGCAATGAGATTCTGTATGAATGAATTGGTAACCTACTTAAACAAAATATTGATACGCCTATGGAAAATGAATGTCAATCGTCGAACGTTTGTTTACAAAACAGTCTTCACCTGTCCCCTTGCACCCGTGAAGCGGTTACAAACAATGACACGTATACATGCGTAGTCTAACCTTATGAAGTCGTTGCTTGTGAGTAATATGCGCTACACCTGCCAGCTAACAGTCATCTGTAATCAACTTACGACCTTACCAGATACGCTCATTGCTATTTTATTTTGATAAACGGGATATTTATTGTAACTATTTCAAGGACTCGCTGGACAGAAATAATTTTTTTCATCCAATAATGGTCATAATGGAGACGTCTCATGATGTTCGAATCAATTAGGTAGTAACGCACAACAAAATACGTATACAGTGCTTTTCTTCAATGAATGAATGAGTAGATGCCATATTTTGAGTAAAATTGACAGATGAAAATGTCAAGATGGTCGCTGGGCGCCATAATGGAAAAAATATATGAAAACAGGGGTCTTGTGTCTACCTACTACACAATGGTGGTACATTTAATAATTACTTGAACACAAACCCACTAACATGCATATCTCTTCAAATAATTGTAATTCCCTGCCGTATCCACAGCAACAGCGATAAAAACTTGTTTTGTTATTTTTTGTTGACAGTGACAAGAATATCAGTACGAAAACAAACATCATTGTACAGTTAAATATCCTTATTTAGTTTTCGGTTTTATTGCTAGATACTGTTTGAACTATTTTTAAAATGGTCAATTCTCGTCCATTGGAAGAAAAAATCGAAGCGATTTTTATTTATGGTGCGACGCGTAACTTTCACGAGACCGAAATGATTTTTAATGATCCTTTCCCGTATCGTCCATCTGTAGAAAATATTTAAGGGAACTTGTATCTAAATTTACAGCTACTGGTAGTGTAAACAACAAAAAGCTCCCAGGTCATCCGACCATCCCGGAAGAAAAGCAAGTGAGATCATAGTAAATCCACAACAGTCTACTTCCTCCATCGCGAATGTATGTGAGGTTTGTCCTTCTACTGTATGGAGACTTTTGAAAAAGAATAAGTATCACCCATACAAAATTCAAATGGTACATCATCTAACTGAAGATGACCCTGATCGAAGAACAATTCTGCGAGACTATGACGGCAACCATTGCACGACATCCTACCTATATCCGAAACATTTGTTTTAGTGATGAATGTACATTTTTTTCTCAACAGTAATGTGCATAGACAAAGTTGTCGTTATTGGAGTGACACCAATTCTCACGTCTTCCGGGAAACTCATACTCAATATCCACAAAAAATTAACGTTTGGGCTGGGATATTGGGAAATCATATTGTGGGGCATCTATTCATCGAACAAACTTTAACCTGTATTTGGATATGCTGGAAAATTCTACCCACTAATCACCGAAATCGTCGAAGCGAATCCTAATGAATTCGATACTGATATTGTATTCCAGCAAGATGGTGCTCCACCACACTACTACAGACAAATTCGGAATTCTTTAGATAACAATTTCCCCGGTCGTTGGATTGGCCGTCGAGGTCCTGTGGAATGGCCAGCTCGCTCGCCAGATGTGACACCTTTAGACTTTTTTTACGGGGCTATTTGAAGCAAAAGGTGTACGAAACTGACCTGCTTCAATATTGGATATACGGCTGAGAATAACAAATATTTGTAGAAATATCGATGTTACTATGTTTGAAAATGTTCGACGCGAAATTACGGACCGGCTGTTATTGTGTCAAGAAGTTCAAGGCAACCATTTCCAGCATCTTCTAAATTGAACTCAACGTATGTATTTATTCGAATTATCAAGTGAAATGTCAATGTATTCAGGCAATTATTAAATGCACCACCATTTTGTAGTAGGTAAAGGTACTGACTTTATATTCTAGGGTTATAAAGTACTCGTCAGGAGCTTCAAAATGATGTGCCATAATGATGGCGCCGAGCGGCCATCTTGACATTTCCATCTGTCAATTTTACTCTAAAATATGAATTGATCCCTTCAAAAAATCAAATGGGAGGGGGATATTAAAGAAAAGTACTGTATAATCCACCAAAGGAAAAATTATTGGAATCAGTTAATAAATGGCAGAAACATTTCAGGGATCCGCAGTAGGCAGCGTCTATGCCCTCTAGCCCTAACCGAAGTGTTAGCCCGGCTAGTCATCATTGAAGAAGGATTTAGCGATGGAATTACTTTTTCCGTTTTTATGAAAATGAAAAGAAAAACAAATGAACCGTCACCTGGGAGAGAGTTAAATAAAATATTGTCAAAGGGGTCAGGTACTGAAGAAGGTCACCGTTGTGACCGCAGCATACACTACATTAAAGAAGATTTCTAATCATATGTGATTTCATTGGTCAGAAAAACATGAGGGATCATCGACATGAAAACCACAGGATGAGTTTTAGATGTGTATTATTTCTGTTATACTATACTAAACTGTTTGCGAATATTGAGCGATTGATTAGTATAACATATGTACATGTTAATGAAACGAATATACGGCACCGTTCCGTAACCTCTTGTACATTCCGCAAACAACTAAGAAGCTTAGGTTAATTTCGTTAATTATTACGTTTTTATTATTTAGAATAATTTTATAGCCGTTCTTAAATATCTGATTTTATTTTTAGTAATAAAATACTTCTCCTGGTCTAATAATTTTGTCGTAAAAAATCGTACTCTACTCTCCATCTCGTTGGAGGTCACTTTTTATAATTTCTGTCGATCGTAAATACGAGAACTGAAGGTAACTTGGTGCTATTTCCGGTGCTCTGATGTAGGAATTCTGCGGCCCACTGCCCGATTTTGTGATAGAGTTTCACACTCACAGTTGCGGATTTAAAGGGAGGTGGGGTTTTTATTAGAAGTTGGCCCCACGTTGGGCGCTAGTGTTATCCCGCGTAAACTAAGTTAGTCGGTAGATATGAGACCTCAAGGTGAGCTCCTTTGTACCTTGGTTTTTGGATGCAAAGCGGTTTGGGCGCCACCTACTTTCAAAAACTAGTAAATGAAATAAAGAGTAACAACTGGTGAGTCTCTGGAGCTAAGGAGGCACAAATTCACATGGCACACAGACGTGTATTGAACAAAAAAAATAAAAAAAAAAATAAGGAGAAGTCTTGGAGGACAGGCTAAAGAGAATTACTTTGTTTATTACCCCTCTAGCTAAATGGTTTTCGGTAAATAATAAAATAAAGAAGAAAACCCCTGGTCAGGTGCTAGGCTTTTACCGGTAGGCAATCGAAACCAGGAAGTCCCAGTTGCTACCTGAAGGTAGAACCCTCGAACAATGAGGGTCCACAAAAATGGGGAACTGCTCCTCTCCGGCGTAAGGCCTACTCAAATTCGCCTCGGGCTATTCCTGCAGACGGTCCCCCTTAGAGAGAGGGTGAGAAAAAGGCTCCTAAAAAACACCAAGAGATTTGCCTAATAAAAACCCCACCACCCTATAAATCCGCTACACTGCGTGTGAAACACTGTCACAAAATCGGGCAGTGGGCCATAGAATTCCTACACCAGAGCACCGAAAATAGCACCAAGTCACCGTCAGCTCTCGTATTTACGGTCGACAGAAATTATAAAAAATGACCTCCAACGAGATGGATACTAGAGAATGATTTTCACCACAAAATTATTAGACCAAGAGAAGTGTTTTATTACTAAAAATAAAATCCGATATTTTTTTAAGAACGGCTATAAAATTATTATTCTAAATAAGAAAAACGATGTAATAATTTACTTTATCAAGATGTAGTTAATTTGTAGTTGACCATAAAAAGAAACTGTAACAATCTATCTGTCGAGTTTCAGATGACATCGTTCGCGCAAAATATCGTTATAAAAAATATATACTCACACTTTCCAAATATACGCAGCCAGTAATGCTACAACAAATACCAGTATGAGTAGTATAGCTCCAAGTCCCGCTAGTAGTACGCCTCCGTTTCCTCTACTTGAAATGATGCTAGCCATGTCTCCCGGGTTATTGAAGTGAACCGTCACTGGTACAGATGCCTTTTTAGGTGGATACCCACTGTCTGTCGCGACTAGTGTCAGGTGTGCCGTTCCTTTTATATCTGCAGCAGAAAGAATAGCATCTTAGGTTTGAAATAATTTTGATATAAAATTTTTAAACTGTCAAGGAAGTAGCAGGATCTCGACTCACATTAGAGGGTTTTTAGTGCTTTTGTTTTGTTGCTTTACGATCTTTCTTATTTCGATTTTGCGCAGTAACCAGACAATACTTCGTTATCCGTTATCGAAATAAGAAAGCTCCGTCAGCTGCGGAGAATTGGAGAGGTAAGGTTATTTTTTCCTTAAATAGCGCTGTTGCCGGAATTCGTAAAGCTGGGAAAGCTTAATTCACATAATGTCATGTTATCAAAACATGTTGGTTAAAATATAATAGAAATATGAATTTTAGATTACAGATAAAAGTAAACGCACGAAATAGGCATGTTCTAAATGTATCACGTAACTTGGAAAGTGACATTATGCAGATTTTTTTACATTATGTTGTTTTTTTGACATTATGTAGGTTTTTCTACAAGATATTAACTTAGCACCTAGTTGTACGTGTTGTATAAACGTCATGCGGCTTGTTATCAATCTTTGGCTCTCATGTGATGTAAAATCTGCTTCTGAGATGGCATTACTGGAGGTCTAAGCTGAAAATTGTATGTGTTGATGATAATTACATTGGGTTCTGGTCTCAAATACACTTAATTGAGATTCAAAGCTAGTTGAGCATCCACTTTTTCTTATTCATTCTGGAAATTACATGTACAAATTTGCTCAATTTCAAAAATTAGAGAGATAAGAAATAATTATATTCACTGTACACTGTCGAATTACAAGCCATATACATGCTAACAGTAATTACACACAACGCGGGCGCGGTGATGCTTTCCCGTAATTCCCTTCAGTTTTTCGTAATTCATAACTTTGAACATAACCTCTCTTCAGAAAGCACAACATAAAAATAACCCGTCGGGCACAGCCAATAGATATACTTCATCGGCAGCATATTCAGTAATGATTTTTTCACACAGCAAATATCACTGATTTTATACACATGAAGACCAATACACATAATCATCCAGATGCTATCTTGCTATTCAACCAACTTTCTTCTCAGAGATAAAAAATACAAGCAAGAACCATTTGGTCTCACAAAACATATGCAACCAATAATGCGTTTAGTTTAGTTGAGTGATTTCTCCTTAGATGGACGTTCACAACGATCCTAGTGAGCAAACGTGGAATGACTGTTTGCGCTCTAAAAACTACCTAGTCTGCAAGTTGACATCTTACAGGTTTTTTTTACGTTTTATAGGTTTTTTACATGATACCTATGCCGCTTTTGTGGTCAAGTGTCGTTCTGTGGTTCTATGATTCCACACCTATTCATTTCTTGACACAAATATTACCAAACCTTTTCCACAAACATTTTTATGAGGCATTGAAATTTTTGGGTTAGCTTCACATCCTCACATTATTGGAACATACATATACACCTTTTAGGATACGGTTTGAACTTATATTTGCCAATGCAACCCTAATAGGAGTGATAATTGTTAGTAAAAACTATTTGGTTGTATCTTTCGCACAATCGTAAGTAGATCATTTTCTAAACAACCTAAGATTACTTGACTCTATTTTGTGGTTTATGGATAGAGATCCACTGGGAGCTGATACTTAAAGCCACAAAACGTCTTAATATTGCTCGGTCTGTATTCAATTTTAAAGGAATTTGAAAGGTTTTTCCGTACATTTACGATTAAAACTCAGAATAAGAGAAATATTTTCAACAGAAGAGTCACACGCAACGCAACGAACATAGGTAAGATATACGTTTTTTTATCGACATGAATACGGTTTACGCGATCTAAGAGAAGTTCCAAGCGCCAATGTGATCAGAATGTTCGAAACAACCGGCTCAACAGTAGCAATAATAGGTCGTGGTTGTCCAATAATTCTAATGGCATATTTTTGCAGCATGAGAACTCTTACAGTTAGTGATCTACTTCCCCAATTGAGAATACCATAACGGATATGGCAGTTGACACTGGCAAAGTTTTTAAAATTCGTTTACTGCACTGCTTTGCTAAGAATTTCCAGCCACAACAACTCCTTGACAACCCTCAAATATTCGCATATCATTAAGGAACACCCTGTATATGCTTGTTTAACTGTCTTTTGCCATTTGTGGCTACCTCGTGTCGAATTTAATCATTTACGAACGGCATTGCGTGAGAACTGTAGAGTCGTTCTACTTGACATCATTTTTATAGCACATACCGTTCCTCAAAACTCCATCTTTGAGCCTCAATTCTCCATCGGGTGTGATGGAGAATAACGAAGCATTAGCTCCCCTCAATTCCAGTGTAAGCGTGTCCGTTTTGTCGCCATCAGCTGCCTCGATGCGACCCAGTGGGTCACTGGATTGGTAGGCTCCTGCGACGAAAAACTCGTAGTGGGGGTAACGGAAACGGGGCTCCCATTCGTTTACGTCCACTACGCTGACGTTCACCGTCGTTGAGTCGTTCTGGAATATAAAAAGTAGTACTTTCAGTTCAAAATAATATCAGAGTTTCCATAGTAACTATAGTCGAAATCACGAAAGATGACGATTACGTCATCATTTTAGTCTGCAGGATTTGTAGGAATATTTTTAATGAAGTTTCAGATATTATAGACAGAGACAAACAGAATTTTATTGTCTAAGCAAACTGTATTGCTAATTTGCATGTATCCGATAAAGATAGGCGATGTTTTCATGTTGCATGATCGATCATATTTGAAAGATGAATAGTTAGGTTATGTTAAAGCAGGTTAGGTTGTTTTCGAATAATACTTTGGTCTTTGGTGGTCCTGTCTTAAGGTATTCTACTCATAACTGTTTTTTTTTCAAAACAAAAACTCACAACTAAAATTATTATTAAGGTATCACTCAAAACCATGAAATAAAATGAAAATAAAAATAATCAGTGAAATAACCTAACTTCGCACAATCATAATATATATTTGTTGTCATTATGTCTCTGACATCGTGATTTTATCATCGACGTACGTCCATTGATTACTTCGGTATAATTTATGATATGACGTAATAGTCATCTTTCGTGATTTTGACTATATACACCCTATTTACATCTACACATAGAGCTTCCAAAGTTCGTTTCTCATATTCAGATCAGAATGAGTAAATATTTTGATCAAAACTTACAGTGACTCCATCAGTTGCGAAAACTTTGAATGTATACTGCGGCATTTCTTCATAATCAAGTTTTTTCTTCAAGGAAATCTCGCCTTTAGTATTCAAACTGAATGTCTTCAGGATGTTTTGGTCGGACACGAAGTACCTTAAGCTGTCTCCAGGCCTGTTGTTGGTGAGTGTGCCTACCATCGCACCTGGTGGTAGTGCTTCTGATGCTTTTATGTGAAATACCTTGTGAAGGAATTTTATTGACCTATCTTTGCCTTTCGTCACCTGAAAAAAGAAGGATTCATGAGATAATTATAAACACTTTGACCAATCTCTAGACAAAGCGGCATGTTCGTAAATTGAAAAGTAAAATCATAACTTTTTGAAGAGCGGGGAGCAAATTTTCCCGGGGGGATGGGGAAGCGCAGATACTAAAGATCTTCAAAGTTTTACATAAAATCATGCTAAATATTCAAATTTTAAGGTCTAACCGGATTCCCAGGGCTCACGAACTTGTGAAAAGTATCTACTTAACCCAACACCAGTGAATTGAATGGAAGTTTCGATTGTATCAATTATTTTTTCTATTTATATTTGAGTACGAAAATGAAGATACAAGAAATTCTGTGCCATCAAGTGGTCTACTTTCGAGAATTGGTAATTCTAAATACGATCGCGTTGGCCAAAAGTTAGGATATGAAAATGTTGTGGGAATATTGTTCATATTGGTTTGACAACCTGTCATGCACCGAGACTTGAGCGAATTTATTTTGCAAGCTAAATATACTCTATCACTTTGATTTTTTGTTAATTAAGTATTATATAAAAAAATGGAGAAAATGGCTGCCATCAGTTCATAAAGGATTATGTTCCTGTTAGTCACTATGTCTATTTCACGTAAACCTTTTCCAATCAGATTCATATATAGCACTGATATTTGGCAACTAAATGTGTGTAAAGAGTTCAATGACCTAAGTATATTATTTGATACCAGACTTACATTTGTTTCGCATAATCAGGAATTGTAGAGATTTCAATAATGCGAATAGAATGATCCTGTTGTATAATTCAATTGTTCGATCCAAAATTGAATTCTGTTCTATAATACGGTATCCTATCTATGAAGTTTACTCTAATAAAATCGAAGGTATTCAGACGCGGTTTTGAAGTCTTTGTGGTACAAGGAAGATGGTACGTATCCAGAAGTTGCCATCAAGCATGATGTATTACTTAGCGGATATAACCTCTGTAACTTGGAGAAGCGTAGAAGCTATGATGATTGTGTATTTTTATATAAACTGAGATATATTTACTTAGTAAGATTCTCATTCATGTACCTAATGCTGAAGCGCGATTCAATTCAAAATACTTTTACTTAAGCATAGCTAGAACCAATGCGTTGCTTTTGCCTCCGATGATGAAAATGGGTAGAGGAAAGATTATTAGTGAGAAAATTCGGTTACTGATAATTAAATTTTTTAATTCTGGGAAATCAAACTCAGAAATTGCAACTTTGTTAGACTTAACGCGGTACAGTGTGAGAAATATTATTAGAAGATATAACGTAACTGGTTCAGTTAATATTAAGCCACGATATGTGAAAAAAAGTAATAACACAAATGCCGACCGAAGAGCATTAAGAAGAATAATCGTGAAAAACAGACGTGCCAATTATTTACAATTAAGTGCTCTATGGAGTGACGCTGTTGGAATGAGAATTTCGAGGTCCACAACTCATAGAGAGGCCCACAAACTGGGATTTAGCACTTGCAAGGTAAGTTTTCTTATAAAAAAAGTGAAGTAAAAACCCTAAAGTTGCACAACTTGTTTATAGGCCAAAGAAAAGCCGCTATTAACTCCACTGCAAAAGAAAAATCGGCTTAGATGGGCTAAAGAACATAGACAATGGACACCTCAACAATGGTGTGCAATACAATGAAGTGATGAGGCCCGATTCGAAGTTTGTGTTGGTGACAGTCGCGGTAGAGTTATTCGCAAAAAAATGAAGCATTCCATGTTGACTGTCTGAAGAGAAAAGTGTTATTTCCAGCATCCATTAAGGTCTGTGGCAGTATGTCATCAAAAGTAGTAGGAAAACATTTTATTGATGGAAATTTGGATACAAACAAATATTTGGAGTTTAGAAGAATCGCTTTTACCAGTGATGGAAGAATGTTTGACATCCGGCCAAGATTTTGTGTTTCAGCAAGATGGTGCAGCGTGCCATACCTCAAAAAAGGCTATAAAATGGATGGAAGAAAATAATGTACCACTTTTGAAATGGGTTTCTAGCAGTCCTGATCTGCCACCTATTGAAACTTTGTGGCACGAGATGAAAAAGTTTCTACGACAACATCCTGCTCGTACAATCACCGAACTGAGACAAAAGCTTCAAGAAATATGGGATTGTTTTACACCAAATTTTTGCCAAAACTTGGTTAACACTATGCCCCAAAGAATTTCAGCCGTAATAAAAAATAAAGGTGATGTTACCCAATGGTAATCTTTCAATTGTTGCTTTGTTAACTTCGCGCATTTATTCTCATATGTTTTATTTGTTCAGATGTTCTATTAGTTATAGGTATAAGTGATTTCAAATATGTATTTTTTATGACTAGAGTGTATCTAAAATGTTTTTGAGAAAATAAATTGTTTTGGTAGTAAATAGTTTCGTCATGTTTAGTTTATAAAGGCATATTTTGGTACAAATCTTGAAGTGGGCCAACTGAAGTGGGAATGGGCTCGTAGTAGGTAACAGCTACGAGGGAGGTCCGATAAGTACCTAGCCTACAAAAGAATATTTTTTTTTGTAAAGTGGCGATTCATTTCTCAACATAGTCTCCTTTTAGCTCGTTAAACTTGACCCAGCGATGCTCCAACTTTTTTAACCAGTCTGAATAATACGTTTTCTAGAGGCCTATGAAGTACGCCTCCGTGGCGGCGATAACCTCTCCATTCAACTCGAATTTCTGCCCGACAAGTGACTTTTAAAGTTTGGAAAGAAAAAGAAGAAATTTGCCGTGGCGACGTCTGAGGTGTGAGCCGATGCATTGTCATGGTGGAAGAGCACTTTTTTCTTCGTCTCCTTGGTCTCTGGCGTATACCAGTGGATCCATGCTTCGTCGACGGTCTCGAAACGATGCAGAAACTCTTTCGGATTGCGCTTAAACTGCTCTGAAGTGGTCTCACGGTTGTGCTTGTTGGCCAGAGTAAGCAAACGCAGAACCTATCACGCAGAAACCTTAGTCATACCCAATATTTAATGCAGGATATGACCTACGCGGTCTTCTAAGGTGTCTACTGTCTCAGCTATCTCGCACACCTTCAATCGGCGGTCCGTCAATACGAGATTGCGGATTTTTGTTGCGTTATCCTCCGTGGTAGCCGTTTTCGGGGCATCTGGGCGTGGGTCATCAAAAACTGACGTGCGACCACTTTTTAACTCGTTAAAGCTATGTTTGACGGTTGCCATCGAAGGAGAAGAGATATGTTACAGCATCCAAGCGATCTTTGATTTCGCTACGCGATTTCCCTTCTAACTGCAAGAATCGAATCACCGACCGACATTGCGTTTTCTATTTTTCTAAAATACGCGGACAAGCTCGCTTTCACAAGCGGTTAAAACAAAACTACATGTCTGATTTGGCTTAAATTTGATAGTAGCCGTCAACGATAGTAAATTTCTCTTGCGACAGTGGCACCATCGGCCGGTGACGCTAAGTACTTCTCGAACAGCCCTCGTATGAGCCTGCAAGAAACGCGGTAGATTTGTTATTTTGTAATTTGCGCAGTTTAAAAAGATTTTACGTAACAGTAGGTCAAGTCATTTGGTGGGTTTAAGATATTTTTGAACATTTTTATGTCTTAAAATTCATTCTTGTCTCCATATCCGTTACATGGTGTAATAAACCATTCTGATAGTGTATATGTTACCGGCAATCTGTATGATCCGGTATAATATGCAATACCTAGAATACCTGAAACATGTAGGTAATGTATGAAATATTATTTGTTTTATGCCGAATACGCAGCCGGTAATGTATGTAAAAAACGAGAGCATGAAACGGGTTTTGCTCGAGGGGAAGGGGTGGCTTCCAGCAATATCAGCTGCAAAACAGCTACAAGGCAGCTACGAAACAAAACTCTAGCAGTGTGACTGGTGGTTCTCGGCAATGCGTTCGCACACTGAAGGTTAAAATCCCATAAGAGAATGGACGGGGTAGCACCCAAACTAAAACAATTAAACGTAAGGTACCAAATAAAAAGGTTAGTACTCCATAAACTGGAGTTTGGGGGGTCTAATATTCCTTAATCTGAAACGACGCCCACACCACTATCTCCACAGAAATTGTTGATTTTAAATAATATAAGTTGTTCCATTTACTCGTCATTTTATAGGTATACCGGTTAACATTGATAAATTTAGCCCAAGATCTATTTATCTTACACATTGCCGGTGGATAATATTTCATACATTGCCTGGGCAACCCAGGTATTCTATACATTGCCTAGGTATTGTATAGAATACCTGAATTATGCAGATTACCGGTAACATATATACGAGTAAATAAATAAATAACGTTCGACTTAAAAGATAATTAACTCACAGTCAAGGTGGCCAGAGCATATCGATCCGGATTGTCCTGCTGCGTAGCCCGGATGACCAAAATGGCGGGATGAGGCAGCTCTCCATCTGACGCATCCTTTGCCAGAGTGACAGCTGCCGTTAGTCTGTTTAGACGGAACAGGGAATAGTCCGGCCCAACTTCGTTGAAGGTATAGTAGATGGGAGCGTTGATTCCGATGTCTTGGTCGAAGGCTTTTATGTCACGTGGTTTCACGTGGAGAGGAGATCCCTTTTTTGGAGGGTCGGGTAGCATGGCTGTGTACCTGTAGATAAAATTCTTGAAACCTAAGGGGAATGCCACACGGTCAGTATTTGCTGTGGTCCGTCAGCATTTACCATGGAATTTGCTATATTTATTGACCGTGTACGTCAGTATTTATTGATGTACAAGATTTCGTAGAAATCCATTGACTCTCACGGGTCATCAGTAACTACTGATCTGCTGGAATGCTGATCGTGTGACACTCGCAACTAGAGTCTTTAACCTATATCTAACGAAAACACGAATTTTACCATTTAAAGTCTAGTTTATTATTCTCACAGTAATTTATTATAACACTTGACCTAAATTATTAGTGAATATATCGACTAGACTATGGTATTCCACGTTCTTAGAATCGACGAGTTCAGAAGCGTTCCGACGTCTTCCAGATAGAATTCGAGTCTTCATCGAAGCTTGGTAGATGGCGGTCGAGGTTTCTGGACGGAAGAAGAACGTTCGTGACTATATCATTTAATCTAATTTATTAATCTCATATAAATTTATTACCACACTAATTTACCACAAAATCATTTCGACTGGACTATGGTATTCCGTGTTGTTGTCTGTCGGTCAACTCTCTGTCCGCCTCTGGCCTCAATGCTTGTATTTATCTACGAATCGACGAGTCCAGAAGCCTTCCTGCGTCTTCCAGATGGAACTCCAGTCTTCATCGAAGCTTGGTAGATGGTGGTCGTGTTCATCGATGCAAGAAGAAAGTTCGTGATTTTACCATTTAAAGTCTAATTTATGTATTTATTGCAACACTTGCAAACCATTTATTACACATTTATTGCGATTGGACTCTCCTATTCTGCGTTGCTGACTGTCGACTGTTTGGCTACCTTTGACAGACAGAACTCAAGTTTTCATCAAAACCTGGTAGATGGCGGTCGATGTTTCACGATGCAAAAAGCTCGTTCTTGATTTTACCATTTTAATTCTAATTTATTACTCGCACACAAATTTATTACAGCACTTGCAACTAATTTAATACAAAATTATTTCGACTGGACTATGGTACTCCGCGTGTTGACTGTCGGTCGACTATCTGATCGCTTCTGCCTTCTGTGCGTGTATTTATTTTCGAATCAACGAGTTCGGAAGCGTTCCCGCACCTTTCAGATAGAACTCAAGTCTCCAACGAAGCCTGGTAGATGGCGGTCGATGTTTCTGGATGCACGAAGAACGTTCGTGACTATATCATTTAATCTAATTTATTACTCTCATATAAATTTATTACAACACTAATTGATCACAAAATCATTTAGACTGGACTATGGAATTACGCGTTGTTGTCTATCGGTCAACTCTCTGTCCGCCTCTGCCTCTAATGGTTGTATTTATCTACGAATCGACGAGTCCAGAAGCCTTCCTGCGTCTTCCAGATAGAACTCCAGTCTTCATCGAAGCCTGGTAGATGGTGGTCGTGTTTATCGATGCAAGAAGAAAGTTCGTGATTTTACCATTTAAAGTCTAATTTATGTATTTATTGCAACACTTGCAACCAATTTATTACACATTTATTTCGACTGGACTCTCGTATCCCGCGTTGCTGTCTGTCGACTGTTTGACTACCTTTGACAGACAGAACTCGAGTTTTCATCGAAACCTGGTAGATGGCGGTCGATGTTTTACGATACAAAAAGCTCGTTCTTGATTTTACCATTTTAATTCTAATTTATTACTCTCACACACATTTATTACAGCACTTGCAACTAATTTAATACAAAATTATTTCGACTGGACTATGGTACTCCGCGTGTTGACTGTCGGTCGACTATCTGATCGCTTCTGCCTTCTGTGCGTGTATTTATTTTTGAATGAACGAGTGCAGAAGCGTTCCCGCGCCTTTCAGATAGAACTCGAGTTTCCAGCGAAGCCTGGTAGATGGCGGTCGAGGTTTCTGGATGCAAGAAGAGCGTTCGTGACTATATCATTTAATCTAATTTATTACTCTCATATAAATTTATTACAACACTAATTTATCACAAAATCATTTCGACTGGACTATGATATTCCGCGTTGATGTCTCTCGGTCAACTCTCTGTCCGCCTCTGGCCTCAATGCTTGTATTTATCTACGCATCGTGGAGTCCAGAAGCGTTCCTGCGTCTTCCAGATAGAACTTCAGTCTTCATCGAAGCCTGATAGATGGTGGTCGTGTTTATCGATGCAAGAAGCAAGTTCGTGATTTTACCATTTAAAGTCTAATTTATTTATTTATTGCAACACTTGCAACCAATTTATTACACATTTATTTCGACTGGACTCTCGTATTCCGCGTTGCTGTCCGTCGACTGTTTGACTACCTTTGACAGACAGAACTCGAGTTTTCATCGAAACCTGGTAGATGGCGGTCGATGTTTCTCGATGCAAAAAGCACGTTCTTGATTTTACCATTTTAATTCTAATTTATTACTCTCACACAAATTTATAACAGCACTTGCAACTAATTTATTACAAAATTATTTCGACTGGACTATGGTATTCCGCGTTGTTGACTGTCGGTCGACTATCTGATCGCTTCTGCCTTCAGAAGCGTTCCCACGTCTTCCAGATAGAACTCGAGTCTTCATCGAAGCTTGGTAGATGGCGGTCGAGGTTTCTGGATGCAAGAAGAACGTTCTTGACTATATCATTTAATCTAATTTATTACTCTCATAAATTTATTACAACACTAATTTTTCACAAAATAATTTGGACTGGACTATGGTATTCCGCGTTGTTATCTGTCGGCCAACTCTCTGTTCGCCTCTGGCCTCAATGCTTGTATTTATCTACGCATCGGGGAGTCTAGAAGCGTTCCTGCGTCTTCCAGATAGAACTCCAGTCTTCATCGAAGTCTGATAGATGGTGGTCGATGTTTCTCGATGCAAAAAGCACGTTCTACCATTTTAATTCTAATTTATTAGTCTGACACAAATTTATTACAGCACTTGCAACTAATTTATTACAAAATTATTTCGACTGGACTATGGTATTCCGCGTTGTTGACTGTTAGTCGACTATCTGATCGCTTCTGCCTTCTGCGCGTGTATTTATTTTCGAATGAACGAGTTCAGAAGCGTTCCCGTACCTTTCAGATAGAACTCGAGTCTCCAGCGAAGCCTGGTAGATGGCGGTCGATGTTTCTCGATGCAAGGACAACGTTCGCTATTTCACCACTTAAAGTTTAATTTATTTGTCTCACACAAGTCAACAGCACTTGCAACCAATTTATTACAAATTTATTTCGACTGGACTATGGTATTCCGCGTCGGTCGGCTGTCTGACCGCATGTATTTATATTCGAATCGACGAGTCCAGAAGCTTTCCCGCGTTGTCCAGATAGAACTCGAGTCTACAGAGCCGACGTACAGGGGTATTGGTATTCAAACTTCTAGTTTCGACGTTAGATGGCATCTTCTTTGAATCATGGATTTTCTTTATAGTTTTTTCTGCTCGGCTTATACCGTGGAACGAAATGAAACATACTAGAGTAGGATCTCAGGTTTGTCAGACGTAACTTAATTTCCAGAAGATAAAACGTGGGGCGCTGAACAGTGTTAATATGTTCAATGAACCTTCGTACCTATGAACTTGGGTAGACTGCCGATTTATTGGTATTAAGTAAGAAAGGTAAGTAAAAGTAGGACTACTTCAACAAATTTTGACTGCTGATTTTTATATACCTTGAAAACATTATTACAAAGTGATACCCAGCACTGCTAGACACTTTCCGCCAGCCAACTTTCTCTTGAGATTCATACCTATTTGTACGGCTATGCTAACAAGTAACACTGGGTGAGACTGGAATCCAAAAGCCAATGCTCTTAATTATATTGTGGTGCGAATCGTGTGTTTTAGGATCTTTGAAAAGTAGATAAATATTCTCTTTCGGGCAATGGAAGAGCGCTGTATAAGCATCATAAGTGGCTTCCTGTGGCCAAAAAATGAGGATATGGATCTAGACAATCTTTGAGCTGAACAAAATCGCGATGTGGGCTTTACAGGGGCCACTTTTGTGTACCACGTTAGCAGAACCCTGCCAATACCAACTGACTACGTTTGAGGAATAATTTTATTTGTCCGTCGTCTCACCTGGACCATGTTGACGATTGCCAATAAGCATGAAACATGTCGGAAACTCAAAAAATGTGTACAGCACTGTTAGTGGTGATGAATCGTGGATTTACTGTCATGAACCAGAAAATAAACGACAGTCGGCTGTTTGGGTGTTCAAAGGTGAAAATGAGCAAAGAACTGTTACTGCGGATTGGCATACCACCATTTGTTTGACAAAAGTCATCAGCGAGCTTCGAAAAATCAACCCCGAAAGAAGAATCGTCCTCCACCAAGACAATGCAAGCTCGCACATAGCCCATAAAACAAGGCAGTGTTTAACGGAAGAAAACGTGGAATTATTGGACCATCCTCTATATAGTCCCGATCTAAGTCCTAACGATTTCTTTACTTTCCCGAAAATTAAAGACAGACTGCGTGGTCAAAGGTTCCAGTCACAAGAAGAAGCAGTTGACGCATTCAAAAATGCCGTTTTGGATCTGCCAGCAAACGAGTGGAATAAGTGCTTCGAAAATTGGTTCGAGCGCATGCAAATGTGTATTAATCTTCGTGGAGAAAACTTCCAAAAACAATAAAGTCATTTAAAACTACCAACCGTGTTGTTTTATTTCCATATGCAAAACTTAAAAGACATCCCTCGTATAGTAACTGATAATCATCCTGGCACATGCAGCAGTTAGTAGAATGAGCAACTTATGTGTCAGTCTGCGGTGGACCGTTAAGAATCTCCACCAAGTAAAGCTCAGATTCTTGGATTGATAAAAATATAAAATAAATATTGTTCGAGCTTAAAATAATACCTCATTTCTCAGTCGTTTTTTGAGTCATTATATTTCTAAATAACTTATTTTCTACATACCTGTCATCTAGAAATCGAGGATTCTGGTCATCAGCATCGATAACGTGCACAGTCAGAACAGTGTCATTGCTTCTCGGTGGTTCGCCGTGATCCTGGGCCCTTATATGCACATCAAATGTTTTCAGTGATTCGTAATCCAAAGGCTTTTTTAATACCAAGGTGCCTTCCAGTTCGTTTTCAAATTCAAAGAAATCTGAATGCGGTCCTGGCAACACAGAATACTTCACAGTCGAGAACGGTCCTTGTTGATCGTTATCTGCAGCGTGGACGCCCTTATAGAGGATGATAAAAATATGTTAATTTATTGTTTCTAAGACACATCTTGAGTATCTAATAATCTGTGGACACATCTCAAACTTGAAAGTAAAAAAAGTTACACGCCTATATTAAGCTCAAACTAGGAGACAATATAATATCATTTAGGGATTCTGTGAAGGATTTGGGCTTAGTGGTTGACTCTAAACTTAAGTTTAGAGAGCACATTACTCTGTGCCTAACAAAAGCATATTCAATGTTAAAAATAATTTACCCCATAGACATTACCTATCACAAAATACTAAAGCCACGCTCTGCGAAGCTTTAGTGTTGTCCCACTTCAACTTTGCTGATATGGTATATGGCTCATTTCTTGATAGTGTGGAACTAAAACGGGTTCAAAAAGCTCAGAATTCTTGTCTGAGACTGATATTTGGCTTAAGGGCTAGACAAAGAGTATCTCACAAACTACCTGAACTGGGATGGTTGAATATGGCTCAGAGGCGAATCTTGCATTCTACTTCCTTTTTTTTACAAGATAAAATATAAAAGCCATCCTTATCTTCACTTAAAAATTAGTTACCGGACTGATGTACATAATCTAAACATTAGAAGATTGAATTTGATTACAATACCATCACACAATAAAGAAATCATTTAAGAAATCATTCTCATATCAAATTGCCTTTTTGGTAAATAAATTCAAAATTAAAGATTTTTCTCTCTCGGTAGCTTCATTTAAGAGGAACCTTAAAAGTGATTTACTGTCTCAGATATCATGGAAAACACATCTCCTGCTCCCCTTTTTCTCTTCTTCTCTTTCCCCTCGCTTTCTCTTCTCACTCTAGATTTCCATTTCTCTATTTACTATACTTCGCTATATTTCTTAAGATTAAAACATTATTAATTATCAATGTCTTAATAGCCATTTGTCTTACTATAGAATTGTTTAAATTTGTTTTTTTTGTGGCTCTAGCAGCTGCTTCTTTAAGGGGCAAGATGATGTAGCCCTTTATCCTCTTAAGGCTTTTTTTGTTTGTAAACTTTGTATATACTGTTTAATGGGGGAAATAAATATTATTATTATTATATTATTAATGGCAAAGGAGCACAATTGAGAAAAACCATGGACTAGTCAGTGTGGTATACGGAAAGGTTGAGGGCTATAGAACTTTGTTAACAAATGACGAGTGTTATGTGGTGTTATGGGATTTCACACTACAGTATATTCAGATAAGAGATAGACCGGATGTAAACAAAAGGTTCGGGTGATTTTCACGCTAACGCCGCCGTCTCGACGTAAAACAGGAGCCCTCATTGGTCAATTCGCAATTAAATGCCTATGCCGAGCGGCAGAGCAGTCGTATCAAGGCAGAGTCACATTCAGGTTCAGACGTGTTACGTATGTCGTGTGCATCATTGCAATTTGATATTTCTTTGGACGTTTTCGTTTGTTATCTTATTAAGTTGTTGAGTTTGTCGTTATTGTTATACCTTGTTATTGATTGTTATTGTTATCAACTGCTTGCGCAAAATGCCCAGTAGTACAGATACTGCCGATGAAGTTGTAAACTCCTGTAGTCCACCTAGGAAACGCTCTAAAAAAAGACACCTGAGTGCAGAAATGAAAGAGGTCATTTTGAATATATATAAGATCGAGCGCGAGGAGAACGAGGCATCAACCATCAAAGAAATTGTTGTGAAGGTTTCTCACAAAGTTGGGGTGTGTCGCGCATCAGTGTTTAATGTGTTAAGACAATACAAAAAAAAAATCACACCTTTTCTGAGCCAATGACCAGTAAACATCGCAAAAGTATTGTTAAATCATTGGATGAAGCTGATAAGCATGCGATTAGGAGGAAAGTGCATGAATTCTTCTTTAGGAATAAAATACCTACTATAGATAAAGTACTGCAGGAGGTAAATGGAGATACAACGTTGCCAAATTTCAAACGATCAAGTTTCCATGCGTTACTGAAGCATTTAAATTTCAAATGGAAAAAACGGGGTCGTAATAGTTTACTACTGGATAGAGAAGAAATTGTGCTATGGAGGAGGGATTATTTAACAAAAATTGGGAAATATAGAAATCAAAACAGGAAGATTTATTACCTTGATGGAACGTGGGTAAACGCAGGACACACTACAAGTAAAGTATGGGTTGATGATTCTGTAACTTCATCCAGGAGGGCCTTTCTAGATGGACTGTCCACCGGAATAAAAAATCCAGCAGGTAAATACGAGTAATAGACAACAATCGGATGTTTTTCAAACCTTGGGAACAAGGTTCTAAACATTAATTCCAGGCGGCAGATAAAACATATTACAAGTAACAAAACTTTTATAACTTTCGATAAAATGCGTGGATGTTTTATTGTCATTTTCACTTGTTAGAACTTTTTTAAGCCATGTTTTTATGTGTTATCGATATTTCAATAATTTTTTAATATAATCTTAAAATATGTCGAATATTATAAACTTAAAAAAAGTTACTAAGTTTTATATTGTGTACCGTTCCTAATATTTCTAATCATTTTAATTCATACTTTAAGCTTTATAAAGTTATAATTTGTTAATATTAATATTTGCGCGTATTTCAGGTTCCTGATCATTCATCTTTTAAAGGTTTATAACTTTGAATTAAATTGTGAAGCGCTGAGTAATCATACGACGTTCAATATTCTTTCTTTCAATATGACTAAATAATCCCAATTATAGCAATCTGATACTCATGTCTCAATGTTTTTTCGCTGAATGTGATGAAAACATTTGAAAAATGTTCGCTTATTGAAATAAATCTACACCAGTTAGTACTTCTATTTCCAGGTAAAGGGAAAAGACTCATTATCTGCCATATTTGCAGTGAGGATGGATTTGTTGTTGACGGTCTGTGGTGTTTTGAGTCTAAGAAAACTGGAGATTACCACGAGGAATAGAATGGCGAATCGTTTGAACAGTGGTTTTCAAAAATTTTACCGAACTTAGAAGAAAACGCAGTAATTGTGTTGGATAATGCGCCTTATGGAGAAGGTCCCAACAACGGCTTCAAGGAAAGTTGATGTTCAAAATTGGCTCCGCTCGAAAAATATCAACTTTGAAGAAGCAATGCTGAAAGTACAATTATTAAGAATTGTCAAGGATCACAAGGCGGAATATCAAAAATACGCCATTGACGAAATGGCAGCAAGTCAAAATAAAACTGCGCTCCGTTTACCTCCATTTACCTCCATACCATTGCGAGCTCAATCCCATTGAGCTCATATGGGCAGAGGTTAAAAATTATATACAATTTTTAAATTTTGTGACCTCAAAGGACTTTTCAAAGAAGCACTAGAATTAATAACAGCGCAAAATTGGGAAAACTGTATTAAGCACGTGAAAGACAAAGTTGAAAAGAGAATGTGGGAACTGGACAATATTTTAGAGGAACAAGTCCAGCCATTCATTATTGACGTTGGTGCTTCAGGCAGTAGCGATGATGAAAGCTCATCAAGCTCATCTTTCCAATAAAAGATGTCGTTCATCAAATTCGGTAAGTTATAAGTAATTATAAAGCTACTGTATTTTTTAATTAATTATTGACATTTTTGAACCCATTTTGGCAAAACCTATTCAAGAATCTACTTTCTGACAATGTTCAACCATGCACATTTTTTTACGTTTTGAAAGTTTTAATTTGGTTACATATTTACCTAGAAATCAAAAAATATACTAATCAATATTTTAAATTTTAAGAGATATACGATTATTTTTAATTTAGGCTAATTTAAACGCCATTTTGAGACTGTATTCGACTGTATTTCACCAAACATCAGGCGGCATCCGAAGCGAAAATTTTGAAACCCTTATGTATATTTACATCATTATATATTTCTTACCCCACCCCCACATGATCCTATATCCATCACCAATCGTATACACATCGAATTGTGCTAATTTACTACAAAGTTACGCAAAGCAGCATCTACTATCTAAAACATGTACTGCGTGACTCTTAATACGTCCCTGCCGAATGTTACAGCGTTCGATGATCACGTGGTCTTGTTTATGTCCGGTCTATCTCTTATCTGAATATACTGTACACAGGTTTGGTAAAGGCTTATAGTGAAGTACTCACTCACCTGTAGCACTCTGGTACCAACAACGGTAACTTCTGAAATATTCAGTACATATGGTGCATTGATGAAGACAGGAGCATTGTCGTTAGCGTCAGTTACTCTGATGTTGATTGGGATTACAAAACCAGGATCCAACGTCTCAAGACGTTCACAAATGAGATTCACAAACACTGATGCCGGACCATCTACACCTTCTTTATCTAATGGCCTGCAAATATGTGATTAATTAATAAAAATGAATTAGCTTTTTTATTTAACTTTTCCTATTAGTATGTTAATTCACTAAGTTTGCTATTGAATGTGTCAACTAGATGTGGTATATACTGATTTTGATAAAGCGTTCGATAGGGCGGACCATGGAATACTTTTAAATAAGCTTGCTCATTATAGATTCCATTCATCAGCTTTAGCACGCATTCAAAGTTTCATGGAAGGAAGCAATATGTTACTTTCAATGGCTTCAAGTCGTACTGTATTTAACTGAATCGAGTGTGCCTCAGGGTTCAAACATTGGACCTTTATTATTTACCTTATTTATTGATGATATAGCACAACATTTAACTTGCAATAAACTCCTCTTTGCGGTTGATTTAAAATTATTCAGGATTATTGAGTCTGAGGCTTATTGTATTGCACTTTAGCGTGATATTGATGATTTAGTAGCTTGGTGTGATGATAATAATTTATTTCGTAATGCGTCTAAGTATAGTGTAGTCAGCTTTTTAAGGAAAACGTCTTCTTGTAGATTTAATTATAAGATTGGAGATGTTTACATAAATATACTAAGTGACATATAAACCCAGTTTAAATGGTTATAGTATAAGTATAAGTTCTTAATGAAGCATAATAAGTAAATGATAAAAAATTTCAAAATGATTGCACTGCTTTAAAGCCCTTTGATCTTTAATAATGTGTGGATGCACCCTGATGTGCTACGCATTCTCCAACGCGCCTAGGCATGCTTCTGATCACGTGGTCAATGTCCTCCTGTGGTATCTCATTCCAGGCAACTACCAACTCCTCTCGAAGTACTTCTAGAGTCTGAGGAGGACGTTGCAAATTGAGCAATCTCCTACCCATCATATCCCACACGTGCTCAATTGGGGAGTCAAGTCGGGAGATCTTGGTGGCCATGGTAACAATGTGACATCATTATGTTGAAAGAAGTCTATTGTGACTCTTGCAACATGTGGTCGGGCATTATCTTGTTGGAAAGTTGGATCTGCCAGGGTGTGTTTCAACAAAAACCTGTGGATTCCTCCTTTCACCACGTCGCCTTCTAACCCTGGCACGACCATCGTGCATGCCTAAACAAAATCGAGACTCGTCACTAAAGACATTACTGTTCCATTCCTGATCCCAGAGTGATCGTTGTCTGCACCACTCGAGGCGATTATGTCGGTGTTCTCGAGTTGAAGGGAGGACCCAGTGTGGCCGGTATGAAAACAAGCCAAAACTTCTTATTCGTCGGTAAAAACTTCGCATGCCAATAGGTCTTCCGTTTTCTGCAAACCATTCATTTGCAATGGACCTGGTAGTGGAGAAACGGTCCCTTAAGACCAATAATCTTAGGCGGCGATCTTCACGGTCTGTTGTTCTACGGCGGCGTCCAGTGCCCCTTGCTCTTTGCGTACGGCCTTCTCGAAGCCATGCCTGATAACACCTAACCACAGTGTCTACACTTCTTTGCACTCTAACTGCAATTGCCCGAAAAGAAAGTCCAGCTTCCCGAAGTCCCACTATACGGCCCCTATCAAACTCACTAAGTAGACGAAATCGTACAGGTCTCCGTACTCTAGGCATCGTAACCGATCGTAAAGGATGTCAAGAACCAAAATCCGCCAACGTTGATTCTTTACTGCGGCTAAAATATTCATTTTTAGAGCGTTAGTGAATTAAAAAAAGCAGTATAAAAACCGGAATGTCCAACTGATAAGGCTGAAAATTTTTTCACTTGTTATTTACAGTAAGATAAATACATTCACCAACTTTTATTAAAATAAAACCATTTAAACTGGGTGTTCGGATTTATATGTCACTTAGTATAGATAGATAATTTAAGGATTTGTCTGTACTTTTTGACCATATACTCAATTTTTCACTCCAGATACATAGCTCAAAAGGGCGTATGGTTTTATTGTGAGCAGCTGCAGAAGCTTCAACCACCCAGAGTCACTGTTGGTTGTGTATTCTGCATATATTAGATCGAAATTTGAATACGCATCGTTAATTTGAAACTCAATTCACATCTGCTACATTGATTCTCTTGGGTATGTTCAGAGGGATTTTCTCAAATTTTTGTCTTTCAAAGTCGGTGCATATCTTTGAGTAGGGTATGTCTGAAACTTTTAAAATGCAGTCTTTAGACCCGAGAAGGAAGTGTGTGTCAACTATTTTCTTGCATAAACTGCTATACAATCAAATTGATGCTAATGAGATTGTGGCTCAACTAAGCATGAATGTCCCATCTATTCAAACTCGAACCGTTAAAACCTTCTATTGTGATATACTAAGTGACATATAAATCCGAACACCCAGTTTTAATGGTTTTATTTTAATAAAAGTTGGTGAATGTATTTATCTTACTGTAAATAACAAGTGAAAAAATTTTCAGCCTTATCAGTTGGACATTCCGGTTTTTATACTGCTTTTTTTAATTCACTAACGCTCTAAAAATGAATATTTCAGCCGCAGTAAAGAATCAACGTTGGCGGATTTTGGTTCTTGACATCCTTTACGATCGGTTACGATGCCTAGAGTACGGAGACCTGTACGATTTCGTCAACTTAGTGAGTTTGATAGGGGTCGTATAGTGGGACTTCGGGAAGCTGGACTTTCTTTTCGGGAAATTGCTGTTAGAGTGCAAAGAAGTGTAGACACTGTGGTTAGGTGTTGTTAGGCATGGCTTCGAGAAGGCCGTACGCAAAGAGCAAGGGGCACTGGACGCCGCCGTAGAACAACAGACCGTGAAGATCGCCGCCTAAGATTATTGGCCTTAAGGGACCGTTTCTCCACTACCAGGTCCATTGCAAATGAATGGTTTGCAGAACACGGAAGACTTATTGGCATGCGAAGTGTTTACCGACGAATGAGAAGTTTTGGCTTGTTTTCATACCGGCCACACTGGGTCCTCCCTTTAACTCGAGAACACCGACGTAATCGCCTTGTGTGGTGCAGACAACGGTCACTCTGGGATCAGGAATGGAACAGTATTGTCTTTAGTGACGAGTCTCGATTTTGTTTAGGCATGCACGATGGTCGTGCCAGGGTTAGAAGGCGACGTGGTGAAAGGAGGAATCCACAGTTTTTTGTTGATAGACATGTTCATCACACTGTTGGAGTTATGGTTTGGGGTGCTATAGCTTATGGTTCCAGGTCACCTTTAATGTTCATCAGAGATAACATGAACGCGCAGCGTTATATCCACGAAGTTCTAGAACCCCATCTTTTACCCTATCTTGACACCCTGGCAGATCAAACTTTCCAACAAGATAATGCCCGACCACATGTTGCAAGAGTCACAATAGACTTCTTTCAACATAATGATGTCACATTGTTACCATGGCCACCAAGATCTCCCGACTTATCCCCAATTGAGCACGTGTGGGATATGATGGGTAGGAGATTGCTCAATTTGCAACGTCCTCCTCAGACTCTAGAAGCACTTCGAGAGGAGTTGGTGGTTGCCTGGAATGAGATACCACAGAAGGACATTGACCACCTGATCAGAAGCATGCCTAGGCGCGTTGGGGAATGCGTAGCACATCAGGGTGCATCCACACATTATTAAAGGTCAAAGGGCTTTAAAGCAGTGCAATCATTTACTTATTATGCTTCGTTAAGTACTTATACAAAATTTTATTAAAATAAAACCATTTAAACTGGGTGTTCGGATTTACATGTATATGTCACTTAGTATATATATGAAAGTTGTATACAAATTACCAAATTAGTTATTTGCCCTCATAAATACTAAAAAGTAAAAAAATAAATAAAGTAAAAAAATTATAATCAAGTTTTTATTTAGCATCCATAAAATGAAATAAAAGCTTAAAAATATTTTTTCCGATTGAAAATATCTAAACTCTATACCCTTTTTCTATAATGCCGTTAAAACGTTACACGCTTTTATTTGAAAACTTGATAAAATATTTATTGAATACAAAAATAGCTAAATAAAAGCTTGTTTTTAAAAATGCATTTTTTTATTTTATTTATTTAGTTTTGACTTGGAACTATCCCAGAACGGTTGTGGATTTGACAGTAGCTAATCACAAAGCGATACCAAAATCGACAGCTACTGCTTAGAATCAGAATGGTTTTGAGAAAGTTCCCTGTAGAATCCGGATAACCTGAATATTAATCTAAATTTCAACGATTCAAATGTTCTTGAGTCAAGTGTTCTAGATCCGACAAATACGACAATATATCACATCTTCTGTAGTCCCATTTCTTAACAACTTCTAAGAGTGGACTTATACTAAGTTGATTTCTGGGGAAAACTACTTTGGAGTTTCTAAAATAATACAGGCAAATAAAGAAAATAAGTGTTACCTCCGCAGAGTTAAATTTTTGGTCCCTGGTGCAATAGCTACGGGACTGTCTAGCTCCTTCAGATGTAGTTCAATGTTTCCGTCAGGCCTAGGGTCCCCATGTACCCTGATCTGACCGATATTTGATCCAACCGGCAAATCTTCTGGCACGAAGAAATTTTCCGAAGAGGCACCATTTTCCAGAAAACATCTGTTATCCTCCAACCCTAAAAAGAAATTGTGATTGTATTTCACACAATCAAGGAAAAATCATCCACTCCGAATAGATATATGTAGATCTATTTTACGTTGTGGTCCGATAGAATGTATGATTCCTCGTCCACTTCTCCCTGAACTCCAGATTCATCGAAAATACTGTATTAAACCCACAAGGAATACTGACAGACTGAGTGGTGAGCAAATAAAACCAACGCTGAACAATGATTATCAGCATTTATAATAATAATAAAAGTGAAATACTTTTTTCTGGTTAGAATACTTAAAACGTATCTACTCTAAAATAAAGTCTCAGATCTTTTGAATTAATCCTCATGGTATTTTTATTGAAATATCAACGAGAAAATAAATGATGCAATTCTACACTTATCTTAAGCACTGTACACTTTTGTTTGATGTGAAACTGTCGCTTTATGTTGTCATTCTATAATTAGAGACTATAAAAGAAAACATCCTTTAGATTGTATTTTGGCCGAAATACTTTCGACTATACTACAACTATTTAAAACTGTAATGACTCATACGCGTGATCAACACGTGATCAGAGCTCGATCCCGGCTTCCTTCCAGTACAGCCGTATAGCGTACGACATATGTCGTTTCTGTGGCTTTGCGGTGGTCAACAGCACAGACAGAGATGGAAATAATGACTGATTGTTCTCCGCCAGTAGAACCAATGAAATCAAAGACGCGCCTCGACCGGCAGACTCATAGGCGTCGGCAACGCATTGGAACGTGTTTCGTTGAGCGATCGCATATTGTGTGTTTTTATAAGAATTGTGTGATTGTTATTGTTGTGGTTTCTGTGGTTACTGTTTTGGTTATACTTAACCATGGAGAGTACAAATGGCACGAGTGGAAGCACTGAAAGCCAGGGAACAAGTAGACGGCTTCGTAAAGCACTGAAGAGGGACGCGAAAGAAATCGTGCTCAACGTGTTCAATTATCTGAACAGAACTATGTCGCAGGGAGATGCACTCGCGCGTTGTGAAAGTATGACAGGCGTTCCAGAGTGGACCATTCGCAGGGTGGTGCATGAAAAGAAGAAAACTGGAGCTACTACTGATCCAAAGTTTAATTTGAAGGGACGAAAGGCCGTTAAATTGGATGACGATAGCAAAATGGCGTTAAGGCGAACCGTACATTCATTCTTCTTTAGGAATGAGATACCAACCCTCAAGGCTGTACATGCAGCGATCAAGGAAAATGAAATTATACCCCAAATGAGCGTCGAGGTAATGAGGAAATCCCTGCACGAAATTAATTTTCGTTACGAAACGCGTAATCGGAAGCAGTATTGATAGAGAGACCTGAAATAGTCGCCTGGCGTCGAAAATACCTACGCGAAATGATTGAATATAGGCGACAAAGCAGAAAAATCTATTATTTAGACGAGACATGGGTAAATGCAGGTCACACAGTTAAAAAAACCTGGATAGACAAAAACGTAGTGAGTAACCGACAAGCAAGCATTGAAGGTTTATCAACAGGTCTTCGTGGACCGTCAGGGAAAGGTCAAAGATTGATCGTAACTCATATTGGTAGCGATAGTGACTTTTTAGAAGAGTGTGACTTGATTTTCGTCTCTAAGAAAGGAGGTGATTACCATGACGAAATGAATGCCAGCTGCTTCGAGAGCTGGTTTCAAGGGGTGCTTCAGCGAGTTGAGCCCAACTCTGTGATCGTCATGGATAATGCTTCCTACAATAGTCGTCGAGCCGAACGTGTACCGACTATGGGATCTCGAAAAAGTGACATGCAGCAATGGTTGCGCGAAAAAGGAATCCCGTTTGACGATTCATGAATGAAAGCGGAATTGTATGAAAAAATTAAACAGCACAAACCTGCGAACATTAGTTACGTGACTGATGAGATGGCCCGTCAATGTGGTGTCACTGTGCTGCGGTTACCGCCCTACCACTGTGAACTGAACCCAATAGAGCTCATCTAAGCTCAAGTGAAGGGTTATATTGCGCGCCATAACACAACCTTTAAATTACCAGACGTTAAGGTTTTACTTGAGACTTCCATACAGCTAGTAACGCCCGAAGCTTGGCAGAATGCTATCCGTCATGTTGTGAAGGAAGAAACAAAAATGTGGCAGCTTGACCACCACATCGACACCATCATAGAGCCAGTTATAGTCAATTTCAACGAGGAAAGCGATAGCGACAGTTTATTACTGTCAGATGTAAGTGGAAGCGACGATGAATAAAGGTAATTCCCAAATTTTTGACTTACAATATGTTTCAAACCACTCTTTATTAAGCATGTGACAAATCTAGTTCACCCATGTTAAACATTCATACCCCGCCTATGAACAGCCGACTACTGGTAGTTAAGTGATGTTCACGTGAACATCGATGAGTCATTACAGTTTTAGATAGTTATAGTATAGTACGCTCAATTTTCAAAAAAATGCTGAGAATTTGTGTGGTTACTGTGCAAACTATCGCCCTGAGTTTTCATTGCAAATTCGAAATAAATATTAGTAGTACTCCATTCATTGAAACCCCAGACGAGGCGCGGCCACGTTTTTTAGTAAAATAAATTACCTGCGTTTTCGAAAGATTAATTTTGATCAGCCACCGATTCGTCCATTCCAATACCTAGTCCACCGCACTTTGCAGCCTGCCGTGAGCTAGATTTCCAGAACACGGATTGAGCCACCAGGGTAGTGTTATCAGCATAAAGATAGATTTTACAGGTGCTGGGGCAAGGGACGTCATGAATGAAAAGTGAATAAAGGACTGGTCCAAGAACCGAACCCTAAGGGACACCGGCTTTGATAGGCCGTATTGCCGACAGAACGTTATTAATTTTGACTCGAAATTTCCTACAATCAAGGAAGGATTTCAAAAGTTTTAGGTTGAGGAGGAAGGGGAAGCCTGTATGAATCAATTTCTAGAGGAGGCCGTTGTGACACACCTTGTCAAAAGCCTTTGGACATCCAGAAGCAAAATGCCGGTACTTTGATTACGGGTAAATCCTCTACAATGCTCAGACCGAAATTCAAATCACACGTCAGGAATCACATTGTGGTTTGACAAGATATTTTCAAGGTGACGTAGAATTACCCTTTACATTAGACTGATGGGGTGGTTATTCGGGGGAATATCGAACCCCCTTTATTTGGAATCATTATAACATCAGCCGTCTTCCACGACGTTGGGAAGTACTGGGTCCTTAGCATGTCATTGATTTCCACGAGATAAGTTAACGACTTGCTGATGCGCCATGCAACTCTTTAGATAAGGAACCTTCTGAAGACTCCTCTGAAGAAAAATCACTAACGGAGGCGCTACTACCACTGATGCCGTATCTCCTGACGGATCTTACAATGTGTTGCTCGAGGTCATTATCAAGGTCATAGTTGGCAGAGGATTGTCTTCCGACTGCGTCAGCGAAAACCTCAACATTTTGCTCTGTCCTAAAGACTATGCCCTCAGGACCGTGCATTTGCGGGAGTTGTTCTCGCTTTCCTTTTCTTGAATAAAACATCCCTGACAGAAAGTTGCTCCATTCTCGTTACGGAATTCATGAAGAGCATTTCTCACTGCCTGTTCGCTAATCTTTGGTCCGTCAATAACTTGGGAAGTACCGCTCGGATTTTGATGAAATATTCACACAAGGTTACTGCTATGTCAAGGACGAAAATTAAGATCGTGCAAACGTGGTTTTTTGACGTTTTGGAAGCTGCCAATCGCTTCAAGAAAAATGTTACAAATTTGAGCACCGGAAATTCCGCGCATTCTATTGAACAAATTTGAAACATCATAGATTTTCCGTGCATCATCCTTGAAACTTGAGTGATGGAGATACATTTTCGATACGCTTTTCTGCTTCTGCTTGCTGGGTTTACCGGCGGGCCTGCCCCATTTAATTGACAAGTACGTAATTAACTTTTTTCTCAGCGGACATAACTTGTAGTGAGTATAATCCTTTATGAACTGATGACGGCGTTGCGTGAGAAGTGCAGAGTTAACCCACTTGATGCCAAATAAACTACAAAAAATGTAGCGATTTTCCTCAGTTTGGCTGCTTGTTTCAGTCTCCAGTGTTTCTATTCAATTGAATTATACTAAGTGACATATAAATCCGAACACCCAGTTTATATGGTTTTATTTTAATAAAATTTTGTATAAGTACTTAATGAAGCATAATAAGTAAATGATAAAAATTTCAAAATGATTGCACTGCTTTAAAGCCCTTTGACCTTTAATAATGTGTGGATGCACCCTGATGTGCTACGCATTCTCCAACGCGCCTAGGCATGCTTCTGATCAGGTGGTCAATGTCCTCCTGTGGTATCTCATTCCAGGCAACCACCAACTCCTCTCGAAGTGCTTCTAGAGTCTGAGGAGGACGTTGCAAATTGAGCAATCTCCTACCCATCATATCCCACACGTGCTCAATTGGGGATAAGTCGGGAGATCTTGGTGGCCATGGTAACAATGTGACATCATTATGTTGAAAGAAGTCTATTGTGACTCTTGCAATATGTGGTCGGGCATTATCTTGTTGGAAAGTTGGATCTGCCAGGGTGTCAAGATAGGGTAAAAGATGGGGTTCTAGAACTTCGTGGATATAACGCTGCGCGTTCATGTTACCTCTGATGAAGATTAAAGGCGACCTGGAACCATAAGCTATAGCACCCCAAACCATAACTCCAACAGTGTGATGAACATGTCTTTCAACAAAAAACTGTGGATTCCTCCTTTCACCACGTCGCCTTCTAACCCTGGCACGATCATCGTGCATGCCTAAACAAAATCGAGACTCGTCACTAAAGACAATACTGTTCCATTCCTGATCCCAGAGTGACCGTTGTCTGCACCACTCAAGGCGATTACGTCGGTGTTCTCGAGTTAAAGGGAGGACCCAGTGTGGCCGGTATGAAAACAAGCCAAAACTTCTCATTCGTCGGTAAACACTTCGCATGCCAATAGGTCTTCCGTGTTCTGCAAACCATTCATTTGCAATGGACCTGG